TGCCGTGCACCGTCACCCTCCATTAAACGGGCTTGGATCGAATACCTGCATCCAAGATGCCTTCAATCTCGCCTGGAAGGTCGCATATGTTCACAAGGGACTGGCGTCACCGTCTCTTCTATCAACATACTCTATTGAGAGACAACCTGTGGGTCATTCGATTATCACCAGAGCGAATCAGGCATACCGCGACCACTTTCTCGTGTGGGAGGCACTAGGCATGCTGCCCACAGACTTGTCCGCACGGAAGGAGATTTTGGAGGAGTTAAAGAGTGCGACACCAGAGGGATCCAACCGCCGCCGTGCCCTTCATGCGGCAATCAAGCATACCTCTCATGAATTCCATGGATTGGGAGTTGAAATGAATCAACATTACGACAGCCAAGGTGTCTACACAGCTGATGAGCCCAATCCCTATGCGCCATCCAGACGGGCGGCTGAAGATAGCATCTTGTTTCATGAGCCAAGCACTTATCCCGGGTCTCGATTGCCTCATGTGTGGCTCAACAAAGCAATCCCGAGAGAGCCTATTTCCACGGTCGACATTGCTGGCCATGGCTCTTTTGTCCTCTTGAGTGGAATCGGAGGTGGGCGATGGAAGAAAGCAGCCGAAAATGTTGCCGAAACGCTTAAGGTTCCAATCCAGGTGCATTATATTGGGTTCAGACAAGATTGGGAGGACGTTTACTTTGAGTGGGAAAACTTGCGAGGCGTGGAGGAATCTGGAGCTGTGTTGGTGCGACCGGATCGATTCGTAGCGTGGAGAGCACCGGAAGTTCTCAAGGATACTGAAGCATGCGAAGCGAAGCTCCTTACAGTGATGAGAACTATTCTAGGATACCTTGATGTATAGTACTCACAATGTTCCGTTTCTGCCGGTCCTAGTCCGGCTGGAATATGATGTGTTGGGTGAAGCCATAGCTGTTATATTGACCAACTCTTCGGCTCCTCTTTGAAAAAATATCATAGACAAAGAATATAATAACAAGGGTCTATCAATGGTAGCCTAAGCCGTAAAAATGAATAAAAAGTGAGTATAATCTTCTGCGTACAAGAAACTTGCGTTACGGCATCTGATTGAGATATTCATTAATTAAGCTATTCACCAGAAATGATATACCTGTATGTATATTCGCCAAGTATTTCACGCGCCTCTCTAGCCATAAAATAAGTATTTTCCCATATTATATTCCTCCTGGACAAGTTCGCGCAAGACAAATCCGCGCAAGAGATATTCCCCGAGCTGAAAGATATCACTCATGGAAAATTATGTGAAATGGCAGGGGCTTGGCTATCTATGAAAGGCTGCTACTACTATTACTTTTACGCCTCTAGCTGGGCGAAGGCAAATGCACTTATTTATTTGGATAATCACGAACACAATTTCTCACGATTTGTTACCCTTACTCATAGTAGACTTCGTTGATCAAAGTTCCGATATTCTCAATTTCCACTCGCATATCGTCACCATGGTTCAGGACGACCTTGGGGTTACGCATAGCGCCAATTCCAGGACCCGTTCCGGTCATGATAATGGTGCCCTTTTCGAGAGTGGTCCCCTGAGAGAGAAATGCAATAGTCTTTGCAATATCGAAGATCATTTCCCTTAAAAGTAAAACTGTCAGCTACCTTGGAGGGCTGGCATGGTGGCAACAGTCGATCCTTCAGATAGACTCACCTAGTGTTTGAGTCTTGCACCACATTGCCATTATGGATGGCTTTAACTTGCAGATTATGCGGGTTGCCGATGGCGGATGGAGACACAAGGACCGGGCCCAGTGGACAGGATCCGTCGAGACCTTTTCCATTAAACTAAGTCAGCTCCGGGCAAATGACAAACTAATTGGCTTGGGAGATAATGAGGCGCAACTAGTCTCACCTTTCGAGAAGGACCACTGGCTGTTCTTGAACTGCTGTGTTCGAGCACTAACATCATTGCTGCAGGTATACCCCAACACATACTCCATGGCCTCTGACTCGGGAATATCTCGACCAGTCTGAGACAGAATAATCGATAGCTCTGCCTCATAGTCGCTGGAGCCATCCTGTGCAATCTTGGGCACGTTGATCTTGGCAGGATGGGGCCCGTTGAGTGCCGTGCGCGGTTTGATAAAGACGACCGGCACATCCGGAATGGGCATGTTCGCCTCTCTGGCATGGTCGCGGTAGTTGAGCCCCAGGCACCGGATAATGGGCACTTCTTCCATTCCAATGGGAGCCAGAAGCTGTTTTTGAATCGGAGTAGTTAGTGTCGAATCTTGGATTCCAGGTGTTCAGGATGGCGGAATACATACTCTGGCAATGTGCACCGTTGTGTCGGTTACCGTGCCATCGAAGATCGACCCTTTGATCAACTTGACTGCAACTCTCTCGCCGTTCAATATTGCGATCCCAACATCTGGATACCTGCTTGGATCAACTTCGCCAAGGTGGATTTGGCCATCTTCTTCGCTGATGAATCTCACGAGGTGTGCCCAATTAGGACCCATGTTTGCTAATTCTTTTGGGGTCAGATATTATGCGCAAATCTAAGGCAGTAAGTAGGTCAAGTATTCTTTCTCACGGGAGTGCGATTGTCAAGCGTGAGCCATGGCAGCCTTTTTGAACTTCCCACGTCAGACCTTAAATGGGACTAATCGATAATTCCTTACAAAGACACATGGAACGATTTCGGTCTATTTGCGCTCGGTAGTTTATCTCCCATGAGACCAATTTGGGTTGGCGGGGGGGCTGACAGCAAATGCATTCGGGCGGACTCTCTTCGGTGCAATTTTCAGTCGTCAGACTGCCGGCGTGGAATACGAATGACACCATCCCCCGCAACTTGAGGGGGGTAAAGGAAGTTATCCTTTGTGATGAAGATCCACCATAAACTGATTCAGCATGAATAAGACTCGGGTCTGGGGGATCTCCAGTCATCGCAACGTATCCAGGCCGGTTGCCCGGATCTTCTGACTGTGGAGGGCTCTAACTAACCCGGATTGCAACACGCACTGCTATGCCCTCAACTCTTGCCAATCCGATGAATCTTAACAAGCCAAATTCACCTTCTACGAGTGACGCGTTCCCTAAGCTATACGGGCCAGATGGCTTCTTTATGGATTTATGCTGCTAGCGCTTCTACCGCAGCCGTTTTTTTTTTTTTTTTTTTTTTTTTTTAAGCGTTGGCCTATATTAAGGAGCAACATGCATTATGCCTTCGAATAATGTAATTGCAAAAGCCAAATCGCACAATGCAATAGTAAATTACAAATTAGAGTCATTTGGGCAAGAATTTATCTTTGAATATTGATGGTGACAAAGGCTCAAACGAAGTCTAAGCGTAGCTGTCTAACCAACATATCATATAAAATATGCACCAAGAGGATGTTACTCCCTTACGGTAGTAGGAGCAAGGAATTAAGCGACGTATACTAATTTCCACCTTCCTGATGATGTCGGATATCAGACGACGAAAAGGAACTAAAACTGTTGCTACTGCAGGAAGGTGGGAGGAAGGTCGGGACCTAGTGATACATTAGCAGAAGGGAACTAAATTGCAATCATGCCCAAAGGCTTACCCCAAACGTGCAAATTATCCGGTGCGGCAAGGGTTCGATTCGTTGGGTGTTGGTCATTTACCAAATCACCATCCACGTAGTGCTCGATAATGAAACCAGAGGTATCAAACCTTTTTGGATCAAATGTGTGTGAGAAATTTACCTGCGAGAGAATGGGATCATGAGGCATACCAATAATCGAAGATCTGACTGCCCATGATATGACGTCCAACGCCCCAACAGTTCTCATACCCCTTGCTGCGGAGCCAGTCGTGACCCAGCACTTGTGTGTCAAAATCATGCGTCTCAAATGAGGAGTGGTGAACGTGCGACCTAGGTCCCTCGAAAAAGAAAAAGCAATGGTGATCGACCAGCTCAGAACCGCGGTCCAGATGGAGAAAGGTGGTTATATCTCTTCCGGTAGAATCGTGAACCAGCTAGACCATGGGGTAAAACCTCTGGGTCAGTATACGCCGAGCCTCGTGAAGAGCCAAACCGTGGAGAAACTAACGTCGCTTGGCTTGAAGTTGAATCGCGTAGTATAGAATTCAAACGCCTTCGCAAAATTGGTCACACACATTCCGAAATGACCTAATTTGTGCACAGGTGCAGGGCCTTTTGGTTTTCAAAGGTTCAATAGAGGTTTATATAGATAAGGTACCTAGGTTCGTTCTGTCGCTTACCTTTCTTGAACCGTTGTGTCTTGTTCCCTGGCCGGTGTTTGTCTGTTGGCTGGGGGAAGGTCAGAAGGTTTCCGAGGAGCGAGTTCTATGTACAAGGAGAATGAATAACTTACGAAATTGTAATCAAGTTGTGGAAACACCTTCTCATCGGCATGGGCCTTTTGTTCATGAACAAGGTGAAATGGGAACTTGTCGATTGGGTCATGGAAAGTGACACAGCGACCACCACCTGGCGCATCTTTTAAGTCGTAGATGCCTGTCGCCCCAGGTAACTTCGTCGCAGCTAAAAGATCCGATTCGGATTCCACGACAAAGGCTGCGCCTCCAAACTCATCTTTGTCGCCTTGTCGTGCACAGTACACAAATGGCTCCGAACTGGTGCCACGGTAATAGATATCCTTGCCCACACGCTTGACTTCCTGGAATCCGAAATCCAGTAGGAATTGATGGGCTTTGTCGATTTCTTTATGAGTGTAGAAGACATGCGCAATGCGAGTGAGGTGAATTCGAGATTCATTGCTTGAGGCTGCCATTTTCGGGACTTATCTTCAACAAAAATTAAAACACCATTGAACGGTAGATTGTTGTTCCAGATAGAAACTTTCCAAAGTGATATTTCCCTTTTCTAAATACCCCGGCCCTACCCCACAAAAAGCCCAAGGGGTGTGGTGTGATCTTGCTTTCTAACCGGGTTCACGGACTCGAGCGAAATTATCCCGGTCCCGCACGGACTATCTTCGGTCAGTTGCTTAGAGCAGAAGACGAACGAGCAAGCAGGGACATTGGATACTTTATAAAGAAGTGGTTTCTCGCTGTACTTTTGGTTTTGGGACATTGGAATACGAACTAGAGATAGATCATCCTTTGTCTTCGCCGGCTGGGGGTGGGATACGTCACTTTATATTTTGATATAGACTATCTCCATTCCAATTCGCACCTAGGCGGTATTTGAAACATTACATGCCTTAAGTGAGAGTGGAGTCTACAGGAAATCCATACACGGTAAATGTGTGCTATGCCCAGGCCCCATAGGGTACCTAGGTAGATTACAGAGGGATGGAGTGGCCAATTGTGGAAAAAAGAATGGTGTGAGGATAAATCCATCCAACAATTGCAAGAGTGCACGGGGGTGTAGTTCACCCTGAGAGTAAATCATATATTCCACCAGGAATATCAAAAGTGGGCCAATCAAAGGCCTGATCGAGCTGATATATAGTATCAAGGAAATGAGAGTTCGGGGGCACCATGTAGTCCTCTGGTACCTGGGTCCTACTCGGTTGTGGAGGAGTCACATAGTCGAGCATTGCCATGCTATCTGCTACGAATGGGTATTTTCGCGCATGGTTTTGGGCTGTAGTGTCTAATCTGGCATCAATCAGGGCTGAACTGGTGAGTGGGACACTAGGCGTTTCGGGTAGGTATTGAGAGGCTTGTCGGGCGGTCCAGTCAAAATTCAGGCTGCGCTCTACGTTTGGACCTTCTTGGTCCGAGGCAGGCTGGTTGATCCTATCGGTGTCTTCCGATGCCCGGTTTGACGCTTCTTGAGAGGATGGACAAGCTCGAACCTCCGGTTTCTTGTTCCGGGCTTCCAGTTGCTCCTCGATCAACTCTAAGTTCTTCTGGAGAGCGGTTTGAATATCCCAAAATTGAACGCATCGCTTGTAGGTCAGATAAAGAACGTCGAAGCGCGACTTTACTAGATCTCGATTGGGCTGTGCTCGAGCAAAATGTTTGCGGACCAGTTGCACCGCCGAGGCAAGCCATATGGTACTAGGGAGAAATGGATTAATATGCTGAACATGATCCTCGCAACACCGATTCACTATTCCCAGAATACGATCTGCTGCCTCGTAATACTGTCGAAGCGCTCCATTTTCCGTATCGAGCAGACTAAATGTACTCCGACCAGCGGAATTTCCGGAAGGATGACGGCCACTGGTTTCAGTTGGACGATTTTGAGATCTGAATGCGTCATATCTGTAGATCATCAAACGAGCCAGTTGGGTCATAACGAAGATATTGTAGATCGAGGAGTGCTGCTGTCGTTGAGATTCTAACTCCCCTTGTACCGGCACCCCAAAGGCCAGATATTGATCGCGATACTGGAGATGGCTGGGCAAAGCCAAAGTAAAGCAGCGTACGGCGTTTGCCAATATCTCCAATTTTTGACGAGCCTCCATGGCCGATTCGAGTGTTGAACTCTGGCTATTTGGCATTTGCTGACGATAGCCCTGATTACCTATGGCAGCCACTCCTTGTGGGTCACAGGCGATCTGGGCATTCTTCATGAGAGAATTGATAACTAGGAACCACGCTTTCGACGACTGGTTACCACTGTCCTGCAACGCCTTCCAACGTTTGTTTATGTCCGCCTCCATAAAGCAGCTTGAAGTAGGGTGGCCCGAGAACCAGTGAGCGTTGTCAACTGGAAGCAATATTTCCATTTGGCTCCAGTTAATAGTAGTTGGCGTCCGACGGATAGTACTGGCAAAAACATCCATTTCCCAGATGGCCCAGAAAGCACGACGCTTTTCTTCGTCTTCTTGCCAGCGGTGGGGATCCTCCGTTTTTATAACCTTCCCGGAATCAAGAAGATGCAGGTTTGTTTCGTATATCAAACTGACACACAATCCCAGAGATCTCCATGCCTTTCCGCGGACCCCCTGGCTCAGTCGACAATGCGTTGCAATAATGAGAGCCTGTATAACGCAAAGTGGCGGCATCTCATCGCCACATTCCGCAAGCGCCTCGTTTATGTACTTGAAAGCAAGGTCAATGAAGTAGGCAGGCTGTCGGTGACTCTTTGCTACGAGCTGAACTGCGTCGCTATCTACGTCGTTGGTTCTTAGGGCACCAAAACGTGAGGCATAACCAGCTATGGCCGCCAGAAGGGCAGTCAATTGAGAAAACGAAGAGATATTGGAAAGCTTTTCTGCAAACGAAGGCTCATGGAAGATATTTATAGCGACCATGTTGTCGAAAAAAACTCGAATGCTGTTGGTGCAATTAGCTTGTCTATGTTCCATTTCGATAACTATTTAGGTAGCCGAGGTCGTTACATTTCATTCATGAAAGCTTGCGAGACGCCTAGCTCTGTGCAGGCTTGACGGCAGAGATCTGTCTTTTGGCCATCCTGAGAGCTCGGGCTCTTCTTTTGGGAGGGACTTGTGGCCTCGTGTGATGGATGTAAAATGAAAGCGAGATCAAGCGTATTCAACTGAGAGGTTCGGTGTTGCGAGCTTCCCCGCGCCTCAATCCCAGTTGTCTCAGTAAGATCGGCCTGGACGGCGAGGGCCAAATCTTCTTTCTCCGGCTGATCATGCAATGCGCCGAAGTAACTACCCCGTCGGCCATTGTCGGGACCGGGTGGCGGTCTAGAAGGCGAGTTAATCTGTCGTCTCTGCGCTGTCTCATTCTGTCGTGGGCGTTTTCTCTTCTTCTGCGAAGACCCTAGATATTGTCAATGTGCCTCCAACTTGTCGCGGCTTATGGCAAAATGTGGCCATTCCATACCAATTTTAGGCCCGGGTTTCATTGACTGAAGCGGATAATTGCATGTCTGGCCTGTTTGATCACAGACCATACACTGTGGCAATGCCCGGTCGCTGACAGCTGTTACTTCACGCATACTTTGGAAAGACTTGGTTCAAGTTTTCACGTACCACTTGACCTTGCGCCTAGTTATCAGCACATGAGCCCCGTTCTTTCCTAGTCTTGAGAACATCGGGTAACACTTACTTGCGACACGATTGACAGGCCAAGTCAGATAACGACATTCTTACGAGAGGCTTTCTAGGCTATGCCCACATTCACATGTCATCTGGTGACATCGACAAGGGATTGAAGTGAGAAAGGACTAGGATGTATACAAAGAAAATCCAAGAAGACTGCTGGCCCCCTGCCCCGTGGGGTATCGCATGTGTCACGAGACCCCCAAAATCACCCCGAAGATGGTCCGAGAGTGACGTCATTTTTGGCCGATTGTGTCGATCATTTCAACATCCTCACTAGAATTTCCGTTGAGTGTGCTGTCTGGCATAATGTATTGAAGGAAACATCAACATGATTAAATGTTTGTTAATCCATCTGTTTTACTGAGATAGTTTCGGAGGGGGAAGGATAACTTCTGTGTTTCTTATACTGTTAGTATCATAAATCGTCTGGTATTAGAACATGTTTCGTAAACAACTGGTTATTTATGGTCTATTCAATAAAGTATAGCGAGACATGTGACCAGGGTTCAACCCCTGAGTTGAATCAAGGGAGACTCAAACCTTGGGGCTTGACAAAGACATCAAAAAGGAGAAGATATAACCGACATGCTCTAGTCGATTCCCGAGTATTCCTCAACCTGTGCAACAATGGACACAAAGCCTGACTTGATTGGACTTGGTCGGGTTGGGTGTGTTATGCGCATTGGAGACATCGCAGTGAAGACCGCGAACACATGGACGGTGCCTGAAAACGCATCGGAATATACATCTATTGTCTACCAGCAAACCAACAGAACAAATGAAGAGTCGTTGATACATGAGGGCGCATTTATCAACGCCTCGCGTTTGTGGAAGGTGTCCTGAAGCCGCTGCATATCTCCAATAAAGAAATTCGGATGTCGTATATCGCCCACGGGTCTCTCGACAAATACCTGAGTACAAATAAGACATCTATCAACAATGAACAACGTCTGGGGTGGTTTCGGAATGCTGCGGAAATTATTAATAGGGTGCATGAGCAACGGGTTATTATTGCTGATATCGCAACACGGAATTTTCTAGTCAACAAGGACCTATCGCTCCAGCTATTTGATTTTTCCGAATCACTTATCATACCAGAGGACACAACTCCAGATAGATTTATTTCAGAGGATTTCCTCTCCATCAAGTTTGACATCGCTCGTTTTGGATCGATGATGTATCAGATCGTGTCCGGCAACCGATATGAATTTTATGTAAACTCTGAGATCGACAAGGACTTGGACGACAGCGAATCGAAAACATACAAGGAATGGCCGACGAGCGAACAATTTCCAGACACAAGAACTATATTCCTAGGTGATATAATTCGCAAATGCTGGCTCAAGGATAGGTTTTACAGCATAGAGGAGGTTCCTACCGCGTTGCACTCCACACATGCTTCTGTTGAACAAATTGATGCGGGCCTAGATTGGCGTTACATATTTCGCGTGGGAAGCCCGATAATCACAACAATAATACTTACTATGATAGTCGCTCGCCGCCTTCCATGGCGAAAAGTTGTGGATACTATCTCGTTTAAACATTAGTTCGTATCCCTTTCAACTGTATAGTATTGAGCCCTGACTGGCGAAAAATATTCACAATGTTTCAATTTTCAGCAGGCTATATTTATGGCCAGGAACTAGCAAAAACAAGTAGCAGGATTGGTAAACAATCTAGTGCTTTTAATGCTCTGTAAGTCAATGGTCCCTCTATCCTGGTGCTTCTGCTATTAGATATTTTGTGTCTGTCGCCCTCCTAAATGGACGAGATAGAAAAGAAAGAAGATCCAAAAGGATTTTGTAGTGTATGTATGTACATCGCGACATTTATTGTTTACCTATAGTTTTTGCCGTATATTTCTTGAAAACCCTCCTGACAGGAATTCCAGATTACATTTAAGTTGCCCTACCTTAAGCCAGAACCTGTAAAGGACAGAAAATCATTCGACGCCTCACATATATTTCCGACCTACCTCATTCTTACATACAGTCACATACTCATATACGACATATATATCGTGCAGATTTCCTTATAGACCATTTCTTAACATGTCGTTCAGATATCCCTTTAGAAGCCTAGTTTGTCATTTAGCTGGTGGCCTAGTTCTCCTCTTCCCTGGTCCATATATCCTCACATCAACACGGACTCAGCAAATACTAAGAATCCCGACTACGATAATATATATCCACCCGATCTAATTCAGTCTTACGCAAACGCGAAAACAACCCAAGCAAAACATATAAAATGACGTAATCCACCAAAGCCCAGCCCCATCAAGCAAACCAGGTCGAAAAACTCTACCCTCCACGCGACCCTACATAACAATGCCAATATAGCCCTTACCCCACATACAGGAGGAAAACAGCAGAAAAGCCAACCCGAAAAGCGGTACCCCGCCGCCGAAAAAATCCCTCTGGATACCCGTGCACTAGGCCTATTATGGACAATGTAGCCTACGCTCGGTCGGCCCGGCGGGTCACCATTTGGGATGCTGCGGCCCGTCCGACGACTGCGTAGGCTATGTTGACCTGATTAGGTATAGCGTGGTTGGGGTAGGGCTCTGGGTTACATCCATAATAGAATTTTGGAGACATATAATTTTTTTGGTGGGTTTTCGGGGTGGATATCGTTAGTAACGGGGGTAAAAGAATATTTAAAATCTGGTGACTTTGGGAAGGGTTTCTGACTGAATTAATTGTTTGATCTTTGTGTCTTTTTTTTTTTTTTTTTGAAAACTGTTGCTGAGAATTACGAATATCAACCGGGATTTATACTAGACTTAATAATTACGAGATTCGACTCACGGAGAACAATACTGAGCGAATAGAGAAAAGTTGGTTATATTTAAAAATGGCCTCAAAACCACAAATCTGCGTCATCGGGTCCCTCAACATCGACTTCGTCACATATGCCCGGCGTTGTCCCGGGCCTGGCGAAACGCTGACGGGATCCTCCCTGTCTATCGATGCAGGCGGTAAAGGTGCGAACCAGGCGGTTGCATGCGCACGAGCGGCTTTCAGTTCTAAAGCCCAACAAGATGTGGCAGTGAGCATGATCGGAGCTGTCGGTGCAAATGATCCATATTATCCGACGCTGCTACAGCCAGCATTAGAAAAGTCAGGGGTGGACACCACGGGAATCGAGCAGAGGACAGACTGTCAAACGGGCTCGGCGACTATTATCGTGGAAGAAGGCGAGCAAGGGGAGAATCGCATTGTGGTGGTACCGGGAGCAAACCATGATGGAATGAATGATGTTGATAAGCTCCTTTCCGTTGTCCAGACACAGTGTCCTGCCTCGCCACAGGTCGTGGTTCTGCAGGGAGAGATTCCCAGGCCAACCGTAATTGGTCTGATGCAGTATTATAATCGGAGCGAGAATCCAACGAATGTCGTTTTGAATATTGCGCCCGTATATCCGGAGGGAATTCCTCTGGCTGCTCTGTCCAACACAGCAGTCTTGATCATGAATGAAACGGAGACCATCCAGATGGCGGAATCTATTCCTGATTTCCCCGTGGGATCTCAAACCGAAGCTGATCTGCAGCCGGAGTTGTTGGCTCCGCTTTTCCACAGGGTGGCTAAGGTTCCCATTGTTTTGATCACACTCGGTGCGAAGGGGGTATTCTTCTCAACGGCCACCGGTCGTAACGGTTCTGTTCGTGGCGTGCACGTTAAGAATGTGGTGGACACCACTGCCGCTGGAGATACCTTCGTGGGGTACTTCTCGGCTGAATTTGCAAAGTATGCTGCCACGGGACAGCCTCTCGAGGACTTTGACGCTTTGATCGAGTCTGTCGTACAACAGGCGAATCAGGCAGCCGCCATGTGTGTGCAGAGAAAGGGTGCGATCGAAAGTATTCCATTTGCATATGAGATCACAGACCGCCAATAAGGCGACGCAATACCCGCAAAATACAATCAAGAGCAATGATAATGAATACTTTACCAATCAATCAACCGCGTCTTCATCGTATTGTGCATTATTCCAGCACGAGCGCAAGCTGTCTATCTCAGAATCTAGCTTAATTCCAGTGGCAGTGGCAATACTACCTAGTAGGTCGAGTAGGATTGATTGCTGCGATGTGTGGGTCATCTCTGGTGCTATGGTGAGAAGACTAGCGATCAGGATCGGGTCCCACTGCTCCTTGAACTCATTGCTCGTAGCAATTCCTGTAATGGCTTGGGCATGCCAGATGCGAGAGGCGAAACGTCTCGGACCTGCTATTGTCTTCAGTAGCCTTGGCTTGTGGATAAGTAAGAGGAATGAGGATATATGGTAGATAGTGTTGGCCAAAAGGGCAAGAGGTGACGTGTAGATAAGAATAGGACAAGATGAGCAGTTCCCAGCATTAATCTCATCTGCCTCCACACCGCGAATGTCTAGAACCGGCCGCATCTCCACGTGGCGATTGTGGTACCATTCCTGACAATTGGTCCAGAGAGACGTCCATCGTGACGTGAAATCCGTTTGCAGTAAGGTATGCACGGCGAGCTGTCCTCCACGTTCGGTACTTGGGGATAATGTATCAGCTGGGCCGAAGACGAGGGACAAAGTATCCGCTAAAAGAAGCAAAACACTCAAGAAGACCCATTTTGACGGTCGTTGTTGTGGCACTACTGGAAACGGGCCATCAGGTAGTAATTGGGAGCGGTATGACATCAATGGCGCTTTTGCACTGATGATTCCAGCAGCAAGATCTTCGGTACAGATATCAAGTCAGCCTTGTCAATTTGCGGAGCGACTAGATTAAATTGGGATAGCGTACCAATTCGAGAGTGGAGTAGCCACCATGGCTGGTTTAGCACACCCTGTGGGGTATTTGCAAAGTCAAGACTACTCAATCCACGAGTACGAGCTCGTAGAAAATCTCGCCATTGTCGCGGACAGGAGAAGAAGAAGTCATGCAACATCAAGAGGGCTTGTCCCATTGACTTGATAGGGTCGTCCGCGTGGACGAGACCGCGTTCAGCCTCGTCCTGTAATGTAGCACTCACACCGATGGTATTGCTGTGTCGCTGAAGTGAAGCATGACTCAAGGCAAGCGCCATGATGGCAGCCAACAGTGGTCGCTCAGTTTTTGCGAGCAGCAATGCCTGGATCTCAAACCCGCAGTCGGGATCTCCAAGATCAATCCATGGGGCCAGATGGTAGCGAAAGTAACGCAGCAGGCCAATTTCATCGACTCCACTGGTCGGGATGGGATGAACCGGGTTGTTGGTGATGGAAAATCGGGAGTTCGAGCTGCAGTTGCCCGAAACATACGCCAGAGCCCGACTCTTGGCAACGGTCCCCCGGTTATCTTGGAGCTGGGAGGTAGTACTAGAATCCGAAAAAGTGGACTCCCGGGAGATATCGGCATCAACACCGGAAGGATATGCAGGTCGATTGAATTCTGCAATGTCGACATGCTCAGCAGTGGTCTGTTGGATCGGCTGTTCGATGATAGCGCTCTGGGTAACACTCGCGGGCGGAACTGCCCCCGTGTCAGTCTCCTGGCCATTTGTACCAGGTCCACAGCTCGAGGTGATGTCTGACGTCGCCGGGCGGTCATCAATAAACTACCAGTCCATCAGCAAATGCGATGCCACCGAACGCATGAAACCATCCTACTTCGATCGTATTATAATTCACCCTAGTAGCCGGCCCTTTTGGTGACTGTATCCGTGGGTTCGGCACGGACACAAAGGTAAGATCGGCGCCATAGCGACACGAAAAACCCTTCGCCTCGCAATTTTCACAGCGAGGTTTTCCTTCGTCGCCTGACAAATGCTGGGGTCAGCCACCAGATCCTGAAACATGTGGGGAAATGCCATACACTTCCTTCTCCGCCGACGACATGTCCAACATCCCGTGCGGACACGTTTTTGTTTAGCCGGAGTTGGTTTACTGGACGGCATAGTGCGTTGATGGTGTTGTTGTGGTCTGCAAGATTATGGAGAAGGACCGCCGAAAAGAGGACGTCGAGCCTCCGCACCCCAAAAATGAAAAATTATCCGGAGTGGGTCCGGAGGCGAAAAACTGGAGAAGCATCCAGACGAAGACTTTTTCTGGGCGCGACTTGTCAAGTAGGGTATAGATGCCCCGCAATACTCAACAATTATATGAGAAGCCGAGCAAGAAGTACTGTAAGATAATAATCTTGATTCAAGCCTCTCAGCAGGCTCTTTATCAGCCGACTACAGCGTCAAACCTCCAAAGTTTGGTCGGAGGACAGCACGGGTTCAACCCTAGTCAACGCCGTGCCAAGCAGCAGTCTCTCACACTAAAATGCTAGCACGGCTGAGCTTGTCCCCTCATCGACTCTGGGACTTGACTCACGAGGGGGGAAACTGTTACCTAACTTTAGCCCTAATGTACCACGTGAAAGCAGGAAATAATCGCCCGATCATCCCAATTAGGGAAACAGAGGCTCCAGACCCCTGGTTGTACTCCGAGTAGAGAACGAGGTGCATTCGGCAACATGCCATTGCCAAGGTGGCGGCAGAAAATAAGCCCCAAACTCTGCTGTCTCCATAGAAAGTTTAATTAAAAAAATTAACAAAGACCATAATGAAAATTCATTCGTCATGTCACCTGGCGGAAAGGGTTTTCAGCCATTCTGGGTCACCTTTTGAGTGGATGGAAGATCAAGGGGGAAAATGGGACATATATATTTCCCCAGATCCCACATGGTCCTTTCCCCGGAATGTCCCCCGGACTCATCCTCCTTCGCTACATGAAAACCCCTTGTCACAATGACCGTCGACATGTCCTCCGAGCAGGAGGCCAATGACTTCCAGCAGGTTCAGGTTGTCAAACCATCGATGTGGCGGTCCCTGGCGAATAACCCCAAGGTGCTTTTTATCGCATTCTTTGCCTCGTAGGTTGCCTTGGACATCCATGGTATTTTGTCCACCGAACTGACACACTATTTAGCTTTGGTGGTTTTGAGTATGGCTACCAGCAAGGCGTGCTGGGACAGTCTTTGGTCATGACCCGTTTCAAAGAGAACTTCCCCTCCGTGGTGGACTCTTCCACAGCCACCGGTTGGTTGACTTCAATTCTCCAGTTGGGCGGAGTTGTGGGATCCTTGTCTGCAGGTGTGCTGGGAGAAATCTTTTCACGAAAGTACACCATGTTCGTCGCATGCTGCTGGGTGATCCTCGGGAGTTATCTTTACGTTGGCGCCACGAACGGCAATCCGGCACTCTTGTACGCCGGACGATTCTTCACGGGTGTCGGCGTGGGTCTGTTTAGCGGTGTCGGCCCCTTGTACAATGCCGAGCTGGCAGCGCCCGAGATGCGTGGTCTTTTGGTGTCTTTCTATCAATTTGCCACCATTCTCGGAATCATGATTTCCTTCTGGGTGGGTTACGGAAGCAACTACATTGGAGGTACGGGCGAGACGCAGTCGGACATGGCATGGCGCCTGCCTTCCATTGTCCAAGGTATCCCTGCCGTTTGCCTAGCCTGTGGCATTTGGTTCATGCCTTTCTCTCCCAGATGGCTGGTCAAAAAGGACCGTGATGAAGAGGCCCTCGCTACGCTTGCCTGGATAAGAAAGCTGCCACAGGACCATGAGCTGGTTCAGATGGAGTTTTTGGAGATGAAGGCAGAAGCCCTGTTTGAAAAGAGGGCATTTGCCAAAGCAACACCCTGGTTGGCCGAAAGAGAAAACAAGAGCGTTTGGATGAGCCAAATCGCACAATACGCGAATTGTTTCCGGACCATGGGCAACTTCAAAAGGGTCTGCACGGCATGGCTGGTTATGTTTTTTCAGCAATGGAGTGGTGTCGATGCCAGTAGGTCTCTTTTCTCCAGGCCCGCTTGCAATTCTGCTAACAAGATGGACAGTTATTTACTACGCGTCTAATGTTTTCGTTAGTCTTGGACTGACGAGTGGCACTGTTGCTCTCTTGGCGACTGGAGTGACTGGCGTGGTCTTCCTCATCAGCACGATGCCGGGCATGGTATGGAATTGAAACCCAAATCCGTCCATAGTCGCACATTCCGCTAATTCTCAACAGTTGATCATCGACAAAGTCGGTCGAAAGCCGATGCTCTTAGTCGGCTCATTGGTGATGTTACTTAGCATGGTAATTGTTGGAGTAATTGTGGCCAAATTCCGGCACGATTGGCCTTCTCACGAGGCCGCGGGCTGGAGTGCTGTCGGTAAGTATCCTCATTTCGCCTTCATTGTCACTAGCTTTACATAAATCCAGATTGGGCTAACTAAGGCAACAGCACTTATCTGGCTCTATATCGCCGGCTTTGGTGCTACCTGGGGTCCTTGTTCATGGACATTGGTTTCAGAAATCTTCCCTCTCTCTATTCGTGCGAAAGGTGCTTCCATTGGCGCGTTTAGCAACTGGATCAACAACTTTGCCATCGCCTTCTTTGTACCACCAATGCTAGAAGCATGGGCATGGGGTACGTATATCTTCTTTGCTGTGTTCCTGGGCGTCGGCATGGTCTGGGTGTGGTTCTTCCTGCCAGAGACCAAGAATGCGTCGCTCGAGGAGATGGACCGGGTTTTCAAGAGCAACACCGGGGAGCAGGACGCCGAGATGCTGCGTGAAGCACAGAGAGAGGTTGGATTGACCGCATGCCTCGAACGATTGTCCAAGGGGCCGGTACCCACCGAGAAAGATAGCTATGGGTCACATCTCGAGCAGGTATAAACCGGGATAATTTGTTGGGAGTTGCCGGCGTGCTCACGGTATTGGAAATATATGTATAATGCAGTACTAAACGTTGAATGATGATGACTTGGCCATTATGAATATTGAATCACTAGCGTCGCTCATTCAGGGCCGAAGCTAATATAATACTTCCATGCATTAGTGTCATTTAACGTACCTCAGATAACAGAGCGACAGATGTTTCTGGAGCCTGAGCCATGGGCTATATGTCGGGTGTGCGCAAATCGCCTACTTCATAGATGTAACCTTTCAATGCTTGGTGACATAGGTCGTTGCACATCCAGATGCGTTCTCGTAACGGAGTGTTGGCTGTTTGCGCAGCAGAGTCCCGTCACACTTGGAAAGAGCCAAGGTTTTCGGTGGTGGCAATGGCAACACCTGCGTAATCAAATCACAGATAGAATCTCGTTTGTCTCATAGCCCCAGACTGCTTCAAGGTCCCTAAGTCGCCACAGCGCTCCCCATCCTGTGGTTTGCTCGATGGCTTTGAAGAGCTTAGCCACAGCTATGTGTTCGCGACGATGGCTCAAAAGCTTCCCAGCAATGAATAAGGGCTGAATAGCATTAATGAGGTTGCCCGGATGTGGATTGGTCAGCGAAATGCCGCACACCCTCCTTGCGTGCCAAACTGAGGAAGCTAGGTGACTTGACGAGAGCAGTGTGGTAGGGGGCTTAACCTCCAGCAACAGGATGCAGGCCGTATGATACAGTTGATTACTAGATATAGCTGCCTGATGAGCGTAGAAAATCTCCGGAAACATTCGATCTCCCTGCATGTTGGTAGACTTGGTCGGGAGAATTGCTCGCGGCCGTTGTTCCAGCCAATATTGCAGCTCGTCCCACAGTCGGTTCCATTGCTCATGGAACGGTCGTGGATCAGTAGTGTCGTACTCCCCTAGCTCTAAGTACCTTGTGCGCCTGCACACTAGATCGCATGCTTTGGCGCACAAATATACGGCCCAGTTTGCGTGCATATCTGGAGTTAGGCGGCTCTGTTCTAAAAATAGCTCTCGAACTCGTTTTTCATTGTCCTCAATACTTTCGGACGCCTGGCCCAAAGATACAGCAGGAACCCACTTCTCGAGAGGAAGAACCGTCCTCTCTGCACCGTTTGAAACGATTACTCCACACAGCTCCATGCGGACATAGCACCAGAATACAGCCTGTAGATGACCCCCGGAAAACCCGTTTACACTGAAGCAATCAAATAAAGCCGCACAGCCATCCACATGACGCCTCCAGTCTTGCGGGCTGACGGACATTAACTCCATGACCGCTAGGACGCAGGCGGTCACCAACACATTTGGATCCTTTGCTTGAAGGCCGGGCGATACCCAGCGGATTGACTCCTGATAGAGCTCGAGGCTGTCATGGCAGTTGCGGAGACCCGCTTTCCTTTCCGTCTGCCGGGCAGAAAAGGCGAGGATGGCGTAGAATAATCCGGGGGATTCTCGCGCTAAGATCGGAATGTGGACCCCAAAGTGGCGAGCCTCGTCAAATTTATCGAGATAAGGCGCGCATTCTGTGATCCAATTCTTCAGATAGTTTATCAAACGAGGCTTGGGTACGGGAGACCTCGCAAAGAGATCTATGTCATGTCGGAGCTCGGAGAGTGCGGGCTCAGTTGTCGCTTGGACGAGGTATTGTTTTGGGGTGCCATCAGAGACGGCTGTGAAAAGAGCACTTCGGAGCTCTTCTTGCAATTCAAGAAAACGTGGGTGTGCTGTGTAAGAGCTCTCCGATAGTGAGTGCGTCCCCGGAGACAAGATCATCCCCTCCCCCGTTCCTTGATGCGATGAAGCAAGGGGATCCATTGTCTATGACCTTCGATGGGTTGAATACAGTCGGACTTTTTGTTGCTGCGAATCACCGGAGGAAACAACACGCGGCTCAATATAGTAGGCGGTCAACCGGGTGATCACTAATAGCAGAGCGCGATTTTATCGGGTCCAAAAAAATCTCGGCGGTGCTCAAAATTCTGCCACCGTCTCTGAACCCCGTTCAGGTTTTTCCGGATTCCGTGTTCAGCACAGCCAAGCTTTTTTTGAACCCCGTTCAACTGTATGCCCATTATTTTATTGATGTCCAGATCCTAGCGATTTTCCCCCTTTTTTCCCGACCTCGCGTTCCAATTGGTCGCTGGAAAGAGGCGCCACGTGACTGTGTTGAAGCGCGAACTCCTCTTGAGCTACGGCCAGGGAGTACTGATTCAGCAAGTAGCAGAGCAACAACCATGATCGTAAATATATATATCTCCATTTCGAAACCAATGGTGTAGAAATCCTAGGTAACTGTGGATTGGTCCCTTGTAGTTAGTTAGCCAGTCTGGCGAGATCTGTTGGCCGAAGAGACTGAAAGCTAAGCATAAACAAGCACTCAGCTTGAGCTTCTACCACATATGTACTCTATACATATGCAATTCTATGAAGAGGGCTGATATATGCTCCGTAGAGTAGGACCACTTTAGGTTTTATCCAGCTGTCTAAAGTGCTTTGCAACTTAAACCACTACTTAGCCTGAGCTAGTACATACGACCATGGGGTATAGAGAACAGGGCTTCCCGTCCGCTCAGCCATACTTAAGCTATATATTACGCGTGGTTAATAAATATAATAATCTTTAGCCCTTTAAAAAGCTAAAATCGACCCTGCGGCATGGTCTGGCCACCTATGTTTTGCCGTCTCATCGAGGGGCTGGCGCATGGGAGGACATGTTCGGCGCGTTGGTGACATTTATGCGGACATACACTCAAGCGCATCTCGAGGCAGTGAATCAATCTGGGGAGCGAGGATTTCTCGCGCGTGGGTTAGTCAAGGGTGACAACCCAGCTTTGAGAGAAATTTATGCCAGTCTCGGCGCGTACGAAGCGGCTCGGATAACCCATGCAGATGCTCAACATCTGAACTGGAAAATAGGACTGTGTGAGCTGATACCCGATAGCCTTTTCATGGAGGACAAAATTGATGATGAGTTGTATTCGGTAATGGAGATTCGCGTGAGCTGTTAGGTTTCAGTCAGTAATTGTGTTTTGATTTCCAAGGCTGGAGCCTAGCTTGATTATCTACTTTACAATGCTTCTTTTCCCTAATAAATGCATGGTACGACGACACCCCACTGTGCTTTGCCTGTACTCCTAGAGTGGAGGCAGGATCAGATGGAAAGGATATCTTGCAGCTGCTCCTATTCCCCGAACAGCCTCGTTGGGTTGCCCTAATCCTACTACAACTACTAAGCACCCGCTTGGACACTGCATGTTGAGCATCCTGCTCTTCTTTTATATGGATGGTGTTTTGTAAAGTCTTAACTGTGAGTCCACACGGGGTTAAATTAGGTTAGGGGAACGGCAAGGAGAGTATGGGTAATTACGGGGATATCTATATCTATATATCTTGGATCATCCCTAGCTGTTGTCTCGACTCCGCCACTCAAGCGGTGTCGGTGTGACGTTCGAAACGGTACCGCCCTGAAGCGGCGTGGGAAACGACCATACCCCAAAAAGTGATAAAGCGAGGCATAGAAGAGAGACAGAAATCGAGAAACAGAAAAAAAAAATTTACTACGGAAGGACAAGGCAAGACAGGCAAAAAAACATACAACAGGAGGGATTCGCTGGTGGTCACCCACCCAACTACTAACCTCCCGGCGTGTGGCTTAAGTACGGCTGAGCGGACGGGAAGCCCTGTTCTCCACACCCTGTGGTCGTATGTACTGTGTGGTTCTCACTATAAGGATTATATAGACACCATTCTCCTTGGCTTATCATATGTCGCATAAACCAATACTTCGTGCATTGACAACAAGGGGGGACAGGCAAAAAGGAAAATGAAAGAAAGACAAAGAAAAATAAAATGGAAATCCGGAGCTGGCTGACAAAACATCTTGAGACTCAGCTGCTGGAGCAGATAACCTGCGGCTAAAGATATATATATCGCAGCCTGAGCAAGGCCTTCACAATTCGTACCCCCTACCCCAAACAACCAGAATAATTCAAACTGTATTAATTAGCAGAGAAAACAATGATACTACAGAACAAACAAAGAGAACCTTCTCACACTCCTGTAACTTCCGCTTTGGCCCGAATCTACCGATGGATCCGCTTTTGTGCCAAACCTGCAAGATGGCGTCACATAGGGCTTGCATAACTCATAGGTATGACAGGTGTATCGAAGGAATGCTAATAGCACATCCTGAGGACCCCTGACGGTGACTTGATTTCGTGAGCCTTAGTTACACTCCTATCTTTCGTCGCTAGTTCTATGTGATAGCAATACGAGTCAAGAGCACCTCTACCAACAATAACATAGTATCGGAGCACGGCTTCATAGGAATAATAGACTAAATTACAGAGAATACTTTTGCTCGCATCAACAGGTTCACATCGAGAAAATATCCCTCTGCCCACCCACCATTGGAATACTCGCGCTGGCGCTTCTAAGGTCGATGGCATACTGCCTCAATGTTGTTACCAGCTGCGTCAATGACAAATGCCCCATAATAATTCGCATGGTACATCGTGCGCAATTCAGGTTTACCGTTGTCCACACCTCCGGCCTTGATAGCCGCATTATAAAAGGCTTCAATGCTGGCACGGTCTTACATCCTCTAGTGCGTGAACTCGATTCTATGTGGATTCCAGAAGACATACCAGGTGCACGAAATGCAAGGTGTGAGGGGTAGGCTGGGACATCCTTGTCACTAATGACCCAAAAGTCCACAGGAGCAACAAAGCCAGTATCCAAGTTCGATGCCATTCCCACAGCTTTCCCGTCAAGCTGCTGGCGGATCTCGTACCCTAGTGGCTTGAGTGCAGCGAGGTAGAGCTTGAGGAATTCTTGATATTTGGCCTCGGGAACGTGAAGACTAAGGTGATCGATGGCCATCTTCGGAGTTTGGAGGGGATGTGAACTTTGGTTGCGGAAAGTGGGTGTCGTTTTGGTAATATTCTTCTCGGGGGGATGGGGAATATATATAGGCGTTCAGGAGATAACCCATTTCCAACAATTGGCCGCATGTGTACGCATATCCTGCCATCTTTCTGATCAAACCTGCTTAGTTGAAATATTAGCGGAGTTTGATTCTAAATGCGGTGGCCGTCGCAGTAGGGCTTACCCACAGATGAATTCTTGAACATATCATATCCAAGCCTTATGAAAGCTTTTATATTATGACTCTGGCCAGTATCGGACATTATGCAGACAATGAACAGCCAACAAGGCCCTTGCGACCCTTAAATCATCCGTAAATGGAAGGCTAGATGCGGGACAGTACTGTCCTGGCTGTTAATAATTATTAGCCAAGGTCTCTCTCGAGTAGCAAATTGTTTTGTGATAGCGTGGACAGCTCGAATCGTCCTCGCAACGCCGGAAGTCGATACGAGAGGGGTAAAAGATATGGCCGCGGCCCAGCTTCTAACAAGGAAATATGCACCTGTCAGACAGATCTCCTTCGTCTGAAAGGCATTTAACACGGTTTTCGTGTGACGCTACCTCCAACATCTAACTTACTGGCTATACGATCTCGCGAGCCAAGACAACAGGGCTCGTTGAGCATCAGGCCGCCCCATTCTTCGTGCCTTGGAACGTGTATATGATAGCCTGCAATGACATAGTATCGTTATTGTCTTGGGTCAACCCCTTACCAACTGGGTTTAAACCTTTCCAGTGAACAAATGCTGTCGTGATTTCCGTGTCTTCCACTCTAGCCGGTACACCCGAGTGTGTCTTTCTGCGTGGCAGCGCGTGATCCGGAGCAGCCCTGTCTACTCTGTGCAGAATCCTGTTCTGACCACGCAGATCCTCATGGCGATCATTTAATCTGACCTTTGATGCTCTTTTCTGACCCTAATGTCGTGGTGATAATAAAATGGGATTACCGCCGCCGACCGTAGGCTACTTGCCCAGTCTGCCCACCATGCATCCACGACGTGCCTCCAAATACGAATTCGACTTATCGAATCTACGAACATTCCAAGGCCTTCCGGGTATTCCACCTCGTGAGTTCATCCCCTCATCCTCTCAACCCCAGCATACCTTGCATCGAATAGTGCTCTAAGCAAATGAAAACCGAAATACAGACCAAGATCTAGAATGCTGCATTATCTGTCTTGAGCCGATAGCCTCAACGTCCGTCCTACGGGAGTTTCCATGTGGGCATCTCTTCCACCAAGTCTGTGCCGATGACTGGGTCTGCAATTTTGATTCCAGGTGTCCTATATGTCGCCAGGCGTTCTACTACTTGCGATATCCACGAATGACCAAGCCTCCGCCCCCAGCTGTCATCCAGGAGAGTGGGCGAAGCTCACGGTGGGGTTCTGAGAATGTCCATACTCATGGGACGTTTCATTCGCTTAAGCATTGGTGTAAGACTAGGTTGAGTACTAGGACCAATGGCAGTGGGCGTTGCCACGCAGGGGCGGCAATGACGATGGATAGCAACCCTGCTTCTTCTGATCAGTAAGCGGTGGGGGAGTAGTAGTCATGGTGTTGTGTCCTTGTTTGAGGCGTTGTGGTATTTCGTGCACTCAGGCTTGTATGTATCTAGCCCTTTCGTTTGTTTTGGCCCTTTGCTTTGTATATAGTACATATCAATTGAATGGGTCATGAGTCCACAACTATGGCTCGAAGCAAGTACGGATGGCCTGGATATCCTATATTGCCTCGTGACGTACCATCGCCTATTCACTAGAATTCTCTGGGTGTAGATTCCATACATCTCAACCAAGATAGGCCCTTTCAACTAAACCTCGATATTAATCTTGGTACAAATGAAGAATCACCGGGTAGAGTACTGTATACCTGAACCAGTAATAGAAGAATAAGTGGATCCTTACCCTGGTGACATGATCTTGCATTTCATCGACTACTATGGTTAGCTTAGTCAAGTTGGTACATATATCAGATCTACAATCCACACGGAATGATCAACACAGACTGAAATCCCTGCAGGGCCGCGCGGACCGGTTTGCCTAAAAGAGAGCTTAGACTTGCTACTTTTCCCGAATTCAATAGCTATGACGTTCAACACCGGTGTCAATTGTATGAGGGTCAGCGGTTGGAAACAGGATGCCGAACGTGGCCAGCAGCATACCCAAGGACCAGCTATTTCTCGTTCTTCGTTCCCGTCCGCTTGCTTTGAATCCAGCCCACAAGTCCGCGACAGCCGGTCCACACGGACCGGAGTAGATGCAGTCGTACCGCACCATGTTACCCCAGTCTTTCAGTGTAAACAAATCGGAACCAAGATACATGCACGCATGGCGAGCATGAGAGAAAGGAATCGATTACATCAATGACTCGATTTATGAGTGCGGGATATATACCCACGTGGCTCTAGTGATGCACACTGGTTTGCTTCTGATAGTTTTTAATCACGGCACATAAAGTCAGCTTGTGGGCTAGGTCATTAAGAATCTATCTGATCTGTTTTTCGTCTCTGGGCCTTCAATATCCCTACATCTGAAGACAGAATGGGTGGAAACAGGGCAACCCACGTTAATCCTTTCATAGTGAACGACAGGACTGTTGATATCCATATCACTGTCCGCGGCTCAGATTGGTATTGGGCTGTGATGTCGATCATGGGCTTCACCATGCTCGCAATAATGGGGCTATCTTTTCGCCGCCCTCCAACGCGGCGAATATTCCATTACCTTCTCGCAGCCGTTGCTTTCGTAGCAATGGTAGAACACTATAGCATGGCGTCTAATCTCGGATGGGTCCCGATTGACGTAGAATGGCATCGCAGCGGCCACTTGGATTCTGGAATGAATCGCCAGATCTGGTGGGTTCGCTACTGTGGCTGGTATGATTGATCTCCACTCCATCAACCCTGTGGTATGCATCGCATGTTGACAACATCTTTCCACACTGCAGGTTCCTGATCTGGCCGCTTCTGTCTCTATCTGTGCTTTTCACCTGCGCCGCCCCTACTGTTCATATACTCTGGGCGTGCTTTCTGAGCGCGGTGATGGCGATCATGGCAGTAGTCGGTGCTGTGGTCCGCAGCGACTACAAATGGGGTCAGCATAAACACGTTGCTTTCCCAGAAAACGTCACTGACATACTAGTTTAGGATATTACGCGTTCTGGATCTGGTCCTGGCTATTGCTTGTCTATTCTCTACTCATAGCACCTCGAGGATATGCTAAAGCCTTAGGCCGAGATGTCGAGCTCGCCCACATCATACCAGCAAGTTGGATTTGTCTGCTCTGGATGCTCTACCCTGTATGCTGGGGGGTTAGCGAGGGAGGGAATGTCATCCCGCCTGACTCGGAGTTCATCTTCTACGGCATCCTTGACTGTTGCCTTATTCCCATCACCTGTGGGGTGTTTCTCTGGTTGCATGCAGGAATCGACCCAAGCTATTTGGGACTGTATATTCGTACATATAAAGATCCTATTGGTGGATGGAAGGAACCGGCACTTGTTAGTGGAGGGGTCGAAAAGCCCCAGGAAATTAGGGCTCCGGGCCCAGTAAATGGGGGTAGCGGTCAGCCGACTGCTTCTGAGCCTGGTCAGCTCGTCGAAGGAGTCCCGTCTGCGGAAGGACAGGAGACGGTCTAGGTAGAGTGTCTTCGTACACGACGGGTGCCAGGGAGAGCATGTGGGTATGAGATCGTTTGGTGTCTGACTCTTCACTGAATTTGCTCGTTTCATATTTAGGTTATTGACGCTGATTATGGATTGTCAGCGCTTTGATTCCGTTTATTTTTTTCTGACCACGCGGAATTAATGTCTAATACAACTTGATCAAAAATTCCCACTGTCGGGAAACAATTGTATAGGAACTATCTTTCTCGTGCATCATAACACCTAGGCAGCAGTTGAAAGTTCCAACACAGTAGGAAGTCAGAGAGGCGAGGGTCCAAAAATAGAGAATATCACTCCTTTCGGTTGCTTCTACTCAGCCTCTTCCTCTTTATTGGACGCCAGGAAGAATCGTCCGCTGCCCGTCCCAGCCTCCTGTACATACTGAACAGTGACCTGGGCTAGATGACTCAGGATATTTTCGACCTGGATCTCGCCTCTGCTGCGCTTTTTCCGGCCCAGGTCATCCAACCATCGAATCTTATTGAGGGCATAATACAACAGCGCAATCACAATAGTCACGCCCAATGAATACCCCCAGACCCGCACAACAGTCACAATATCGGTCCATCCGTTATGAGTTTCTTTTGGGGAGTCCAGCAGCTGGTCGAACGGGTCAGTAGCCATATCCCTATTTGAGAACCAGCCAAACAAGCAGAAGATTGTAGCCAGGGCATCAACGCCGAATATTGCACCCACTAGCTGAACAGATGGCCATGTGTCGCCGCCTCTAGTCACGAAGATCAGCCAATTCTCGGTCAGTGCCACTTCGAGAAATATAATTTCTTGGGTTGAGCCCCAATTCTGGATGATGCCACCGTCAGGAAGGAATAGGGTGCCCCGGATCACCCATGTTGCTGCGGCGAGCAAGATGCCGAGAATAAAAGAGATGATCCAGATCTTTGGCAGCTGCCACTCGACAGGACGGAGCTCATAGGATGCGTTATCGTATGCCACAGCGACCGTTGCGAGATCGGCAAATAGTGCTAGAAACACGACTAGATCGCTACGGATACTCTCATTGAGGATTATCATAGCGGTCACTAGGTAGATCTCAAGGTGCAGACAGAGTGCTATTCGATATTGAATATAGGCCTTCATGCGGTGGAAGATCTGCCGCGCGACTTTAATAGAATCGATAATAGTAGAAAGTCCCGGTTTCAAAAAGACGATATCAGCAGCGGACTGGGCTGCCTCGGACGCGCCTTCGACTGCGATCCCACAGTCCGCTTTCTTCAACGAGGGCGCGTCGTTGACTCCGTCTCCCGTCATTGCTGTGAGATGTCCACGGTCCTGTAATATCTGCACCACCTGATATTTATGTTCTGGAAAGACCTCTGCAAACCCATCTGCTCGTTCGACAAGGTCCCCAGCCATGGCACCCAGGCCTCCGCCGATGAGCCGTTCGGAATTGTAGACTTTCGTGCCAAGCGACAATTGTTTACAAGTCTCCTTTGCGATGGCTATTGCATCCCCAGTTAACATCTTGACCTCTATACCTAGTTTCTGGGCCTCGGCCATTGTCTGTGCGGTGTCTTCCCTTGGGGGATCAAACATGGGCATCATCCCAAGCAGCCTCCAGTCCTCGTCTTCTTTACGCACGGCAATACCCAGGGAACGGAATCCACGACTGGCAAACTCCGTCGCCTTCTCCTTATACATCTTTGCCTCGGAGGAATTGGTCAGCCGTAAAACGGCATTAGGGGCCCCCTTCGTGCATGTATACTGGACACCGTTACACGTTGCAACCGCGACAATTCGCTTGGACACGGGGTCGAAGGGGTGAAATTTCTCTACCTTCCATCCTCGCTGCAGGATTTCCTTCGCTTTGGGATACTGCTTTAGTGACAGCACAGTCACCTTGTCTATCGGGTCCAGGGCGTTCACGTTATGAGAGGAGGCCAGCGCCGCCACGGCGAACATCCAGTTCACATCCACACCTTCAGCAACGAACGGCTCTCTGATGCTGAGGCGATTGGCGGTTAGAGTCCCGGTTTTATCCGAGCATAAGATATCGACTCCCTTCTAATATCAGCCTCAAACTTGAAACGAGGTCTGGAGTGGGAATAGAAAGGGCCTACAGAAAGAGACTCGATTGCGGTCAACTTCTGCACAATGGCTTTTTTCTTCGCCAGATACGCAGCCCCAACAGCTAAGGTCGTTGTGGTGACAACAGGAAGACCAACGGGGACCCCAATAATCATTAGCGCCAGGGTATAGAACAACAACGTCTGTTCTCCAGGGGATGCAATGGGGATATTTCGATAGAACCCGCCAATCCACACTGCTAGAATCCAGGCCATTACCAAGACCAGAAGCGATGTTCCGATACTGTCCATCACCATCTTAAAATGGCCAGTGTCCTTGGAATCCTGCACCATGGCTGCGGTCCGCCCAACGAACGTTCTCTGGCCGGTTGTTTGGACCACCGCATAAGCCTTTCCCCTCTTACACCCGGTCGTGTAGAAGACGGTGTCCCCCATGTATCGGTCAACGGCGAGCGATTCCCCTGTAATCGCGGAATGATCGCACGCTACAATCGAATGCCCGCGTCTGGTCCCCGCATCCTCACCGGGGTCATCGTCCTCGGATTGAGGGCTTGAGCCGTCTAGCATCCCGTCCTGCAAAAGTTCCTTATACTCCTTCCATCCATGTTCACGATTATCGTACGCACAAATGACCCTAGCGTCCGCAGGAACGGTCTGTCCCTCATCGATCACGATCTAGGACACGGCTTGCGTCAGAATCCGTTGTAGAGTGTGGTTTCACGGTAGGTATACTGACCACATCCCCAGGAACCAATTCTCGAGCCAGGCACTCCATTTCCTGCCCATTGCGCACGACTGTAGCGCGCATGGCAATATCGGCCTTCAGACTTGCCACGACATCTGCGGCCTGTTTCTCCTGGTACCAGCCGACGGCGGCATTCAGCCAAAGAATCCCAATTATGACGCCGAAATCGATCCAATCCTCTAGCCCAGCGGCAAGCAGGACGGCGAGCTCCATCACTACGTAACCCAGTATTAGCACGATGGTCCCAGCCGGTCAGTGCGAATAAAGGTAGTAGGTAATGCTCACCATAAAGAATCGGCCCCTGGAAATATGAGATAACCTTCGCAAATGGGTTCTCCTTCTCCGAAGCCAGTTCATTGAACCCGGCGACATTACGCCGATGAGTAACGTCCGTATCAGTCAGACCATCTCGGATATCAGTAAGGAGCCAACTGTCAGGGAACTTGCGCGAGGATCCGCCAACGTGTTTCCAGCGGAATTTCCTCTTGTGCCACGGGGCATACCACACTCGGTGGACGCGCACCTCACCTTCGTCGGGGCTGACGAAGTCGGATTCCCGGTACGCAGAGATGAACCTGACGAGGCGAGTGAATTCATCGCCGTCACTAGGGTCTTCGACATTCGTTGGCTGAGCAGCGTTCTCTGCGTCGCCGGGGCTGTCTTGGGGCATGGTCTGGGCCATTTTACCGGGCAATATATACTACGGCCCAGTGGGTAACGGGCTCTTGGAGGCACACGTACGAAATCAACACGGCCACTCGCAATGTGGTTGCGAAAGAGATGCTAATATCCAGTAGGTTTAGGTTCTAGGCGAACTCTGTATATCCCGCGAAAGTCTCTTATTTGAGTCCGGTGACAGCCAAGGGGTAGATCCTGGCAGTGATGCACTGACCGTATCGAACGTCATCTCCGAGGAGAAATTGCCTGTACTGTTGTTCTGTGATTCTACATAGGGTTAAAACGAGCAATAGAAGGTTCGCGGCCGGACGGACCGGACGATCCGGTGAGTCAGAGAGGCGATCGGTGACCTCATGCGCTGGAACATCACATAGATCAAGGAGCCAGAAGCATCGAGGATGTCGTAGGCCTGCTGTCTTCTGCATTTAGCTCATCATATCAATGTTGCTGCTGGGGTCGGTTTCTCGGGACCCCCATCCCACGCGTCTCGCTGTCTACTAGGATTTGTCTGCAGACCCTGGCCGCATGAGTCGGGACGTAGTGAGTATAGTTTCATGGTTTTATACTGCCATCTCCTGTCGGATACTAATTGAGAGATACTTCAAGAGTCCGCTGCTCAGGTATGCCTGTCATCACCGCGCAAGCTTTCCAACCTTCGCTTTTTGACGCCCATCAACATGCGAGGCGAAGTAATTGGGCAGAAAGCCAGCCCGGGGTTATCCTTGTTTTTGTTATTGTTTTTCTCGTTGGTTTCGGCATTCTTGGAATCATAGTCCATAAGGCGTGGGAGGCTCGCAGGGCCGAGAGGGCTGAGTGGACTGTTGAAGAGATCAAGGATGATGTTTAGCGTACACTGGCATAATACTTGCATCGCAGCCTCATTTTCTACAAGTGAATTTTTAACCGGTTGGGACTGCAGGGTATAACTAGTGTAGGATATCGTTCGCTATCGAAAGTACTTTGCGCATCACCAAGAAAAACACAAAAAGACCAGTGACTGCTACATATTTTATCTACCCACCACTTCTTGTGGTCTCCTATGTATTCATGCCGTAGTATATTGGATCAGGACGAGATAGTGATCCAGCACGGTACGATCGGGCTGGTGTGCGTACCTACCTCTGTACCCAATTTCCGGGACAGTTACTGACGACTGTTTCTAGTGATGGTCCCGCCCGCGTTCGAGCCCGACAGACACTAGCGCTTCTAAATCTCGGCGTCAGTGCTGAAGACGAACCGGCGCCTGCTGATCCGGATGTGATCATTACCTATTTACTGCGAGAATGAGACAACGGAGTCTATGAGGGCCTCGCTCTCCGTGCGACGAGGGAGATTAGGCAATTAAAGGGACCCCGTCGTATGACGTAAAAGGTGGTGAGCCCAGGGATATAGTTATAGTCTGCGTAGCGCCTGGACATATCCTATCGGCGCGTGCGTTGAGGTGGGAAGAGCAGCCGCTCGAGGCTTCGTATTGAAGCTGCGGAAGTAGGGACTTTGGTAAGCTCAGCTGTGAACAGGTACTATGTAAATCTCTTGATTCGGCTGAGACCGGAACGAAAATGGGCTTCTATGTACTAGGTACCATAGGTCTCTAAGAGTTATGAAGGCAATTGGAGGACTGAAATGGACTTGTAATATGTTTTTCGGTGCCCAGATATCTAACGTGGCAGCAGGCACATTGATTCGCTATGATGTCTGACTCTATGTCCAGGTATACTGACAAGATCTATCGGAGTACCCCCCAGATTAAGCCTTTTCCATCCCAGGACAGCCGCGTTGTGAACACGCCTACGTGTCACCGGAAACACACAGGTGTGGCGAGACCTCGAGTCCACTGCAGACTCCCGATTTCGACGACGAGGAAACCCAAAGCAACGGCCACACTCACACTCCCATAAATATAAGCATGCTGACGCTGCAAATCGGACAGTTCAAGAACCCAGGTACTGACAGTGGTCAGACACCCGCAAAACCCGTCCATGATCCCTTCCAGCACCTCGCAGCCGGTAATTCCGCCGATGGTGAGCGGAGAAGTGCTGACGGTGGCATGTTGTATCGAGTATGCCATTCCAAATACCATTGTGCCTACTATGTTCACCGTAAATGTTCCCAGCGGGAAACCGAGTATCCGGCTATTTAGCTTGAGGGAGAGATAGAAGCGGGATACGCAACCAATTGGTGCAAAGACAAGAGAGAAAAGAAACGGTCCGCGCCATATATTGGGACTCCATAACGTGGTTGCTCCGTGATCTTGGGGCAGAAGGACTACGAGACAGATGACAAGGATCCATGATAGCCAAGCTAGGATAGCGGAAAAAGGGTCGACGTATTTGCGCAACCACACTTGGGCCAGACTGGGCGTCCATGGAGAGAGACCCACTGCAAGATGAGCTCCAAGAAAGAGACCGGCCAAGGAGAGGCCGATCTCCGTGAAGAGGACGGCGAGAATGGACATGAAGCTAAACCCGCCATTAGGAGATTTCAAACTGGCAGGGCCAGACGCAAACAGGGAGACCTCGTCATACGATCCGGCTGGCACCACGGGGTTATTGGAGAGTGCCAGATAGACATCGCGCATGAAGGTGGAGAAAGACGTAAGGCTTCCACAGAAGCCCGTGGTCAGCCCGATATACAAGGGCACGGTTTTCTTGTGGGCTTTGATATGCGCGGCACGCTGTGACGGGGCGTTTTTCACATGGTGAGGGAGACTTGATCTGACGCTTTCAAAGTGAAACAACTCTTGGTCCTCGCTCAGGAAGCCCATGAGCATACTGCCCCCAACGTTCGCCCACAGAACACTGGTATTGACTGGTGTCCCCGGGTAGAAGGTCAGGCATTCGATGACCACCCGGAGTAAAGTCCCCAACATCGAGAATAACACAAGATAGGACACAATATAGGTCGTCTGCAGGAATTTCAACATGCGTTCTGGTTTAGGGTGTTTCTCTTGCGGGTTTTCGTCCGGGCTCTGCACATCATCGGGTCCAACCGGTTCATATCTCTCGTCTCGAGGGTCTATCTGAGCTCTGCGTGCTGGCTGGTGTTCCAGGTAATCATTCAGCCGCACCGGCCTCTCAGATACATCGTACACAGGAGGCGGAGCAGCAACCTCGTTCAGATTGCCTGCATCGTGAGGTCCCGGGCGACCAGTCTGCTGCGAACCGTCCGCGTCCATTGTCCGTTCTGCGAGGCCGAAGAGACTCGACAGCCAAGTCATGAGGTCAGAGACGCGTTAATTAATTATTAATAATTTTTCTTCCCCTTTTTTTTTTTTCCGTTTTCTTTGGTAAAATTACAGGGGGGCAAGATTAAGTTGGCGCAGGGGGACATTCTGGCCCCAGCAAAACGAAACTCATAGTCGGCAGCACCGGATCGGGCGGTCCGGGCGGTGGTGGAAAATCACCACAATTGATGTCATGTCATGATCCTATTACCACCTCAACAAATCCATCCTGGTCTTCTTGTACGCTTGAACCCCCGAGCCTCCAGTCGCACGGTTCTACCGGATCGGAGTAAGATCATCTAGGATGAAGCGTCAGCGTGTCGGGGTTGCGTGTGACAAGTGCCGCCTGCTTAAAGCAAAGGTTTGCTTCGTTCACCTCGCTGACAGCCAGCTCTAACTTGGCAGTGTGACGGCCGCCAACCGGTGTGCTCCAGATGTGACGGATATGGATTCACCTGTTCATGGTCAGCGCGCAAACCGAGAGGGTCTCCAGGAAGTCAGCCTGACCTGAGCCGTCAAGGAATCGACGAATCTGGGCGTGATTCTCACGGTGCGCTGCCCAGCGGCACTACGGGGGACTTCCTCACGGCCTACGCCAACGCCACTCAATCTTATGAAGCATTGATTCGCGAGCTCAGGCTGAACTTGGATCCTACTCAACAGGCGAAGCTTGATGCTGGCCTGCAGAATATTCAGAATCAATTACCAGACGTTGCCAAAACCGAGCAGCCCGGTCCGAACGCAATAGCCGCCCCACAGGGAGACGATACCACGGAGTCTTCGCCTACTTATGTTGGCAAGGCAAGCGATATCCATTTCGTCCATTACATCCGGAAATATGTGACCGGAAATGGCTCTCTCGATGAAGATGATCTCCCCACGCAGAGCTATGCTCATCATCCCAATCTAGGGACATTCGTGGCGTTGACCCAACCGCCGTTGGTACCCTCAGAGGCTGAAGCAGAACAGTTTTTGGACGTCTACCTGTCGACCATCCATGTTGCGTATCCGTTCATCTGTAAATCGGTGCTCCTCCGAGAATTTGGCCGATTTCAAGCGGGCGACCACAACCGGCCGGAGTTTCGGCCGTGGCTTGCCCTCTTCAGTACGGTGCCCCGTGGAAATGTCCCACGGATCAGGAGTTTGCCGGTTAATCGTTGATGCAGACTTTATTTTCGCCATCGGATCCTACTATACCTCGTTTCCGCACGGGAGACACGGCGGCCCTTATCCTTATTTCCGGTATTTCGAACAAGGACTCTACTTCTCACGGGAACTAGGCGCGGATTGCTCGCTTGTCAATATTTGGAATTTGCTCGTCCAGTGCTTCTTCTTACTAGCCGTGTGCCATACGGATAGGTATTGATCCGTCCTTACTGGCGTTGCCGGTGGCTAACTAGACCAGATGCTGGAATACCCTGGGGTTCGCAATCCGCATGGGCCATAGCATCGGTCTGCATGTAGAGAACTCGCTCAACTGCCCCTTGTCCAAGGAGCCGTGGATCAAGGACCGCTCCCACTGGCGGCGTACGTGGTACGCCATGTATGTGCTGGACCGGCTCTTGGCTCTTCAGCTCGGACGGCCGATGGCAATCCATGAAGCCGACTTTCATGTCGAGCTCCCTTCTGCAACAGACGACGCACCATTTAGCCCTGGCGGTGGCGACGATATCACCAGCCAGGAGCGCAATCGAGTCCGTGGACATATGATGGACTATTTCCTCTCAGTCATCGAGTTTTCTTGTATATTAGGATTGGTCATCCGGGAGCTATATCGACCATCCCAGATCGACATTTCACCGGAGCAAATGCTCCAGAGTACCGCGACTCTAGACCATCGCCTTACAGAATGGAAGCTGCAACTCCCGCGGCATCTCCGCTTCGACCTTGGTCACACCTTCGAGAAATCTGTCTCGTTCAAACGCCAGGTTCGCCCTCGCTCTACCTACACAGGGAAACAGATACGAGTCGTATACTAACCCGGCAATTAGCGAAACATGCTCGCCGTCAAATTCCACCACCTTCGCGCCCTCATCCACCGCCCCTTCCTCTGCCTCCCCTTCCTCCAGATGAACAACATGCCTTTCCTAGACCTCCTTCTCCAGCACAAGGAACGCATCTCCGAAGCAGAATCCATTTGCATCCATGAGGCCCAGCAAACCGCCCACCTCTTGCACAACGTCACCGACGAGCGCAGCCTCGTTCATGATTTCCCCTGGTGGCAAATGATCTCCTGTCTGATCTGCGCGAGCTCGATCCTCTTCGTGGCGGAGACCTTTTACAGCGATAGTGCTTTCCTTCATGGACGAAAGTCGCCGCAGGCGCTGCGCGAGGATGCAGAGAGTTGCCTGAAGGTGTTTGAGGCGCTGAGCGTGAATTCGGTTGCGGCGCAGAAGGCGGTGGATATGTTAAGTGCGTTGTCCCGCGCACGACGCCTGGGGGAGGAGCGTAAGTCGCACGCACCCCGTGGCCGATTCTTGAATGGAATGCTGTTCACCCCGGCGCTAAACAAGACTAGAACTGCGCTTGCAGGAAAGCCTCTCTCCCCGCGCCATCACCCCGCTACACCCGCTGGTTGGCCGTGCGAGTACGTCTACATACCCTCCTCCGGCGCAACTCGGGACGTCTACAGCTAGTGCCAGTCCGCCGAGCCACCCGGCGCCCAACACATTACTCCCCTCATCGCTCCTCGTCGGCGATATCCCCTTCTCGTGCGACTGGCCGAGCGAGATCTCCAGAGCGATGGAATGGTCTGTGCAGTTTCTGGATCATCCGAATTTTGGTCAGGCGGGAGGGTCGTCCGGACCCAGAGGGAATTCTATGCACCGCTCATGAATCTCATGGTCATTCTTGCATATTTCCTGGTGGGATCCGGATGTTGTCGGTTGAATATTTCGAATCAGCAATGTAAAGTAGACTGAACATTGGCAAGAGAGAGATATATTCCCCGTCTCATGGTCAGGCAGTAGGCACCGTTGATTATTCATGATTTCGATTTCATTCGCATGCTTTTTCACTCTAAATACTCTTTGCCTAGTCGGTAAACCACGTCCATAAAGATACAGTCCCAAACCCCCATAAAAACATGCATATCACGGGATTTCCTACGTTCGTCCGATGTGTTGATTCGGTGGATGGGGGCGGATCCAGATACAGATCAGGGCGGGCCCAGTTTACGGCGGACTAAATATTACCAACTTTACTAATATCAACACCCAATTTTCTTACTCAATTTGATTCTATTTATAAAGATCCGTGATTCTGCTCAATCAAGTATATTCTTTCTATATAAGATAAAGCTCTGGATTATTGACTCGTCCGAGCCTGAGATATTAAACCGCTTTTTCTACCGCTTTAAATAACCGCCAGTTCTATATCTTTAGAGACTACCGGTATTCTGTCTTTAGAAGCTACTAGATCTTTTGATCCCCTGGGACTCTAGTATAATGCTGGTTTTTAGAAGCTGGTGATGAATAGATTTAGAAGTACGTGAGAGTCGTGGCTTGGTGTAAAACGCCAAGGTTTCGGCTCATATTTTCCATTGTCCGGAACGTCGATTTAGTCCGCCGTATCCGCCGTATCCGCCCGAGGTCGACCGTGGGTCGGATGCAATATCAGAAAAAACCGACGGTAGTTGCTAAATGTTAGATCCACACAATCCCCGTTTTACCCGACGTCTCGTATAACACATAGCTGTGGGACGCCGTCTCCATTTGCCAGTCACGACCTTTTCGGCAAGAACCAGACTGCAATGATGTGCGTGGGTCTCATCGATACCTTACACTTACTAGCGTCTTATCTGCCTTCCAGCAATCCCAGTAGAAGCGGCAGAGAAGCGACAGATTCTGAGACAGATTCAGACGATGAATATGCGGCGTTGAGCGAGGTTGGCGCTCCTGAACCGGTCGACAGAGGACAGCTCCCGCACGACGACTCAGAGCTCCATCTCGAACAGGCACTTGCACGTAGCGGCTCCGATATTTTGAGCCATTTGAGTGAAGTGTGTGCCCCATCACCAGTACCTCGAGAAGACAGTCCCCTCCACCGCCGAGCAAGCCTGGAAGACCATCTCTCTGCACTACGGACGCATCATCATCAGAGCCACTAATGTTCAGGACCGAGACCACGCACCATTGGAACCGGAGCGCTGCAAATCGTGGTCGGTCCAAGTTCTGCCTCACCGTCCGGCCCGTCTGTTCCGGGCGAATCAAATATGGAAATCACGTTTATGATGGTAGGAAGGGATTTGTTGGATCAGCTGCCGTATGATCTATCGGATCTGCCGCGACAGTTAAGAGTGTCCAGAGACTTGAAATAAAGCAAAAGGTGTTCTCGCTACATAGCCGATGCTGGATGCCAAGTATTCCTGAGCCAGAGCATCATGGCCCAAGACTATCTCCATAATAGACCGTCGCCGACAGAAAGAGGTGGGTTCACAAGACAAGAGCTCGCATTGGCGCCCATGCCGTGCTATTTTGGGTCGAAAGACTGGACGGTCAGCCAGCCATGTGGGTCAAGACAACCTGTCACAACCACCTGCGCGGACAGAAGACTGATGGAAGTTATAGGCGCACTGCCCAAAGAATGTGAGCTCTGCTGGGAGCAGTTGGGCCCCGAATCCGCATACCGTACTCTACCGTGCCAACATATTTTTCATCTACCTTGTATCGATTGTTGGCTTTATACAGCAGATGCGAGCTGCCCTCTGTGCCGTCGTCAATTCTATGAATATCGACGCCCGAGAAAGGCCCGCACGGTACGATCGAACCCCTCTGCAGGCGAAGTATCCCATCGATGCCATGTGTCCCTCGGAGGAATAAAATCGTGGATCAGACAAAGATTATGCACTCATTGAGGAAACCTTTGGTTTACATTGTTTGCCCTAAACTCCAATTCTGTGGTCAACCACACCATCACTCACGGTTCCCCGTTCGAATGATAGTATTACACAAGTACAATGGATCTGGTACAGTTTTCGAACCCCTTGTACAGAAATCAAGTTGGTTCCTTGACTCCCGCAGCATAGTCCAGGCCCTGCATTCAATACGGCGCCAGTGTATTACGATGTCTGATGTATTGCGAGGGCAATGCATCACGCTGTACATTGTGCATGCCGCTAGATCCGTAGAAGGCCGGTGGGCGGAATGAGGTACGGGCTTTGTGGTCGTGCATCTATATTGAAATAATGCATAAATCAGGAGTGTTGAAACTCACTTCGGCCCCGGTGGTGTTGGGGTTTGGGGGGCAAGAGATCAAGTGGACAATTCCATAGACCTTCAGATTCCAGCTGGCTAACCACATGGGAAAGAAGGGAATAGTGTACTGAATGTCGACGCCTTACATGTCCTGGCTGTACTTTGGGTCTGCATTGAGAAACTCAGCCAAGACGTTCTCTCCGGCTCCGTGTAGTGGTATACAGAGTCTAGTTGCATTTACCCTTCCTCGTATGACCATTTCTGTTAATGAAATGGGTCGCAGAGAATTTCCGGTATGAACAGTATCACAGTAACACGGAAAATATACAAGACAAGTGAGACGGCTAATTCGAACTAGACGACGGCGCAGAAGCGTACTGGTGGAAGTGAATGAAAATCTACGGACGAGTTTTGGAACCTGGTGTGATGCTCTTGGTCCCAATGCGGGATAATGGAACATTGGTCCAGTTCGTCTCCTTTGGAATTATGTAATTGACTTTTGGGAGTTACGCTCAGTCAGGTATTTTTTGACATGCACCGGTCAAACCAAGAAGTAGGACAGTATATTGGGCGAAGATATCATCGAGCAAGATATAAATTCAGAGACAATGTCCATTAAAAAGTAAACCTTCAGGATTGTACGACAGCTTGCGTTTCGAGATACTGATGACATGAATTAACATCACGATGCCAATATGAGAAGATGGTGCTGGATAACAAGGTCACGAAGTATCGGGCATTTAGAGCATTCAAGGAGGGCATCAAGGCTAGCAATCATGAGACATCTAATCGTGCTTTGAATAGGGCCCTTCGATGCTGGAGCAGATTAATACAGGAGTTTGCTGCTAGTCCGAGAAATCTAATGAGCAAAACGTACAACCTCGTTCCTAATCAGCATGCGTGCCAGTGCTCCACGGATGCTCACTCCGTGATATGAAAAAAAGACAGACACTGAGATATACGGAATCCCTCATGTTGGGTGGCTCTCAGTGTTAGCAGGATCAGCACTGCTGGAACTACCTGCTATTATAGAATTGACTCGTTAGCGGTGGGGTTCCGAAGAGTTGTCAATCTCAACGGCGAGATCTCCTTCCTGCGCGTCCCTGTCTCTCTCGCCTTCTTCTACTCGACGCAGGTCCTCGTCGTGGTTTTGGCCCGGAGGCAGGACAAAAGTAGGCCCAGGAGCCCACCAATGAAGGGGATACCTCCGACGACCCAGATTATTGACCAGGATGGCCCAGGCCAGCATAATTAATGATGAAGCAAGGACGGTTGGAAGATAGCGCCACGATAGGCTGACAACGCTCGATTGAACGGCTGCGTTGAGACCCGTAGCTCCGGCCCTGGCTGAACAGTTAGTATTGCGTGGCCGTGTGGGAGGAGGCTGACGCACGGTGGGTGAACAGTTCCTGTCATTAACATCACCAGCAATGAAGTCGCCATAGAGATGCCCCCATTGATAAAGGTCGAAGGGTGAAAGTGAGTGTTGTCTAAATATCCCTGGTATTGACCATTCAGCACAAAAAGCCGAGTGATACAGGTTCCGACCAATGCAGAAAGAAAATGGCCACCAATGAAGTTTCGAGGCTGCGCAACAGGGGACTCGACCACCCCAAAGAGCAGCACAGCTGAGGCACCGAAGGATGTGATGATCGTAGGGGTATGGTATACATCGCGGAATGCGGTATCGGTCGACATGATTGCCTCAATTAAGAGAATACCCCCAAACGACCCGATCCATGCAAAGAGCCATGTCTCATACTTCAAAGGGATCTTGGGGAGCCATATGAAAGGCGGTATTGGTAGCGGGTCATAAGGAGGTCCTTCATCTGGGGGACGGTATCCCGTAAACCGGAAGAGGCTGGGCGGTAGATCGCTACGATAGTCACGGCGGAACTTGAGTTGGGTGAGTGAATGCCAGTACTTTGCAGGGCGTTGCCTGTTACTGTGCAGGTGTGCCTTCTTATTCTCCATTATTGTCAATCATGTAGCTATTTGAGATGTGGCAAGCCTTCTAACATTGTCGGCGTGCATGCCAGCGGCCACGGCAACCTTATATAGTACCTAGTATAGTACTATTGTTTGGCAAACTTTCCGCACGTATAGGCGGCACGGACGGTCCGCTGTGGCAAACCAGTGATGCACTGATATCACTGCACTTTGGCGCTATCCATTGGCGCGGATGCTGTAGATACAACTTGGAATTCTGCCCCATTCGGTGATTCGTGAAACTTGGTTGCTACTGATCCATATAACCAATTCTCGACACTCAAAACGTGAGACACCCTGGGTGTGCTACAGACCCTTGTCCAGCGGAACGACGACGAGCACCCCCAGGATTATTCTGGAGGTGATTCACCAGCCGCATTCACCCACACGAGTACCCACGTGTCTGGCTATATGGGCAGTATACCCACGATCACCAAATTTGATAGACGGTATACCAAAGGGAACGACGAATGCAGGACAGCAAGGAGGTATAATGGCCCCCGTTCATGTATCTAGTCTAGTTCGTGATCAATGCCATACGTTACTTGATAGCTACATTCCAAGATTCACTGCCAGCTCAACTGTTTCGCACTATATTAAGTATGACGCTTCTCCTAGTAATTCCCTGGACACTGGGACATGCGATGGCTATCGCGGAGTTTCCTGTTGTTATCACTCCATATCTCTTATCAAACACCTTCGGTCAGGCTGTCGAAAGTTTCGGAATGAAAAGATACTGAACAATTCCTGAAAAATATCTCACGTCGATTTACCATAGTTTTTCTGTCCCAGCCACCGAATATAACACGCAGCCATTGCGTCCCAAAGAACTTGGTCTTCAGGTGATCATCTCCACTACGATGCCCTAGTTTGTTGTTGCGGACTTCCTTGCTTGGTTCTTTTTAACGGCCCGCGCGAGCCTGCGTGGCACTGCCCTTCGACGAAGGGACGTTTCAACTGATTGACAGGGACCGCATCCGCCTGAACCGGCTCTTCCCGTAGAGCCTTCCATATAAATGTGTCAAAGAGTGGAGTTTTACAGGGGCTACGCCCTCTCATCGAGTCCACTTGGCCAAAATATGATACCACAATGTCTGGGTATTACCTGCATGTGCCACATCCGACAGAGCGGGGAAGATTAACGGTACGAGATCTGTTTCTCTCGCAGATGCCGTTTGCATTTGGACAATCAACATGGAGTGATAGTAAGTCTTACCGTGCAGATCTACTACGGCTACAACCTTTTCTTACCTTTTCGTAGAGATCTTCCCGGATACTTGTGTGTTCTGTTTAGAGACATTAGGATCTTCCTCGCTATATAGGCTCCTTCCATGCGACCATATTTTCCACCTCCCGTGTATTGATCGTTGGCTTTGCAGCGAGGATGCTAGCTGTCCAATTTGCCGTCGGCCATATTATCATCTAAGAGGCCCTCGCATGGTCTATATTGCTCCCCCTTTAAGAAGCTCATCACATCACTACGAGTTGCCCGACATCCGTGACCAATTCCAGACATTGGGCGTTTGGTTTCGCAAGATAACCCGTACATTCTCGCGCCTCCCGAATGTCCATAATCGCTACAGCCATGATTGACTCTCTGTCTCACCCATGAGGTCCCTGACATGGCATATCTTATCGTTTCCGCTTGGTTCGTGTCTTGGAGTCTCATGGTTCTGAAAGGTATTTCCGATTCCAGACACACAGCTTTAAGAGTCATATGGAGACAGTCTTGAGAGTGAGCAACCCTATTCCTGCAGCGCTTGCCGCGATGTCTGGAATTGTTCATCCACCTAAATATTAAACTTAACAGATTACAAAGAAATAGTAAACATAGATATATAACGGAAGAGATTCACTAGTAGTTATCTATCCAATGTACTCATCTCCCTGTGTGTGACTTAAGTACAGCTGAGCGGGCGGGAAGCCCTTTTCTCCACACCCTATGGTCATATGTAGTAGCCTACCTTAAGTATTGGCTTATACAGTGTTATAGCCCTTCGATATGGTCTTCTTTCAGATCTAGGGTGATCGTATCATGCGAGATCATGAAGCAATCGGGTCACCAGCGGCCCCCCTGACCCTTCAAAATCCGCGGGAAGGAACAGTTCTCACGCCATGATATCACGATGGATGAAGATTATATCTATCTATAATCAAAGGAGAGACACATTTTACCTTATAGTACTAACAAATTCTGTATTTGATATACCTTATTCCGCTGCAGTCTTATACAATCCACAGATTTGGCTTATACAGCTATTGATTCAATATTATCAATGGTCGAACTTGCTATGATCCTATTTACCTATTCCTTCTAAATCTTATAACTAAAGACCCACGCCATATAAAATACCCAACAATTGCTTATCTACGATCTTATCACCGAGCTGACCCATCTTCTGCACCTGAACCTAATATATAGCGTATCACTTGATATACTGGATCAGGCGGGGCTTCGAAGCTTACTCACTAATTGTTTCAAGACACGCATATACAAACAACTATCACCCTAATACGGACATCTCCCTGCATCCATCGGGTCAACCAGTTGGAGCTTCTGCCATGGAGATACCACAGTGACTGGATCTCTAGCGTATGTTATAGTAAAGTACACGGGGTCTGGTCTATTCTCGCCAAGTTAGTACTCCGTATATTGTACCTACCAAATTATTGACCAACAGGTCTGGAATATACTTTAAACATAATCCCGATCTTACTTTTGCTTCTGTACCAAGAACGATTCCAACGCTCCTCGTATTTTTCCTTAATCCTATTTCCCTCGTATCAAAAGCGGGTGGCTGCAAAACCAAGACGCTATGCAGTTAGAGCGGCTATCATACGACATTTACAGTTAACACATCCTCACGTCAGCTTAATCATGCTTTAAACGTGTGTTAAATTTAATTGTAGATTGGATTCTATCCAAGCCACGTCAAGCGCGCCTGATTGGACAATGATGCGATTTATGGTATACAGTACCGTGGATCTCAGGCTGATGATGATGATTCGATGACAAGTTCGTATTCGGTAGAGGACAATGCCATCACCACCAGCATCTGCAGAATTTCGTCGGAATCTAGATCCCTCTTATTGATCATGAGATTACAGAGAAGCTGCAACTGAGTTTCACGATAAATAGCCACTGCGGTGCAATCTAACTTCGGTGGGCCCTGATCGAATTCTCAACCCGTTTAATCGAGCACCACAGACAGCTACGGCGTGTATGGAGTAAAAATGTCGGATATTAATCGTTGCTCTCGGAAGCGGCTGATTATTTGCTGCGATGGTAGATCTCCCCTGCATCTTATGGAGATGGGTATTGATGTCTACTTCTGCAGGAACCTGGCAAGATTCAACGGCAGACTCGAGCGGGCCTGCTTCCAACGTGACGCGGTTCAGCCGAGCCTTAAGCGCCAATGCGATTGTCGAGAGAAATGGCCAGAAAGACGAAATCCCCCAGATTGTCTACTATCAAAAGGGGGTCGGGACTGGCCTGGGAGACAAATACTGGGGTGGTACGTCCGAGCCCTTATCCTTCGTCTTTCCCGAGGCAGTTCCTGTTGTTTTTTGGCTTTTTGACATTCTTCCCCAATGACTTATTCGTACGTATGATAATGACATTCTACAGGTGTCGCGGGATTGGGACTAAGCGCCAACGTCCGCGCCGCATACGGCTTCCTGGTCGACAACTACAACGAAGGCGACAAGATCTACTTCTTTGGCTTCTCACGCGGAGCATACACAGCCCGCGCGGTCGCCGGTCTCGTCTGCCAATGGGGTCTCCTCACACGACGAGGAATGGACAACTTCCCCACCGTGTACAAGGATTTCTACCAAACGAAGGCAGACGATTATACGCCCGAGCAGCGACGATCACTCGGATTCCGAGATCCCCTCCCGCGATTTACGGTGGAGATCATCGGGGTGTGGGACACGGTCGCCTTCCACCAGACATGGCTCGGGGGGTGGGTGGGTGAGCAGCTGGAGTTCCGGAATACGATGCTCTCCGAGAATGTTCGGTATGCGTTTCATGCGCTGGCGCTCGACGAGGAGCGAACGGCGTATCAGCCGACGTTATGGAACCTGCCGAAGAAGAGCGAGGGACAGGAGCTGTTGCAGGTTTGGTTCTCGGGGGTGCATACGGATGTTGGGGGTGGGGGGGAGGATCCTCGACTAGCGAATATTACGCTGGCGTGGATGATCGCGCAGTGTATGAAGGATGAGCAGTTGAGTTTCGACATTGAGGGATATTTGTTCAATTTGCCTCCCGGTCCGATGGTCCACGAGATTGAACCGTGGGGGACGAGGCTGGGTAAGACGGAGACGTGGGGTTTCACACGGTCTCTCGAGGGCGTTCTGGGAGGTGTTTCGGCACGGACCCCGCTGGCTTATCAGCCTATCGACTCCGGGATCACCCATGAGACGATTCATAAGTCGATTGATGATCGGAACTTGGCGGGCGCTGGTAAATGGGCTTGTTCTGCGTTGAGGGCACGGAAGGATGCTGATAGTTGGTTTCTGACGGATGGTGGAGTCATTCTGGAAACGCCGTTACTGGAGATGGAAGAGTATATGAAAGGGCGGATTCGGACGGTGCACGTTGATCAGCAGGATTAGTTGATGATCCGCTCCTTCTGTATGTCACCAATGATGTATTCTCATCTTCATCCGATACTTCCATGGGATCCAGACCAGATGATATCTCTTCAGCAATCTATAAATAATTCCCCCCTAAACTGCCCTTCTCCTGCAAACCCCTTTTGGATATGATATGGACCGAGGGAATTGTGCAATCACATTCTCCATAAATAAATAGGACAGAGGAAAGCTCCACTAATGTCCCACAGGGGACAATTCCCACATCGACTCCGAAACTCCGACGAAGAACCGCATCCAACCCACGAACAATTGACAAGCAGAGACAAGGCCCGTCGAGAATACCAGTACCGGGGATGGGCATTCCGGTTGGTCGACGGTATGGGTGACGTGCAGTCAGCCCTGGAACTGGGCGGATATCCCTGTGAGAACTGACCGAGTAATGCATACATTGAGGATAGCAATCGCTTGCCATTGGCGACTCACCGAGGGGCATCCCAAGGGTCAGGGGTATTCATGCAGATACGTACGTGTTTCTGAGAAATCAGATCGCACAGCCCCATTCCGATTGGCCATGCGAACCCCCCAATCAGGATATTTCGTGGATCTGATGGGCCCAATCTGGAAGAATTCTATCTCTAGATCCAATCGGCTTTCGGTAGTCCTCAGACAAGCTCTGCCTAGCCAGTCAAGTTCAACGTGCAAAGACCCACCCGGACCCACAGTTGGTCTAGAACCACACATCAGTTGTTGCCCTCCATCGTTTTCTTCATCTTTTATCTGCTGCTTCGTTTCCCTCTTTCTTTGATCGTCATCTTCATCTCCTTCTCTCTTTTTCACCACCGCTCTCATTTGAACGTTTTTTCTTTTTTTTTTTTTGTCGGTCTTCAACGTCGTTCCTTCTTTGTTCTCCTACGGTAACTTTCCTTTCTGATCCCACAGTCCTTACTCAATTCCTCATCAACATGCAATTGGCACACCTTCTTGCGTTCGCCCTGTCGCTCGCTACGTCCGAGGCCGCCCACAAGGGCTTCAACTACGGTGCGACCAAGGCTGATGGCAGCGTCAAATCTCAGTCCGATTTCGAATCGGAGTTCTCGACTGCCAAAGGTCTGGTTGGCACTGCGGGCTTCACCAGTGCGAGATTGTACACCATGATCGTGAGTGACGTGATTATCAGGCAGGAAGCGGAACCCAAGGACTGACCATCACACAGCAAGGTGGCACTACCAACTCCCCCATTTCCGCCATTCCCGCGGCCATTACTGAAAACACCTCCCTGTTGCTGGGTCTATGGGCCTCTGGGGGTGGGATGGACAACGAGCTGGCGGCCCTCAAGGCGGCCATCTCCCAATACGGGGACTCCTTCGCCAAATTGGTCGTGGGTATTTCCGTTGGGAGTGAGGATCTCTACCGGGCCTCGTCGGAGGGTGAGAAAGTCGACGCCGGCGTGGGCGTTGGCCCCGAGGCCCTGGTCTCGTATATCAAGGAGGTCCGATCGATCATCTCGGGCACCGCCCTGAGCAGCGTCCCCATCGGTCACGTCGACACCTGGACCGCCTGGACTAACGGCTCCAATTCTGCCGTCATCGACGCCGTCGACTGGCTGGGCTTTGACGGGTACCCGTACTACCAGAGCTCCATGTCCAACTCCATCTCGGACGCCAAGGCTCTCTTCGATTCCTCGGTGGCTCAGACGAAGGCGGTCGCGAATGGCAAGGAGGTTTGGATCACCGAGACCGGATGGCCCGTCAGCGGAAGCACCCAGAACCTCGCCGTCGCTTCCCTCGCCAACGCGAAAACCTACTGGGATGAGGTGGGATGCCCCTTGTTCGACGAGACCAACACCTGGTGGTACATCCTCCAGGATGCCAGCTCCTCCACGACCCCGAACCCGAGCTTCGGTGTGGTCGGCGGCACTCTGAGCACCACCCCGTTGTTCAACTTGACTTGCTCCAACACCACTCGCCCATCTCCGTCCGCTTCGAGCTCCGCTGCTAGCTCCACTATTCTTTCTGGCTCTGCGGTTGCCTCGGGCTCTGCCATCGCCGCGGCGAACCCTTCGTCTTCCGGCGTCGTCCCCGGTGCTACTCCCTCTACTACGCCCGGCTTCACGGTCGGCAAGGGATTCCGTCCGTCCAACTCCTCCGCTGCTGCCCACTATTCCAGCGCGTCTTTCACCGGCTCGGCCTACCCTAAATTCACCAAGACCGCCAGTGGCTCCGCCTCTACTTCCACCAGCGCTGGTAGCTCATCGGACTCCACGTCGACTAACTCTGGTAGCTCATCTGACTCGAAGTCGACTAACTCTAGTAGCTCGTCTTCTGGCTCGACTTCCGTTCTTGCTACGGGTGGTGCCAGCTCTGTCTCGAGCTCCGTTTTTGGTGCTCTGGTTGCTGTTTTGGCATTTGCGGCTACTTTGTAAAGAAACACACCGGGCCCTGGTCCCGATCCTGATCAATAGCTAGATACAGACCATCATCAGCTCTATTTCCACATTGCGACTTTCTCAAGTACATACATCTGTCTATTCGCTGGTTGTCGCCGTCCAAGAAAGAAATCCTACATGTACAGTCGCAATGATGCGGTGAATAGACTTGTTTGTCTTTGGCCCTCGCCTCATATTCTGACGGCTCCGTTCTTGACATGTATTATAAGACTAGATTGATTAGACTTCTTCTGCTGGTCCGAAGAGTAGAGATGACTCTGAACATGAACATGGATTCCCGTTGTTCGTGGTCCTTCCAATGAACCTACCGCTTTCCATGTCTCCAATTGCCCGCCACCCTAGAAGTTGCAAGGCTAGTGATCTTGATTTCGCTTTAGATAGGATAAAGTCTATCAGTTCTGTCGGTACAGAGTTATCGGTATAATTATAACAATATAAAACCAGGTGCCTTTGAAAGGGATGCAAACTTTCCTGGAAGTTTCTCCGGCTGGGTTTATTTCCCATCATGCCAAGATCCAGGAATGCCTATCTTGATATTATGGGGGAGAAACAGTTGAGTAAATGGAAACAAAAAAATGAATGTAAATGTATAATGGATTTACCCAATAAGCATGATGGAACGAGAAAGTTCTACTATAGAGTCAGAGGAGGAATTAGCAAGATAAGCAGGAAAAAGTGAGGTGAAGCCGACAATATATATCAACTCCGGCATCAAAACTACATACTTCTCCTTCCACCCCGCCCATGCCGGCTCGCATCAATTCCTGCAAGGGTATCACGCCGCCCAGGAGAGATAATCCTAAATCATACGAGCCCGCGCATCCCATTTTATGGAGCGTGTTCCAACTCCTCCCTCAGAGGAGCTTTTACCTCGCGCTCCAACGCAATTACAGCAGCCAGATCTCGCTGGATCTCCGTCTCTGCCCCCGGGCCGTCGAAGATGACGGCAATCTCTTCAAGCGTGTGACCCTTGGTCTCAGGAAACACAAAGTACACAATCCCCACGAAACTGACCAGCAGACCAAGGTACACGAAATAGAATTTCCACTGGATCGCACCGAGAGCAATGGGGTTCACGAACTGGTTGAAGAAACCCGCGGCAAACTGCGCTGTGAGGCTTAGCGACAAGCCCTTGGTGCGCAGGTAGAACGGCATGATCTCGACCGGGTACGCAATGGAGAGTGGGGTATAGGCGATATCATAGGCGCCGTAGAACAGATAGAGGAATGCGACGACCGCACTGCCAGCTGCCTGGATGGCCGATTTATCGAACACGGCGGACAGGGCAGTCGCCAGGGAAAAGAAGAGCAGCATCAGCACCGTCGAGAGCATCCAGAGCGGGCGCCGGCCGTATTTCTCGGCGGCAACGGCACCTCCGGCGGCACAGACTGCGTTCCACGCCTGAAGGCCCAGGTTTATGGCGGATTGCTGCGTGGGATTGGTGATGCCAACGGATCGCAGAATTGGTGCGAGATAGTAAGAGATGACACCTGGTCACGAGGCAAATCAGCACGACGGACGACCCATGCGAAGAGCGCTGTACGTACCATTACCTGCCCACTGGATCATCACCCCGACCAGGAGACAAATTGCTAGGCGATGCCGGGCTCCCTTGGTCGCGATGAATGCCGACCAGCCACTTTTATGGGCGGCTGAGTTCTCTAAATCGATTGCGCCACAGATTTCAGAGAACTCGAACTGAACCAAAGGATCGGACGTGTCCCCATTCCCATGGTAACGGGCGAGGATATGCAAGGCCTCGTCGCGCCGGTCCTTCGACACGAGCCACCGCGGGCTTTCCGGGACGATAATCAGTCCGAGCAACTGCACCGCCGGGAAGAAACACTGGACAAGGCAAGGAATCCGCCAGGACCACGTGCTACCCTCAACATAAAGAGTCCCCAAGCACACCGCAGCAGCCAGAATCGCGCCCCAGTACCAAGTAGCCTGAAAGATGGCCGTGACCACGCCCCGATGCCGTGGGTGAGCAATCTCAGTCGTCAGCGGCGGAGCAGCTGTCTGTGCAAAACCCAGGCCAACCCCCATCGCGATTCTCGTTCCAAAGAAAGCCCAGCGACCGATGGTGGCCGCCTGGATCACGCTCGCGACAATCATGATGGCCGATCCAAGTGCGACGGACATTTTGCGGCCGAAGTAATCCGCGAAGTACGAAGCCGGGATAAAGGTGACCGTGCCTCCGAGGGAAATCCCTGAAATGATCAGGCCCTCTATGTTCGAGCTTATATTCTCGCCGACATTCTTCGCGACTGTCGGCCGTTCAGATCAGCGCTGTATACGCTAGCGGTTGAAGACAATATGATCACGAGAACTCACACATAGGGAGGGTCAGGAGCCCATTCATCAAAGCAGCGTCATACCCATTTGCTGCAGCGGAGGCAAACATAAGTATGAGGCCGAAATTCAGGCGCCGAAGGCCCTTGTCCTTGAGCCAGTTGGCGTTTGTGTTGTTTGGCAGCGCCCGGTACACATCCATGCCGGACGCAGAAACAACTCCACCGCCAGCGACCATGATGCCAGTAACAAAGGGTGCTGTTAAGGATGTTGCTGGACTCAAGGTGGACGGGATAGGTGGTCCAAGTGATGTACTTCAATCAGTGTGGAGCGAATGAATGCATTCTGCAACAGAGCAAAGATTCAGATCACGGTAGGGGGAAATCGTCCGATCTTATAGACATCATTGAATACGAAGAGCCGGTGATAGTTTCTGCCCTTGCGATCCCCGCCCTCCTGTTCCCCAGATCACGCTTTTTTTCCCTTGCGTGGAGAATGCCTGGTAGGGGGAAAGTAGCATGTATGGAGTCTGGGGTCTGGACCCAAAAGAAACACGATTAGTGGTGTGAAGACGCTAACCCTCGTTGGGTCAAGCGCGCTCTCCAGATGAAGTTTGGAGGCATGGGCACCAATGAGAAGCCGCGCGGCGGGGAGATTCCCGGCGGAATTCTTTGGCCAGATTTCCGGGGAGATTCCCGGGGAGATTTTCGGGACGGGAGTCGGAGACACGAGGCTCGGCTACAAGACAAACCCCAACTTCATTCATGGAGTGGGCTGGACAACTCGCTCCAGGGGTCAACATTAGAGCAACTGTGTTACGCCACTTCACCATGTGTTTTTCACCGGGTGAACATAAATATCCCGACTATCGCCTCTCAGCAAGTGGATAACTGGTCCCTCCCTGCCCCCAGTCTTTCTCATCATCCAACTATCATCACTCACGAATGGCTACCCAGCGTAAGACTCAGTTGTCGCCTGTGAACAGGGCTTGGTGGAAAGAGGCCTCTGTCTATCAGATCTATCCGGCTTCGTTCAAGGACTCCAACGGGGATGGAATCGGCGATATCCCAGGGATCATCTCGGAGCTCGACTACCTGAAGGCCCTTGGGGTCGATCTCGTTTGGCTCTCTCCAATCCTTCAATCCCCGCAGGTAGACATGGGCTACGATGTGTCTGATTATTATAAAATCCACGCCCCGTACGGTACGGTCAAAGATGTGGATGCACTCATTCAGGGTTTAAACCAACGGGGGATGAGATATGTCATGGACCTTGTGGTCAATCATACTTCCGACCAGGTGAGTGAGAAGCGATCGACTGGGAAATCTTACACACCGCAACTACTGTCATCAGACGTGATTAATGATGGAAACAGCACGAGTGGTTTAAACGCTCGAGATCGTCCCGAGACAATAAATACCGAGACTGGTACATATGGAAAAAGCCCAAGTACGGTGTAGATGGTGTCCGTCAGCCCCCAAATAACTGGAAAGCCTATTTTGGAGGTACAGTCTTGGTTTCCACGTCCACAAAGTTGCCCCAGCCGGTCACTAATACCCAGAAAAAGGCTCTGCGTGGCAGTACGATGAAACAACCGACGAATATTATCTGCACCTGTTCGCGCCGGAGCAGCCAGACCTCAACTGGGAAAACCCCGAAGTCCGGTCCGCGGTGCACCAGATCATGAGATATTGGCTGGACAAAGGCGTCAGTGGATTCCGCATGGATGTCATCAACATGGTCAGCAAGGACCAAGGCTTCCCTGATGCACCCATCACCGATGCAAACAGCCAATGGCAGCATGGGGCAATGTACTACTGCTGCGGACCACGTCTCCACGAATACCTACAAGAACTGGGACGGATCCTGAAGGATTATGATGCCTTTTCCGTCGGTGAGATGCCGAATGTGTATGATCCGGCGGAAATTGGGAAGGCCGTGGGTTTTGACCGCGGCGAATTAGCCATGGCGTTCCAATTCGAGATCATGGATATCGACCATGGTCTGGGAGGCAAATTCTCTCCGCATCAATATCGCATGTCGGACCTGAAGCATATCGTGTCCAAATGGCAGGACTTCATGTACCAGAATGCGGGCTGGAACGCCCTCTATCTCGAAAACCACGACCAAGGAAGGACCATATCACGGTTCACCTCGGCGGGTCCGGAATACCGCGCGACGGCAGGGAAGATGCTAGCAACCTTCCTGGGTCTTCAAGGAGGGACTCCGTTTGTGTACCAGGGACAGGAATTAGGCCTAGTGAATGTGCCAGCGACCTGGGGTATTGAGAAGTTCAGGGATATCGAGACTTTGAATCATTGGGACGAGATGATGGCTGCATACCCCCACGACACGGAGCTCCACCAGGTGACATTACAACAGTTCCGCGTCAAGTCTCGCGATAATGGACGCACCCCGATGCAATGGACCAGTGGCGAATTTGCAGGATTTACCACTGCGCCCAACGGCCCATGGATTGATGTGCATGACGACTACGAAGACTGGAATGCCGCGGCCCAGGTGGGCAAGCCAAACAGTGTTTTCCAACACTGGGCAAAGGTCCTTGGGCTACGCAAAACACATAAGGACCTCTTCGTATATGGCTCGTACAAATTGGTGGATGAAGCGAATGATGATCTATTCGCCTATCTGCGAATGTATGGAGGCCAGTCAGCTTTGGTGTTGGCCAACTTCACAGACAAAGAAGTGAAATGGGTTGTTCCGGCCGAAACGACCTCAATTCTTGAACATGGCGTTGTGCTGCTTGAGAATTATCAGTGTGACCACCCAGTGCTACCTGATGGCACCATTTCTGTAAAGCCATTTGAATCGTTTGTGATTCTTCTGGATAGTTCAAGTGCCAGGATCGGACTTGGTGGGGGGAAGCTCTGAATCAGTTTGACATCCACAAATGTGATCTCATCCACCAATGTTACCATGAAGGATTTCGGTGGGCCAAAGTTCACTATGCATCCAATCTTTCTTCATCAAGCGGTTCGATGACTGGGGAATCCCCACGTTCAACCGGAGCAAGCGCAGGAATATGGCGGTATGGAATACCTAGTTCATGCAATTTTCTCTGCAATACCTCTAGGCCATATGGTCTGTGACTCAGAGAGGACAGTAAATAACATAAATGGTGGAGAATATCGTGTGTTCCCACTGAATTGTGGTGCAAGAGGGTGGGAACACAGTGAATCACATCCAGCAGGGTACTTGTTATCTCGAAGAGTTTGATGGCCTGGATCCAGTAAGCTTAGGGTATGCCATTGTGGGATATATAGTCACCCACCATCCCGGGACCATGTGCCACAAATGTCTCCTGGGGCACGTTAGAGATGAACACGATCGCGTCTCTTGCCACATGGACTGGGTAGGTCAATCTCATACTCTCATCAACCGAAGCGCTGGAGAGGAAAATATTCTTTAAAGACAGCTGCCAAAGTAATATGCGTAGCCACTGTTGGGTAATAGCAATATCCGTTCTCTGTAATGCATGGTATGCCGTAGGCCACTGGAGGCGCTGGCGGAGGTGACTCTGTAGCCGGCAGAGCGTCTCCTTACTGCACATGGTGGTACTGGAGCCACCGCGATCGAGAAGCACACCTTCCACGGCAATAAATAGACCCACCAGACGGTCAAAGGCTTCAACAAGGGGTAGTTCGTCCGAGCGATCGCGCGTTGGTGGCCGTATGGAGTCTCGTAGACAGGTATTAATTCCATGCTGAATTGCGTGACCCCTTTCGGTCACATAGAGGAGCCAGAACGCCCTTCGCCTATACCGCTCATCTTCCGGGGCTACATCTTGATAGGTATCTTCCTTATCTAATCCCTGAAGCTGACACGATGTCACAGACTCTCGGAGCAAGAGCGAAGCGGTCGGTATCTTTTTCTTCGCACCGTAGTAAAAGTGAAGGAACAGCGGCACCAGTACTGCCTCAAAAGTGCCACTTTCCCGGTAATCATACATCGTGCGGCAATGATCTGATTCTTTCGCAAAGTCATCCGCCATAGCACACTTTCCCTCTGCATTTCCTTGCGTCGCATGATTGTCCGAGTGACAATGCAACTGAGCGCAGGTCGCTGCGCATACCGCAAAGGCTAAAGCGCGTAATTCAAGATTGTTCACGTTCAGTGTGAGGGAATTGCGAAGGCGAGCAGTGTCAACCACAGGCCAGACGGGATACATCCTCTGCTCGTAGGTTTGCAAGTGAGCCAGGACACCTGCCAGGGGCAGGTGCGATGGCCATCCATCAGTCAGTAGCGGCATCTGTTCGGTAACGGCGATATCATAAGCTAGTCTCACCCTGGATGAGTCGGTCACCTCCGCCAATCCTGCTCTTACATTGGCGGGTGATGCGATTTCTGTTGCACAACGGCCAGCTCGCTCTCGCAGGCTCTGAAGGCGCTTATTGATCTGTGTGTAGGTCTCAGCGCGTGGACCTTTCGGTCCGGGCTTTGCCATTGGTTTCAGGTAGGAGCATTCAAATCCCGAGCGGACACAGGGTTGACAAGGCCGTCGGCCACTGCACCGGGTTTTACGCAGAGAGCATCCATCGCAAGCCCGTCGCCTCACCATGACGGGGTTACTGGCCGGAAATAGTTTCAATCCTACAATGGGGAGACAAGGTACTCCCTAGGAGATTATAGTGGGCGCATGGAGTGTCCAGTTACTTGGGCATGTTCACCGTCGAAACGTTGTCGACAGCCGGAGAGGATCTTCCCCAAAATGAGACTGGGTGAGAGGACGAATTCGTGGTCATGTGACCTTCGAGTTTCTCCAAACAACCTCTTAGATATCATGATTACAAAGAGTAACGTGATTGTTTATCCCAGTCCTAAATCCGGTGGTTGAAGACGAGCTATATAGTATTATGAAATGAGGATGATAGTATCAGCGACCCTAAGATAGCAAGAGATATAGAAATTTGGATTTGAAACGTACTGTTATATATTTTGCCGGGATACTATGTGGGCCTATGTTACAACTTAAGTGCGCATTGATATGTTAGTGTATTTCAAGTATCTTACGAATTTATGCCTTCCAAGGTGACGCTCTCTGGTTGTCTGGAATTCCAACCGATACTGATACAACCGAATTATTTCCTCTAAAAACCATGTCATCGACCTCACCTGATACTTTTCTATTACTTCACTTAGTATTTGTACCATATAATTCTAATAGGTAGAAAAGGCTACTACATACGACCATAGGGTGTGGAGAACAGGGCTTCCCGTCCGCTCAGCCGTACTTAAGCCACACGCCGGGAGGTTAGTAGTTGGGTGGGTGACCACCAGCGAATCCCTCCTGTTGTATGTTTTTCTTTTTTTTCTCTATCTATATATAGATCGACCGATCTTGGAATCTTGGATCAGCTCTTGGAACTTTATCTTGACTTGCTGTCATCCTATGGACAGGATCTGCCAGAGCGGCGACCCGAATACATATCCCCACTCTCTCCTACTTAGCATATTTAGATGTTTGACTTGTAACCAGCACCAATATAATATTTAATTCTCCCAATCAATGATTCAGAGTGATAACTGTCCTGATTCGTTCCCTACATTCCAAGCTAGTGACATCTTTTGCCGAGAGTTGATATCTCTGGGTATATCATACTTGCGCCTGACAGATACATATCGATCGATTCAAATAGATATGTAAAAATAGCACAAAGTTACAAACACTTTCGATATTAACAAAGAAAACAAACTCACATTTAGAATTAGATTCTTAATCTACTATAGTTTCTATATCAATGTATGTGGCCAGAGGTAGCAAGTATATCAAGATAGAACGATAGAAGGCAAAACCCTTTTGCATGGCGGTCTATATGGTTAATAAGTTATCGATAAGTTGATAGCGATGGAAGGCGGAACCCAAAACTGCTAAAAGTTCCCGCTGGAATGTCAGCCCGAAATAGGCATAGCATACTCCATATAAACTCGATCTCGATCAATCTCCAGAGAATTTGCCACTACCAGACAACGGTCCGTAGACGGTCCGGATGCGGTCCGCATTTCCTTTATCTTCGCCGTGATAGCAGTAGACCTCCGCATGGAACCCCGCACGAACATCAAAGTCGTCAATTAGGATAGCCTGGAGTGTTCAATTGATAGATAAACAGGCAATTCGCCCCAAGCAATTGAAAATACAAGTTCCTTGATTCCCTCCCTGTCTTAAAGAGCTGCCGAGACTCTCAAATCACTCCCAAAGAATACTCGGAATCGCTCTCGATATGACCTCACGCAACCCCTCCTACCTCATTGTTGGCGCCGGCGTCTTTGGCGTCTCAACTGCCTATCATCTTATTCAGAAGTATCCCAATGCGTCGGTAGCTCTGGTGGACCGAGATGCATACGACGCCGAGTCTCGCGTGGCTGCTTCATGGGATTGGAACAAGGTTGTCCGCGCCGACTACGATGACAAGATCTACTGCAGACTGGCTCTAGAAGCTCAGGACATTTTCAAGTCGGATCCCCTTTGGCAGCCATATTTCCACCAGACTGGCGTCTACTGGACGTGTCGCAGTAGCTATGCGCAAACCGTCATCACCAACCACAAGGAGCTCGGCCGCAACGACGACATCATTGCCCTGCCTGTCGCGGAGGCCCGAAAGCTTTACGGCGGGCTTTTCGACAATGCTGACTACACCGGTGTGAAGGAGGTTCTGATTAACAGGGCCAGTGGTTGGGCTGCCGCGGGAGATGCTCTTCGAGCAGTCACGAAAAGGTGTCTTGAATTGGGCGTCAAGTATGTGACTGCGGACGTTGCCACGCTGAAATTCGATGGTCGCGGTTCTTGTACCGGGGTCAAGACGAAATCGGGACAGACTTTGTCGGCCACGCATGTTATCGTCGCTGCTGGTGCTTTCACACCCACATTGCTGGAGTGGTCCGCTGCGGCGAGCGGCAATGCCGGCCTTCGAGCTGAAGAGCGAATTCTGGCTGCTGGTATTACGACCGGAATGGCACAGCTCAATAAGGAGCAGTACAAGAAGTTCAAAGACATGCCCGTTGGTTTCCAGGGCTACACCCCCAATGAGGGTAAGATCTTCAAAGACATTTCCCTGAAAGCCGCTAACAGTCAATAGGCAAGCCCTTCATTGGTACCCTTCCTCCTACTGCAGACGGAGAGCTGAAGTGGTGGGGTTCTAAGATTTTCACAAACACCCGAGAAGTGCTACCTGGCCGTCATATCTCCTCACCCCCTCCTAAATCCGATTACAACCAGTGGAATGTTCCTGGGCCACTTAGGCAGGACATTGTCGAGTCCAGGAATCTATGGTATGGACCCGAGAGTGCGGATTGGCAGATGACGAAACACCGAATTTGCTGGTGAGTTACCCTTTCAAACAAATAGTTAACGTGGCGATGAAAATGTAACACCAAACAGGGACGCTTTCACCACTACCTCTGATTTTATTATTTCTCCTCACTCTGCCTCAAAGGGTCTCTACGTCGCAAGTTGCGGTTCGTTCCATGGCTACAAGTTCTTCCCCGTGCTGGGCAAATACATCGTACAAATGCTTGAGGGCGAATTGGAGCCCGAATTGGTAGAGAAATGGGCCTGGGACCGAGAGCGACCTGATTCGTCTCAAAACGTCGAGTATCCAAACGCTGAGATGAAGCATCTCTTGCAGCCTGTATCGAAGCTGTAGTGGAAACTTGAAGTTGAATTTGTTTTTCCTTGGTCTACTTAAAGCAGAGTAACATAGATATTATATACCTCGAATATATTTCCCTTCTAACGAAAGTTAGCTCAAAGAACTGAACATTCATATTAAACTATATTCGCCTAGTCATGGCTTCATCATGACAGGTATTACAAATATCGTGAATGTGGTGTCTAGCCTTCCTGGTCCCTATGTGGTTGATTAATAGGACCATAGATTCCTATTAATGTTTGCAGCGTTTCAAGATGTATATATCCCGTTATACGTATGCTTGCCGAGTCCAATATAGCAGATGAGGTCTTGGTCGCCGTTGTTCCTATTTATATTCTGTTCTTTGCCTCTTCATGGGGCCCCAGTCTCATGGGCTGTTATTCGTGAGTTGTGGCTGAAAAAGTGTTTTGGGAAGTTAAGACAGGAGCACTGGACCTTGACCGTGCTTGAGGGCTGTGATTCTTTTCCACACACAAACACTACAATATCTGAGACGCAACGGCTCTCCGGCTGCTTGTAGAGGTACCATATAGGTAAAGAAGTCCGATGCTTCTATAGTGTCTGTATGGCCTCTATACCCTGTAGGCCAAATCATGTGGGGATGTGACAATCTTCATTCACTAGGCGAAGTCGCAAAAGGAAATCATACAACACCTTTCCCTATCTAACAACATCAATCCCATCACTTGGTGTTGAGCTATATAAATGAAGAAAATAGATTAATTATAGTGAAGGAGAAGTAAGTCAGTGATAGAAGATAAATATGAACGCTGGCGAGGGAGATGCATGCCTAACATGGTACTTCATGGTCCATCCCTCGATTCCTCCTGGGTGAATGGATGGTTCGCCCGGTATATGATGTGGAAAATATAAATGCTGTTTTCATTGGCTATATCTCTATATTTCAGGTTGTGGGTGAGTGCCAGGACAGTCACTTATCTTGAGAAAGACAAGAGTAGGCGAAAATATATTTTGTTCCTTGGCTACTACATCCTACTCACCAGGGGCGTGTTTCTATGGCAAAACCCTCACTCTCCAATCCCTTTTTTTTTTTTTTTTTTTTTTCTCTCAATCGCCGCTCCTTTCCCCACTATGCATTCAACGGCGACCAAGTGCGAACCTGAATATTACTATACAGCTACATTTGGTGGTAAATGTGAATTCATGCTTGTATAATCAAGGCGGTGTTCTGGCGCCTTATATACACTGGCATTTGAACATGCAAATAGTAATTCCTTGATAGTAAGTCATCGGTCTTTGAATGCTCTTTTGCTTGTTATGTTGTTCAGAAAATGTTCATTAATCCTGTTGGCCAAAGGCGATGGGCCCCTGAGCAATATCAAAATAAGACAGAGTCTAAACCCGCCAAAGTCCCCTCAGATACTCCTTCGCCTTCAAACACGGCCACCCAAGGTGCGACTCCGCCTCTGAGAGAATCCGGAACAGGAGTGTAGTTTCAGCGGGATCATCAAACAGCTCCCCACAGATCGCAATCACAAGACCCGCACCCACCAGCGCCTGTGTAAACTCCGGGTTTGACATGGCCACCCCACAGATAATCCGAGCACTATCTCGTATCCGATCATCATTACTCCTGCCCATCCTCCTCTGCTGAATACGCGAGAGACAGCTCTGCGGACACGAGGCCAGCAAAAGCACCCGCGCAAGTTCAATATGCTGCCGCGCGGCAACGTGGTAATCATTCGCATAGTACAGCTGTGGAAACGGATTGTCGGGCGAGATCTGTTTCTGCGAATAGATCGGCCGGAATGATTCCGGACACAGACGCTCCCAGTCTTCGATGTACCGCATTAGGCACTCCCAGTGGTGGTTTGGGGTCGGATTGACGGCACCCTCGCCGTAGGCGAGGTTGGTTACTTTTGCGACGTGAGCGATGGCTCGAAGAGCCCACATTCGTTCGGACGTGGGTTCCAATGAGGTGTCGATGTTGCAGTGGTCGGCTAGGTTGCCTACTGGGCGTTGCGTGAGGTTGGCTACGTAGATCTCGGACCGAAGTACGACGAGGAATACAGCGTCGGTAAAGCTCGAGCGGAAAACATGGCCTTCGGTGATGCGGAGGAGAAGTTGGGCGGATAGCATATGGTGAGTACGGATGGAGTCCTCGGGGGTTTTGTGTTGGTGTCAGTGATAACCTATCCTGTCTCCATTACACCGCTACCATACCTGGCTGGGGACGGGGGAAGTTACCGGTCATTTCTTCGAAGAAGCGGAGGATCGCTGCCGAAGCCAGGATCGTATCAGGCAGCGCCGTCTCCTGGTCATTCAGTGCCGCTATAAGGCTTCGGAGGCAGCGCTTCTGGTACTCGTCTGCGACATGACTCTGCCAGTTGAGGGATGTGCTTTGGTGGCGAGCGGAAACCGCCAGGGCAGCGTATAGGAGTGTGATATCAGTTGCGGCGTTATTGCCAATATAAGTGCGGAAGTGCTGGTGTGGATCACAGTAGTCAAACTAGATGAAGATTTCATCATCAGCAAGTCGACTGGACAGCAAATCACATGGCAGGTCACACCCAAGGGGAAAGGGTCGTGAGAAAATATTTGAGAAGTGACGCCTCGAATGGGGACTCCAACGGCCAAGGCAGCTTCTCTGCCCCCTCAGGAGATATAAGATCACCTCGAGCTATGAGAGACTGCGCCAGACAAGATTAGTATAGATCAGTGTCGTGGAACTTCGGCATGCATACATTTGGCGTTTCTGGCGAACTCGACGCATTCGTAGTCAGCTCGACATAACTCTCTGGACTACTGGAACCTAAGAGAAAATCGTCTGACACCCCAGCGTCATCCACAGAATCCACCTGGAAGGAGGCCCGGGATTCTGTATGATCTTCCCCGATCACAACCCCCCGGCTCTCGCTCGGAGGTGAAGTACGTCTGGGTACCTCCGAGGCACACTGCGTCATGTAAAAGATGGTTTTCCTCTCACGACAACATTTTATCTTCACATTCATGCAGGAAGTGCAGGATTCATTTCCTGATCTGCGGTTACCTGGCACTAAATCAGCGAACGAGACAATCCCAATGCAGGATTACTAGGGGCTTACAACGGATATGTCGTGTGCGGCATCGGTCGCTGAGACTATTAGCATGATGTTCATCTGGGTAAGAAGTCTAGACTCGTACCAAGCTTGATATCGGCCTAGCCGCGTGTCGCCCATGGTGCTATTCCAATGTGATATTAGATCAGGGATCGAACGTGATGCGGGATGGGGAGCGGTGTGTTCGGGAGGGAGACTGCGGGGGAACGCCAATGCGGGGAAATGACGGTGCGGAGGACACAGTCCGACAACAGGCGTGATTTTCCAGGAGTAGACAGTTACTGCAAGGCCTGCACGGTTCTACAGTTTCATGAACACCTCTGTTGGCGTCAAGCTACGTCTGACAAAAGTGATCCGCTTTGCAATAGTCGGTCCTACCAGCAACAGAGGAAATTGACTGCGGTGCTCACAACGAATACTTCAGTGAACAGAGAAATAGACTAAGGATTAATCGCATATTTCCAGGAATAGAAGCGCCGGCCTAATTTCTAGCCTTGTATGGCAAGATGACATCATTAAACAAGATACGGAGGCCGATAAAGCTACTCAAATGTGGACAAGGAAAACCAAGTAAAAGAAGAAATCATGTCAGCCTTCGTAACCTCAACCTCACCGGAAGTGGACCCGGGTTCATATTCAAATGCTCGTACGAAGTCTGCGGCACCGACGGATTTGCCAACTCTAGATCGTATCGATGAACGATAGACGAAATGAGAGTTATCTGCTCCAGATAACTGATATTCCGACCAATACAGCCACGAGCGCCAGCACTGAAGGTGATGAAGTATGGCTGAAGCTGTTTTCCTGCTTCCCCCAGCCAGCGCTCAGGACGGAAGACCTCCGGGTCTGGGAACACATTGGCATCCCGATGTGCAACATATGATGACATGGACACGGTAGTATTGCCTGGGACCCACTGGCCTAAGATCTCGCATCCCTCGGAGGGGGTCTTTCGAGGTAGATTGAACGGCGTCGGAGGAAGGATTCTCAGACTCTCATCCAGGCAGGCTCGCAGATACGGGAGGTCTTTCACCTTGTCGTATGGGATTGACATCTCATCATCATCGGCTACTGCATCTACTTCCTCGCGGAGTTTGGCGAGCACGTCCGGGTGCTTCAGCAGCATGTACATCACGTTATTGAGAGCCACGGCGGTGGAGAGTGATCCAGCGTTGACTGAATCAACCAAGTCAGTTCGGGGTCGATCGTGAGGAAGGACATGGCAAGAAACATACGCATAATTGAGATCTCCGCTACAATCTCCCCAAAGGGGAGATAATTGGGAGATCCATCTTTCGTTTCCATCAGGGCCTGGAAGAAGTCATCCAACTTCTCACCCTTCTGATATCGCTGTAGTCGCTTGCGAACTTGATGGATTACAATCCCGTCAAAGCCGTCACCGCTTGCGAAAAGCTTTCGGTATCGAGTCGGCAGCCGCCTCGACCATGTCACCAGCGACTTGTACCATCCATACGACCACACCAGCTGTGATTGAGCGGTGATCTGACTATGGAGGCATTCCCGGTAGCTGACGAGCCGTGTGGTACCGTCCAAAGACTCCGAGACTGTCATGTCATCTCCGTGGTCTAGACATCCCAGCGTGGCGTTCAATCCGATATCTGCGATCGCATCCATCGTGAAGAAGTTCGACCAAGCGCGCCAGTCAATGACACTGACATCCGCCTGGAGCGAGGACTCTTGTCCTGCAGTTAGGCATCGCTTGTCAAACTGACCACACAGTTTGTTCACCTTGTCGATGACTTTGAACTCCCAGTCTTCGAGATTCTTCAAGGCGTAGGCAGTGGACAGGACCTTTCGCTTTCGCTGATGTTCCTTCTTGTCGATCACGTCGGCTAGGTGGAAGTGGCTCCCGGAGAGTAATTGGTACATATCGTCTTTGATGCACTTGGTGGAGTGGCCGTAAATGTCCTGTTGGTCAGAGAAGGTTAGCTCGGGAGTGAAGGGCGATGGCAAAGGTTGGTCTGCTTGTTCCGTACCTTGATGGCACGAGCGTCACCGTAGGAGAGCGAATTCGGACCAACTCGTAGAACCGGATGCTTCTTATGCAGCTCGGCCAGTCGCTTTGAGCGTGTACCATGAGCGCTTGCAATCATGTAGGGGATGTTGGTGACTCCAGCGAGAAGGCTCATGGAAGGGTATCGTCGTAAGCCCTTGCGGTCGATGAAGTATACGAGAATCGGGTATAGAATGAGGCGAATGAAGAGCAGCGAGGCTGCCAAAGCGATGGCGAGAGCTCCATACATACTCGGTGATCTTGTTGAACCCGACGGAGAAGATAGTACTCGGCTTTCAAAGACTAGGATTAAATCCCATACTTATAAGGTGTCTCTACCGAAGTCATGAGGGGGGTGCTGGGGTGTCTGGTGGGTCATCTTAGTGGCGAGGAACAACACTCATGCTCTCAACCCCCAGAGACGAACCGGCAGTCTCCAAGATTCATCCCTGGATCGACGCCGGCAGTGTATCGGAAATAAGGCGTTGTTGGCCATCGGGTAACTACGCCCGACGAAGAAGGTATCCCCATCAACCGGGTGCTTTGCCCAATGCAGCAATCGGGCAATGACCAATTCTTTCATCTTCTTCGTATTTGATATATAGATAGAAATTTATTTATTTAATTTATAATTTTTCAATATTGGGTCAAAAGTATTGCCACAAAGCCCAAAACACACCACAACTTGATATATTGATTGATATTACATTAACTACAAAAGATGATTCAAAATAATATATATAAAAAATAATTATTTGTGGTTTCTAAAAATAATAAAAAGAAAATACAGTATACTATATTTTTTATTAAGATATAGAGTAAATCTATAGATATACAAAGTATCAACCAATATAAATTGATTGTAGTATGTTGCAATACTTTTGACCTGGCACTTTACCTCCACCGACGCTGAAGGTGACCCGACTGGCCTCGATGAGAAGAGAAGTGCGGTGGATTAACCCCCGGGGTTCTTTCCGGTGCCATCCACTATCCACCCGACGCCCACAGACATGGAAAGAACCGAGACCTGATTGCACGACGAGGTATTCTTTCTACGCATCCACACCACAATGAGTGACGTTCGTTTGTTTTCTGGCGTCGAAGAGCTAGCTAGCTACATTGGGAGAATTTTCAACCGGTGGTCCAAGCCATATGTTCATTCAAGAGTCGTGGGGCTCCTAATGTAGCCCTTGCTATTGCTGTCACACTGATAGTATGATCGAGAGGCCCCTCATTCGACATGCTCCACTTCTAGGTCCTCCACTTTGGTCGACCGACTCATCTTGCTTATCTGGATCTCCTCGTCCTCGTGTTGGATATATTTCAGAGGGCGCTTTGTTGAGATGGCATCCGGGTCCTTGGTGACGATGAGCGCAGGGTTGGACCGGTAATAAGCGTCCATATCTTCCAGGTTGCGGTTTGCTATGGAATTGAGTTACTATCAGTTCCCACCACGCACATATGAAGAGCAACCGACCGGTTTCTGGATAATACAGATAGATCACGGGCATGAATGCGGCATTGAGAACCGTCCAGATGATATAGAAACGCCAGCCAAGGTTTTGAATACCAATGGGCGTAATCTCGACAATCACAAAGTTCGATAACCTGTTAGCCATGTGAGCTATTCTTCCTCATGGATGCCGCAGGCACAAAAGACAAACAACAACAAAAAAAAAAAGGTCCTCACCAATTGGTAGCTGTCGCGACGGCAGCGCCCTTGGTCCGCATCTGAAGCGAATTGATCTCGGTAGGGTAGAGCCACGGCACACCAAGCATACCGATACCGAACACAATGAAGTAGAGGAAAAAGAACGCAATCGAAGCGGATGCGTATTTCGTTCCGTCGGCGCTTGATTCCGCGTAGGATAGCAACACCGTGATGATCAAATAACAAACAAACTGCCCGAGGGTTGATATCAACATACAGCCTCTTCTACCGACCTTTTCCACAAGGGGAACTCCGACCAACGAAAACACAAGATATGAGGTCGCGCTGCAGGCGGCGAGAAGCCTTGCCATTTGGTTCGATAGCCCCACGGATTCTAAATTTGCATGACAAGGTTAACGGGAGAGGCCGAACATGGGAAGGGATACATCGGACGAGATAGGCTATCTTGGCTTACTGATCAGCACCGTAGGAAAATAATATCCAAGGCCATTGATTCCTTCGAATTGCTGAATGAACTGTGTACCTGCTCCAAGAAGCAGTCTTCGGACCGTCTTGGTATCGTGCTGGGACTTCTTCCGTGAAAGAAGGTCTCGCCACCTGAGGCTGTTCTCGCGCTCATAACGAACGCTAAACTCAATCTCATTTCGCATGGTTGTAATGTACGGATGGTCAACAGGCTTGGCTTCTAGGCAGGAGAGAACTTCCAGGGCCTTTGCCTCCTGCTGATGGGCCATCAACCACCTAGGAGACTCTGGAAGCCAAGGCACTGTTCCCCATAGTATGAAAAAGAAGATAAACTGGAATGCAATCGGGAAGCGCCATGCAATTGCGCCGCCGTGGAAGGACAATCCGTAGTTGATCCAGTTGACCAAGGCGTAACCTGCAATGTTCATCATCATATCCAAGATCACGAGCTTCCCTCTCCATTGAGGGGAGGCAGTCTCGGTTTGCCAAATCGGGGCCGTTGACGTGTTGAGACCGTTTCCAGCCCTGCAGCTTCATGTGAGCCTGGTGCCTATAGTAGGGGGGTATAAGGTAAGAAAGCTAAGACTGACCCGAGAACTATTCTACCGACAATGATCTGCGGCAAGCTGTATGAAGTCATCTGGAGAATGGTTCCAACGGCCATGATAGTGGTCCCCAGCATGATGGCCTTTTTGCGGCCCAGACGCTCCCCGAGGGTAAACGCCATGACGGCACCAAAGAAGCAACCAATGTCGTAGATTGCGGTTACAGTCGACAGGGTTGAAGTCTTCGTTGGGCCTACGAGCCCGTGGACCTCGAGAAAGTCACCTGTGACTACAACGCCACCTGTGTTGACCATGAGCATCGATGTCTTGTCATAGAAAGGAATAGAGAGATGACGCACCGAAGACTCCCTGATCATAGCCAAAAAGACTCATGTCGGTGGCACAAGCAATCTAGAGTCGCAATCTCAGCCATGGGTGCAGTGGAGAGTTGACATGAGCAACATCATACCGTTATCCAAAGGGTCAACCATCCTCCAGTTAAGCCGAGGTAGGGCCTCCGTGTCTTGGTCGAAGCCGACGTTGAAGCAACCATGATGCAAAACTATCCAATGTGCAAGAGACTTGAATGTGTAGACAGAAATACATGGGGGGATAGATTGAGGCTTTTATGGTATTCATTGTGGCTAGACGAACTATACCCCAAACCCCAGGCCCCCATCCGTGCGCAAGTGGGATGCGGGGGGTAGTAGCGTATAATTTCGGTGATCGCAGAAAATGCATCCATGCCGAACTGGAATCAACGGTAGAGCCCAGAACTGTGCATTCCCGTGCGACGGGTATGATCTCCGTATGGGAAACAGTCGCCCGCAGGTACAGTGGAGTTACGGTGGAACTAAATCGAGCTAACGGACAATGTAAAATATTACCAACTTTACAAACACCAACGCACTTTATATTAGCCAAGTAAATCTATTTATTTAATCCCACCCTAAATCTTAACCAATTATATACTCTAAATTACTTCTATAACTTTTAGACTCTCAACAAGTCCAGTCCCGACATAGTGACCGCCTTTAAGAGTCTCTTAGGGATCCTAGATCTTTAGGGATATCGGTACTAGGTGTTTAGAGGCCTGAGGACCAGGCGCTTAGGGGAGTCAATACTAGGTACTTAGGGGTGCCAGTATTAGGTGCTTAGGGGTGTCAGTACTAGGCACTTAGGGATATTAGTACTAGGTATTTAGGGAGTGCTAGTGCTATATCTCTACAGTCCCCTGTAGATTTTAGGCTTCTAGCCGTGGCTTTATGTAAAACGCTATGATTTCTGTAAGAAATACGGAAATCTGGTCTATTGTCCGTTGGCTCGATTTAGTCTACCGTAGTGGAACTATCGGGTGAGCAGCGTTTTCCATTCAACAAAAGGCGAGCCGATTCCTTCTACAGCGAGAGAAAAAGGCTAATCCAATTTGATACTCCTAACTATCCTAGCTATGCAGGTTCTGTCCGATTTTAACCCCACACATCAAGTTGCCATTTCCGCATCCGTATCTGAGCACCTTCAAAATCCCGCGTCTCAGCATCGGTCCAGCCTTCTCTCCTCTGAATGATGCTGAGCAGCTCCTCCCGCACAGCACTGGACATACGCACCGACCCACAGATATACACATTGGCCTTCTCACCACAGAGTAGGCCCTGGAGCTCCTCCGCACGGGACCTTACGTGGTCTTGTACATAGCCTTCCCCCTTTCGCGAGTACGCGGTAATCAGTCCAAGCTGGCCATTGAAAGCACTCTGCATCCCGTAAAGCTCATCCTTATACAGATGGGAGGCTCCGTCCCGGCAGCCGTAAATCAGGACCATCTTCCCGACTCCTCCCTCGATCCCAAGCTTGCGGAGACGATGCTTCAGAAATCCGATGAACGGTGCAATGCCGGATCCGTTCGCCACCATGATGATAGGGTGCATGGTGGAAGCCGGAGGCTTGAATTTGGATTTCCGCAGGCTGCACCACACGCTCGTACCCAGTCGGCCTTCAGTCCCCTGGATATCCGGGGTGAGTGAATGTCGAGCACCGAGGAAGAATGCTGAGGCCAGACCCAGTGCAGATTGTGCAGTTCCAGGATTGAGTTCTTTCACTGCCACTGTCAGAGCAATCTGCCGTGGACTAAGAGCAGGACTAGACGCAATCGAGTAAATTCGGGGCTTGAGTGCGCTCAGATTCTCCAAGAGAAATGGAAAGGGAATCGTCCACACCTGCGACGGTCCAGATGCTCTAGTGAGTACGGATGCCAAGCTGAGAGCACAAGTCGCGGACAGATGTCGATAGTCCGCCGCCATTTGGTCCAAGACAGCCCGAGATTTCTCATCTGGCGCAAATTCTTTCAACGAGAGTATAAGATCGTTGGATGCAAGACCAGCAATGTCCAGGTGGTGCTTGAACAGAGTATGAATCGTGACCTGCTGTGGCCAGGGGCACTTCGTTTCGCGGTCTTTCCGCCGGATTTGCAGCGGTTGGTGCATCTCCTTGCTGTCGATTCCGAGAATCTGACTGAGGCGTTGAATCTCTTGGGTGCTATTCTCCGGCCATATCAAGAGGTGGTCACCGACGTTGTACTTGGCTCTTGGTAAACGGCTGGTATCGATTTCGATGTGTAGTGTCGTCTGTTGTGCATGTGGGGTAAGATTGGTGATCGATGCAATATTGGCGGAGTAGATGGCTGATTGGGACTGTATCTGTTCCGATCCACTTGGCGAATGAATCGGTCGAGACATTGCCCGATAGTCACACGGGGAGTCACAGGGTTCAATCTCAAACACAGGCTCGTATGGTCTCGGTCGTTTGGGGATATTGCATTGCTCAACCATCACGTTGATGAGCTGCCGGGACCATTCAGAGTAATCGCCGCGTGTGAATCCACTTGAGTCATCCGCCAATGTAAGATCAAGGATAGGGCAACCTCCAGCAGCCTCAAGTTCCTTTTGAACCTTCTTTGAAAATTGGTTATAGTGCTTATAATTTGAGTTGCCCAATCCGAGGACTGCATAGTGCAGGTGGGACAGATAGCCCGATGGATGCTGTCGCAGTCCTTTGTCTAACCACTCGTCAAATCTGATGGCATTGTCCGGCGGATCTCCTTCACCATAGGTTGATAGGATAAACAGCACAATCACATTGGGAGGAAGCTCTGAGAGGCTGTCGTAGTCATAGTCTGACAGATCCGCAACAATGGTCGCCTTGGAGAACAGCTGAAAGATCGACCGACTGAGATGCCTGGCCAGTTCGTATGATGTACCGGACTGTGTACCATAGAAAATCACGATGTCTTTCCCCTGCAGTTACCGTCAGCATTTGGATCAATGACAATATCGGAGAGTACTAACCTGGTCTTTGGTTGCTTGGGCAATATTGATATCGGTCGAAATTGTCTTCCGGTCATTCACTCCTTGCGGACATTGGTGCCATAATGACTGGGCATCATTCTTGTGGAAAAGAGATGAATCATACAGTAGTATTATGACTATCAATAGGCCTAGCACAAGAGCCAGAATGTCATCACTTTCAGTCGACTGCCAGATATGATGACTATCAAAGGGTCTGTTGACCAGACAAGGAAGCAGTTTCTCCATCTTGTTTTCTCCGACCGGTGAATGATCACGGCGAAAGGAAATAGGGATACTATGTCTACTTCATTCCATCTACTACTGTGGGTATATATATCGACTTGGAAGCAACACTTTCCCTTCTTGCCTGTTGCCCACAAGTTCCTCCACTTTGTACGGACCGAGCGGGGATGAATGCCGAATTTGGCAAAGTCGCCCAGTGCCCTTGGCATGCCCCGTGTGATATGCATTAGTCTCTGTCTAGATAGGCAATCGTGGCGCTAAAGTGCTGAACGGGTACGTGGACGGAAATCAAGCAGCACTCTTGCTTTACATTGGTGATCTGCACGTGCCCCACAGCTCTGGGATATTGTTCGTGTAGTCACATGTCGTAGGAACCCTTTAGGTCCTCGCAAATCATTTGGTAGGGGTTCTTTCCTCGATCCGGTCTAGACGACGAGCCACTCGCATATCTATGGACTGTTCTAGTTCCAAAGATCTCCGAAAGTGGCGGAATATGGACATCCACCAAACATCAGCCCAACGTCCGTCCAATGCGCTCGTCCAATTATTGTTCCTCCAGGGGAACATGAAATAACCTGATATCGTGAAGTGTTGAAGTATTGGCCCGAGAAGGAACCCTCTTCAAGGAGAATTCCCTGCAAGAACTAGCAGTGAATCGTACACCTATAGAAAATGGAAGATTTTGCATGGTTGTTGAAGCTGCCTCGGATTATACATGACTGTCGTTCAATTTAGTAAGGGAGAAAGTCTCCTTGGCACAGGCATGTTTGGGTGCCCACGCAGAAGATGGGGTGTAGATACGAGAGACTGCGCAAGAAATATCGAAACTGAGGCAGGTTGATACGTCTATAGATCTTGGAAACTATCCTGAACAAAAAAGATCGCTCACGGCAAGGTGTAACCCCCATCGATCACCAGGTTGGAGCCAGTCATATAGCTGCAAGCATCGCTTGCAAGGAAAACATACGCCTGGAGAATGGCTAGCTCTCGCTTACGTGACAATGGCCATATCCAAAATATACATACAGCCTTCAGTTCGGCCGGATCACAGATACGACGGCCGGGGACCATGTTCAACCATTGCTCAAATAGCTTCTTGGGCTGCTGGGTGAGCACTGCTATATGATCAGCATCTTCCTTCACTGCATCACGGGGCCACCTTGGGAAAAACCTACTCTTTGTCATCACAAAACCCGGTGAAATGCAGTTTACACGGGCAAACTCAGTCCACTCCACAGCCAAACTCTTCGCTAGATGCACCGCAGCAGCCTTGGAAGCATTATATGCGACCTGCGTCTGAGGGATGTTGACCAGGATCGAGCTGACAGAGGCGGTAATAACCAGGTTGCCCTTTCCCTGTTTCTTGAAGACTTTCCCAGCCGCCTGGGCCGTCCACATCACACCGTCATAGTTAACGCAGTTGTCTCTTGCCCACGAATTTTCAGTATACTCCAGATTAGGACAGTTGGTGCAAACGCCCGCGTTGGCCACAACTATATCGAGATGGCCATGGCCGAACTCTTCTGTAATCTGGTTGATAGTCGCGGCAATTGTATTGCGAGAGGTAACATCGGATTGGTACGCTTGCACCCGGACGCCTGTCTTTACGGCAATCTTTGCAGCTGTCTCGTGGGCATCCGCGCTGGCGGTATAGATTATGGCAACGTCTGCACCGGCTTCTGCGAGGCCCTTGACTATCTCTAGACCTATACCACGAGAACCACCCGTGACAGCAGCAATCTTGCCGTTGAGAGAGAACTGAGACAGGACGTTCTCGTTCACATTGGGGGGCTGGTAGAGAGGCATCCTGTGGGATATTTCGGTGGGAATTTGGAGAGACTTTGGGGGGGGGGGGGGGGAATTTCGTGAGCAGTCACAATCTGGATTAGTTTGGGGAGTCAATTTAGTCCGTGGAACCATCTGAGTACCACATCGTTCGGCGCGTTATATAATGGCGGGGATGACATTATAGCCATGGATATTTTCCAAGGAGTATCCGAGTTTAGGGGTGGATTACTATATTGGGAACTCATACCCGACTCCAACTGGTATCAATCCAAGATCTCGTATGATTTCCCTCTCCAGACTGGTCTATCTTGATGTTACTGATCTCGACTATTCCACGATTTTGCATCTTCTCCACTGCATGGCACCAGCTCTGTTGTGCTCTCAACTGTCAAGGTCTTCCTAACGCTGGGGGGCCCACTGGAAGAGCATGTCAGGAGGTGATTGGTTTGAAAGTGATGGATTACTTACTGCAGGAGAATAATGTTACACCCGGGCCTTCGTTGTCAAGTCCTAAACCAGGAAGCAGACCACGCGTAGGGGTTCTTATCTAAGGCTGTACTTTGACTTCTATAATTCAACTTTTGGACTAGCTTTGAGTAGGTGTTAGTCTTGAGAGATGTCTGGTTAGTCTAGATAGTAGATATTCTTATAACTAATTATAGGAATATTAGATTATGTAATGGATGACATTTATTTATAGACTGTCTGAGCTTTGAGGGTATAGTCAAAAGAAGAGAATTGGATCTCTTTTACTGTATACTTGAACTCCATGGGGTAGCTTGCTTGAAGTTGCACGACACACATACCTGGCATTCGAACAGCAAGCCTATGGTACCTGTACATGTTGAAACTCAATTAATATGTAATATTGAACATCATTGCGCCCCAGAAGAAATTTTAGATTGATGTATCCCATGCATGGGATCATCACGTGATGGCATAGCAGATCGTGTTCTCTTCCCTGGTGTGCCTATTTTGCATTTTACTTCCCCCCAACCATATGATAACATTGGGCGGTGGCGATTATATTGTCTATATCAGTCTTGGATTGGTAATTTGGTATCAGCCTATCAACTCCAGGCTAATGACCTCGGCCAGAATCACGGTGTTTCCTCACCCAAGGGGTAAGTCCGTCCATCTCACAACCAGTCGAGTTACGAGTAAATAGCGACACAGGAAGATCAATAAAAAGCCTTCCACAGGACATTGAAATTAGTGTGCATGCCTCAACAGAGGAACTCTACAATGCTCTTGCTGAAGCGTCGGGTTTATCCATCTATCGCTTGAGGATCAGCAAAGGAAACGATTGGACCTTGGTTCCTAATTCCAAGAAGATTACCATTAAGGAGGCCGGAATCGACAATTCGAGTCTGATTCATGTTAAGGACCTTGGTATGCTCACGCCACAAGACCTGCAGCGTGATCCAGACTGATACTCCTGCCCTTGCCCATGCAGGTCCCCAGATCTCATGGCGCACCGTGTTCATCGCCGAATACCTCGGCCCAGTCTTGATCCCAGGGCTCTTCCTCTTCGCGCTACGCCCATATCTGTACTACAATTATGATACTATCACCGAACCGAGCGGCCTTCAACTCCTTCTCTGTGCGCTGTTGACAACCCATTTCGTGAAACGTGAGTATGAGTCCATCTTCGTCCACCGGTTCAGTAATGCCACCATGCCGGCGCGCAAAGTCTTCCTAAACAGTGGCTATTACAGCGTGATGACCGGCAATATGGCTTACTGGATCCTCCGGCCTGATATGGAGCCAAGCAATCCAATCCTACTCTCCACAGGCCTTGCCCTCTTTGCCTTTGGGGAAATGGCGAACTTGAACACCCACTTTGTGCTACGGGATCTTCGCTGTCCAGGTACTCCTGACCGTGGTGTTCCGCACGGGTTTGGATTTGGTACGGTGACCTGCCCGAACTATTTATTTGAGATTGTCTCTTGGATGGGAATTTATCTTGTTAGTGGACTGAGCTGGAGCATTCTCATTTTCATCATTATTGGCAGTGTACAAATGGGAATATGGGCTAAGAAAAAGGAGCGCCGCTATCGTGAGGAATTTGGGGACAAGTACAAGGCTAAGAGGTTTGTTATGCTTCCTGGTATTGTTTAGACCAGGCCAACACCTTTCCTGGATGGCATATCGGTGGACTGTATCAAGCTCATACTGCAGCCCAAGGAGAGTTGAAACAGAAGTACATGTCCATCATAGGGAATGGCCTTTGATTTGAATATCCTTATAGAAACCTCTAACCAAGAAATGTTAGCTCAGACCAATCAGGACCCCATTCTCGTTCTCAAGCGTCATGCTGATCCTCTCTGTCCATTCTTGTGAATTATAATCGTGGACTATTGAAAACGTCTGAAATATCCGAGTCACAATGTACGTGAGCACAACCATAGCATAATGCTCTACATCGATGTCAGTAAACAGGCAAATATCACAACACTCAGGAAGGAAATCTTACGACCAGGGCAAGCTCGAGGCCCCTTGTTGAAAGGGATAAAGCCAATCATATCTGCACTAAGGTGTTCCCATCGTTCTGGGTAGAATTCCTCTGGATTCTCGCCAAAGTCCTTCCCCAGGCGATGTCGAGCCCAGGTAGAAAACACCACGATTTCACCCTTCCGAAGCAGCACCGGGCAGTTGCCGTGAGTTCCACCACCGGTTGGCAGCGTAGAATCCTTGTTTGCTACCCTGGCGTTGAAAACAACTGCAGGAAAGAGCCTCATTACTTGACGCCCTATTGTGTTAGTGTATACTAATCGTGAATACTAATTTATTATTTCTCACCTTCCTGGAGAACCCAACGGACGTAGTACAGAGATCCGAGCTGGCCCCACGTTGGAGGCGTTAACCCCACGGTGTCAAGGATGCTTGCTCTTAGCGTGTGGACGACTCGCTCGTCCCTGGCAAGGCAGAAGAAAAGACCCGAGAGGGTCGTGCTCATGCTGTCATTTGCGAGGAGAATGCTCAGCGCCTGGTCTGCTAACAGAGGGACCTCCCCTTCCTCGCCGTTGCAGTTACGCTTGCGGGGCTCTCTTTCTGGCTTTTCATTCATGGTATGTTGTTCTTCAAGCTGCCGAGCGACATGAGCCATCACATATTTTCGTGCCCTCTGACAACACTGGAGAAAGCGGCGCTTAGGATAGAGATACCGGAGCGGGCCGCGAAAACCATCCTGCACAATTTTCTCCTTGACAAAAAGCAGATCATCCAAGAACTGCTTCTTTTCCTTGGATTGAAAATGGCTGAGGGCATCAACCGACTCGCCCAGCGAGAACAAGGTTTGCATATTCAAGGCGAGAGCAAAGACACAGGCTTGAGCGTCGAACGCCTGTCCATTGGGTGGGACATGCTGAAGAAAGGCCTGAAAGTGGCGCTCGCACTGATTCAAGTCGACGATCTTGCGGAGGTTACAAAGCCGACCGCGTAACTGATCTCGGCTCTGCTTCCATCCCGCACCGTCGAGAGTGAAGATGCCATGTGGGGTGATAGGCTCAAATAAGGGCTTTCGCAGTGGGGAGCTGTCAAAATCGGGAAACGCTGTGGACAATAGATGTTTGATGTTGTCTGCGCTGCAGGTAAAGATGAGTCGAAAGCCGAGGACATTGGATGCATAGGTTTCCCCGTATCGTTTGAACAGTGTATTAGTATACGGAAGGGAGGTTCGACACTTGAAATGAAATGCTAATTCGAGAGCTTTGGCGATGCCAAGAATATCGTATTGAAAACGCCCATTTTCACTGCGTAGTCTTTCGCAGCCATAGAGTCGTTCCAGCTGTCGCTGCTTGTGAGTCCAGTGGAGTTTTCGCCCTAATAGAAGCAAGATTATTCCCACAGTAGTCACTATGAGGGGTTTAGAGACAACAACTGGTCCTAGCGCTTCAACTGGTTGCATCATTTTGCCTGAGGTGTCAGGCTGGGTAGTCTATGGTTGTTAAGACATCATGCCCTAGTAGTTTACACACATTGGGCTTTCGTGATCATGGAAGACCCTGTCGTGATACTCGCGGAACTCTGTGGGTCTGGCAGGAGGGTCTATGCCACGGAAAAAGAGATGTATCCATTGGGCGCATGCAAGGGGTATGTTGCGGTCTGCAAGTGCAGCACTATTTCATGCTTTCTTTTGCTCATCAAAGAAAAAGCTTTTGCAGTGACAAGATTGTCCCACCAGGAGACAGAATTGCAGAAGCAAACAAAGTTCAATAGCCAGATCACTGGGCATGCCTGAATTCAAAATCCATATCTGGCATATATTGACAAGGCTTTGTATTGCGAACTTCTTAGATCTCTATCCGTAGCTGATGACAGGCTATCAACATCAATCAGCTCCCAGCCACGATTGCCAAAAATGACGACTGGATATCGAGAATCCGAACGTGTCTTCAGGGAAAGAGAGCAGTTACTTCCAGAGGTAGAGCAAACTCTACGACGTTCTATGGACTATACATATAATGTGGTACACTCCGATGGACACTGGTGTGGGGAGATGAGGTCAAATGTCACCATAACAGCTGAATATATCTTTCTCCGACAGGCTCTGGGGCTCGACCTGAAAGCTGATGGTGCGGCCTATTGTCGCTACATACTATCTCAGCAAAACTGTGACGGCTCCTGGGGTCTAGCGCCCGAGTTTCCAGGCGATGTCTCGACCACCACCGAAGCGTATCTCGCGCTGAAAATATTAGGGGTGAATGTAGACGTCCCAGCCATGCAACATGCCAGAGCATTCATTCTCCATGCGGGAGGGGTTGCCAAGGTTCGTGTGTTCACTCGCATCTTCCTGGCAACCTTCGGCTTGTTTCCATGGAATGAAGTACCTCAGCTCCCTGTGGAACTGGTTCTGCTCCCCTCCACATGTCCGATCAACATCTACAAGTTCGCATCTTGGGCCCGCGGCACCATTGCCCCTCTCTTGATCATCTGCCATCATCAGCCGGTCTATGCGCTCCCGAATGGAATAACGGCGGAGAATGACTACCTAGACGAGTTATGGCAAGATCCAACTAGCAAAACTGCGCCCTACGGTCCATCCCTCTGGGAGCTGCTATCCCAGGGCGACATCACTGGGCTGACATTCAGCATCCTGGACAAACTGCTTTATCAACTCAACGGACTTCGCTCAGTCCCTTTCCTCAGATCGTACGCACGGCAGCAATGCATGAAATGGATTTTGGAGCGCCAGGAACCCACCGGCGACTGGGCCGGGATCTTCCCGCCCATGCATGCCAGCGTGTATGCGTTCATGCTGGAAGGGTACAAACTGGACGATCCCCCTGTCAGTCTTGGCATCCAGGCGATTGAGAATTTCGCCTGGGAGGATGCAGAAGGGAAAAGGGTCCAACCTTGCGTTTCACCTGTATGGGACACGACTCTAATGTCAATCGCTCTCTGCGATACCGCATCACCCGACCAGCAGATCGTCGATCGTGCTATTCAATGGATCCGAGACCGTCAATTGCTTGAACCCCGCGGAGATTGGCGTGTATACCGGCCCCATCTTGCGCCGGGGGGGTTCAGCTTCGAGTACACAAACAGCCACTATCCCGATATAGACGACACGGCAGCGATTATCCTTGCGCAAGTGAAGCATGACGCGAGATCGTGTCATTCACCCTCCGTGATTGCCGCAGCTACATGGATTCTGGGCATGCAGAATCCTGACGGAGGATGGGCTGCCTTTGACGTGGAGAATGATAAGCTATTTCTCAACAAAATCCCGTTCAGCGACATGGACAGTCTATGTGACACGTCCTGCGCCGATATCACCGGGCGAATCCTGGAGGCCTTCGGACTGATGATTCTCCGCGCCCCAGAAAAAGGCAACGCCAGCCAGCTGAGCCAACTTGGTCCCGCGATACGTGCAGCGTGCAGACGAGCTATCCAATACCTTGCCTCTACGCAGGAGACTAATGGGTCCTGGTTCGGCCGATGGGGGTGCAATTACATTTATGGGACTAGCCATGCACTGTGTGGTCTGGCGTACTTTTCTCAAGACGAGACACTGATTCCTACCTTGGCGCAACCAGCGTTGCAATGGCTGAAGTCTCAGCAAAATGATGACGGCGGGTGGGGCGAGTCCTTGCTGTCATACCAAAGTGCCGAGAGAAAGGGGCAAAGATCAACAGCGTCGCATACAGCATGGGCGCTTATGGGACTCCTGGCCCATATTCCCCACACCGACATTGCCATTGAACGCGGCATACAGTGGCTGGTCTGTTCTCAAAAGCCGGAGAAAGGCCTTGGGTTTACCTGGCCTGAACCAGTGTACACGGGCACTGGATTTCCAAATCATTTTTACTTAGGCTACGACTACTATCGGCATTATTTCCCGATGATGGCACTCGGGCGGTATTTTCGGGCGGTTCAAGGCGAGATTAAGCTGAAGATGGCCATGTGAGGTGTGCAAATAATGACTTCAGTTCATAGCAAACATGCATATATGAGGTATTACTTCTGTAGTAAAAAGCAATTACTGGAATGCATGTCCCACTCTGTGGCATACCGCTCTTTCATACCTTGCTATATATGGAATGGCGAAGGCTCGCATGAAGAAGCAAGGGGGCCCTGATATTGTCCCACCCCAGGGTTAATTTGTAGCAGAGGAACACCAATCCCTTGATGATTTATTAACACGAGGGGAGAGCTTCGGCAGGTGATATTTACAAGATACTCACCCCTCCCGAGACGACACGAGTATCGAATCCCCTACGGCAGCTGCAGCAATGGGTCTCCTCTCTGTCTTTGGCCGTGCACGGCCAGCAACTATACCCACCGATCGGATTGTCCCTCTTCGATACTGGGATGATTTGCACTATCTACGTAGTCTTAGCCATGACTTTACCTTCCGCTTTGACGACGTTCTTGATGCCTCAAAACTCGAGGGAGCGCTGAACCGGCTGATGGAAATCGGCGACTGGGGTCAATTGGGGGCTCGTCTGCGACTGAATGTATGGACCTTCGTGAACCACAACCTGCCCCACAATACTAACGTAGCAATGTGGTATATAGGATAACGGAAAGCTCGAATATCACATCCCGAGTGAGTACGACAAGAGCACCCGCCCCGCATTCGGGTTTACCACCGAGAAGTATGGGATGGGCATCAATGAACACCCGTTGGGCGCACGGCTGCCGAAAACCGGCCAGGACCAGTCTGTCCTGTCGCCATCCTGCGCGGAGTTTGCGCCACTGGTCCGCCATGCAGATAGTCCCCGAGAGCTGGCCGACTGGATCTATTCCGACCGTGGGCAGCTCCATGTCCATGTTGCGGTCTTTGAAGATGCAACCCTTCTGACGGTTAGCTATCTTCACACCTTTTTCGACGCCGTCGCGCGGACCAATTTCTTCAAGGCATGGATAGCTGTCCTCGATGGCCGGGAGGAAGACGTGCCGCCTTTTGTTCCTTTTGACCAGGACCCCTTGGGCGATTTGGGCAAGGGAGTCCCTCGGGAGAACTATACCCACTTCCAACGGCTCGTTATCGGACTGAGTCTCGTACTCTTTGGGCTCAGGTACTTATTTGAACTTTTCTGGTTCCGACAGGAGGAAGAGCATCCCATCCGGGTGCCGGGACACTGCGTGGAACAGATGAGGCAAAATGCTCAAGAGGAGCTGGCCGCTTCGACCCCGGAGGGAGCCGAAGCGCCCTTCCTGAGCGAGCCTGATGTCGTCTCCGCGTGGTGGGTGAAGACCATGGTCACAGCCCTCAACCCTGCGCCCGGCCGTACCGTCATGGTGATGAGCCCCTTCAATGTATGGGGTCTGTTCAAGGAATCGTTCCCTGCCGGCGCGAAGGGCTTCATCGGCAATGCATTCTTCAACTCATACACGGTGCACAAGACGAGCGAGGTCCTCAAAGATAACAACTTGGCATACCTGGCATCCAAGAATCGGCAGGCGCTCATGGAGCACAGAACCAAGGAGCAAGTCCAAGCGATGACTGCCATTCAACGAGACTCGTTCATGCAGATTCCACCTCTCGTCGGCGATTCGAGCCTGCTCTTCATGACACATACCAACCAACACAAAGCCAGGTATTTCGAGACTGACTTCTCCGCTGCTGTTGTTGCCCCCGGTCTGCCTCTCAAAGACAGACCTCATGCACTGGGCAGACCGTCTTACATCAACGACATTGAGCATTGCCGCCTGTATCCTACTCGGAATGTCTGTAGGGTGATTGGCAAGGATGCCGCAGGAGACTGGTGGCTTCTCTTCAAGACGCGCTCTGAGGCTTGGCCTTCGATCCACAAACAGTTGATGACTTTGCTTGACATCGACGAGGTGCAGGCAGGGGACGTCTCCAATGCAGCAAGCCTTCCGTACAACGAAAGCCCGTCGGGCAAGACGTATTCCGAGGCTATGGGAATGCTTCTGCAAATCCGTCTTCTTTGGAGGCTTTTAGTATAAGTAGCATGTCCGTTTGTATCCTAGATATATGGGCCCTTCTAAATTGAACTGTCTGGGTGAGGAGTCCCTCTGAAAGGCTTCAGAGTATTATGGTGATTTTATCGAAGAATGCACGGGTATGGCTTGTTGTCACTACGGGCAATGTCAGTAAATGCTGTTGAATAGGCTAGCAGGATTTCGGGTTATCTAATGGAATTCGTGGCAGTATGATCCATCATATTCGTATTATGCAGACACAAATATGCAACATAGGCAGCACAGTTCCGTAGTAGTGTAGAACGATGTGATCGATCACCAGCCTGCTAGCCATCCCAAATACCTGAAATCTGGTCAAGACTTGGGAATGTTATGATCCACGTGACCACGACATGCCCATCCTCGCGAGTCATTCATTCCAGACAATAAGGCAAATTTGACAGTGTGGTCGATGCCCTTCAAGAGGACACAGGATGTCGGACGAGGAGATTCTGCTGGGTGAAATCCCGCCGATCTCTTCTACTCCTTGCGCCGCCGACATCATCGAGTGTCAGGTTCGCATCGACCCCAGCACGGCGAACCTTTTCTCAATCTACCGATATGCAAACGCGCCACTGATCTGCGCATTGCTGGTATCAACAAGCTGCGCAGTGGTCGCTGGGGCTGCAATGCCCTTGGTCACGATCGTGTTCGGAGCTTTGGCAAGTGAGTTCATCAATGGGGACGAGAAAACACCACAGGATGTTCGCGATCGGGTTCAGCGGCTCACCTTGCTGCTGGTGTACATCGGTATGGGAAGTTGAAGCCAATTTGAAAGATGCCATCTGACACATATCAGCGATTGGGTCATTTGTCTCTACTATGATCAGCACTTGGGGGCTCAACGTAGTCGGAGAACAAATTACACGTCGCCTCCAACGAAAGTACTTCTCGTCAGTGCTGCAGCAGAACATGGCGTACTTCGATGTCGTCGGCACAGGAGAGCTCACGTCCCGCATCGACCAGGACATGAAGTTGATCCAAACGGGTATCTCGCAGAAGATGGGCAACGTTATCTCCGGAGTATCCGGCTTTCTTGTTGCCATTATCTGCGCCTTTATCCAGAACCGACGCTTCGCATCGATAATGATATCGCAGCCGATTGCCATGATCCTCTTGGTAGGACTAATGGGGTCTTGGCTAAGCGCGACACAGCAAAGGGGCTTGTCGCATTCCGTTAAACTTGACAATCTAGCCCAAGAAGTTCTCAGTGCTATGCGGAGCGTTATCGCGTACCGAAGCCAAGAACGATATGCGAGAAAGTATCACGATACGTTGCTGCAGCCGGCTGCCCTGGATTTTCGGGAGCGGTTGATCTTTGGCGTGATCGTTGCAGGCTCCTTTACGATCTTGCATTGGGCTAATGGATTGGGTGTACGTACGGCCACAGGCTTTAAAAAACCCTGCTAATAGTTAGGCTTAGTTTTGGCAGGCTGATCGCCTCTTCCGCCAGGGACTTTGTACAGTTTCAGAGGCCTTGTCCATCCTTTACGCAACAGTCGTCGCAGGCGGCATGCTGTGTCAAGCGTTGCCGTATGTCGTCGACGTTACCCGGGCCAGCAAAGCAGCCAGCCGAGTCATTTCGGTAATTGAGCGTGTTTCGCCGATCAATCCCATGGCGGTTGCAGGACGCATATACGGTCCTGTTCGGGGAGAGATCTGGTTCGACAATGTAGAGTTTGCTTATCCTTCGCAACCGGAACGAACTGTTCTCAGAGAGATTAGCTTCACTGTACCTGCCGGACAAACTGTCGCCGTGGTGGGGCCATCGGGATCTGGTAAGTCGACGGTCTTTGCTCTTTTGGCACGTTTATACAATCCCACCGGCGGGGAGATTATGCTAGATAATGAGCCGGTTGATGCCCTGAATGTCTCGTGGCTCAGGTCTCAGATTGGGTATGTCAGCCAGGATGTCACCTTGTTCCGTGCATCGATTCTTGAGAATATTGCTCATGGGCTGCCCAAGACGACTATAGAGGTATATCTGCCAGGATCCATTGATTTTTACCAAGTCAGTTCGCTCATACAGGAACAGGCACTGAACCCATCTGCAGTTCGAGAACTAGTAGTTCAGGCTGCCAAGACCGCGCATATCCACTCTTTTATCACCAGTCTCCCCAACGGCTACGATACCATCATAGGGGTTAATGGGTCAGGTCTCTCTGGTGGACAGAGGCAACGGCTCGCAATTGCCCGCGCCATTGTATCTCAGCCATCCATCCTCCTCCTGGATGAGGCTACTGCTGCCTTGGATAGTCAAAGCGAAAAGGATATCCAGGAGGCTTTGAACAGCGCTGCCTATGGGCGAACGACCATGATAATAGCTCACCGGCTATCGACAATCCAAGATGCCGATATGATAATTGTCATGAAAGACGGCCAGATCTTGAATCAAGGTAAGCATTGGGAGTTAATGAGCACATCTGAGATGTACCGAGAATTGGTGGATCACCAGGCACTCCGACAGAGCGACGAAGTTCGAGAATCGCTATCCTCTACAGATTGTCTAAAAACTAGGTCCAGTGAAATATCTGTCAAAGATGACACTCCGAAGAAGACTGAGGATGGTCCATGGTCAATCTCATCACCGAAAAGTAGCATCGGCCAGGTTTGGCACTTGAATAAGCCTGAGCTGCCTTACGTTGTTGCGGGTATTATTTTCAGTGCATTGGCTGGAATGACATATCCCATTCAAGCTATCTTCTTCGGTAACGGGGTCATATCAATCATTAGCCCTGGTGCAAGTACCGGAGGGCACGATGTTTATTTCTGGGCTCGATTATACCTTATTCATGGTATTGTTGTGTTTCTATTGTACTGTGTACGAGGTTATTGCTTCGCGGTGTCTGCATCTCAGTTGCACCTCCGAGCGCGGTCGCACTTGTTCAAGGCGCTGCTGCTGAAGAACCTTGTCTTTTTCGAGGATAAAGGTCATTCAACTGGAAACATGGTGAGCTTCCTCTCGTCATGCACTCCGAAGATCACCGGTGTGTCAGGAACGTCACTCGGACTGGTAGCGGAGAGCATCGTAATGCTTGCGACGGGGATCATAGTTGGATGTATCTTTGGATGGAAGCTCGGCGTCGCAGCAATGGCCACAGTCCCATTGATAGCCATGTCCAGCTTCCTGCAATACTATATCGAGGCACAAGTGCAGAAGCACGTGAAGCGCGACACTGACTCCGTGGCCATTGCGCATGAAGCCTTCTCCGCTATCAAAACAGTGACCATACTCGGCCTGCAGACCAGCGTTCTCGAATCGTTCCAAAAAGCAAGTCGCCGAGACAGGCAACATGGGTACTGGGTCATATCTGCTGGTCTGCATGGGTGCACCACATCACTTCGGATACTGAGTATTGCTTTCGTATTCTGGTATGGCGGCACGCGTCTCATCGCGTCGGGGGAATACACCATTCAACAATTTTTCATATGTTTCGCGGCCACGGTTTGGGGGTCCCAGTCTGCCGCTACTCTCTTTGCTCACGCGCCAGACATTGCAGGTGCTCATGCTGCTGCTGCTCGACTGACGGAATTGATGCGACCCGATGGTCCCCCCCCAGCAATACTCCCACACAAGGACCCAAAGCAGGGCTACGGCTCTGCCCTTGTGCCGAATACCACGGAGAATTTGGCGCTACAGCACATTAACTTCAGATATCCTACCCGACAATCTCAACTAACACTGGACGACGTCACATTCAGTGCCCCAACTGGGAGCTTTATCGCTCTTGTCGGAGCCACCGGAAGTGGCAAAAGCTCTGTGATTAGTCTGATAGAGCGGCTCTACGCTGCTGAGTCCGGTCAGATAACATTAAATCAAGTTCCCATTGAACACTATGATCTCAACAACTACAGAGGGTACTTGGCGCTGGTCGACCAGAATCCATGTCTGGTTGGTGAGGATCTGCGCGAGTGTTTGCAGAGTGACGAGCGAGTCGTTTCAGATGAGGACATCATGGTTGCTCTGAAGAGTGTGGGACTAGCTGATTTCGTGGTACGTCTTCTATTCATTTACCAGCTACACGCTTAATTCCATTTCTAATCTGATTGTGACTAGCTATCTCTCCCTGAAGGATTGAGCAGCCCAGTTATGGCCAACGGATCGACTCTGTCCGGAGGCCAACGCCAGCGCATAGCCATCGCCAAGGCCCTTCTATGGGACCCGAAGATTTTGTAAGGCTCGCCCGGTTCTATTTGTATAGGCGATTCTCTGACTTTTTCTAGCTTACTTGACGAGGCAACCTCGGCGCTAGATAGCGCCTCAGAGGCACTAGTGCAGCAAGCACTGCAGCGGGCAATGAAAGGCCGGACGGTCATCTCAATTGCCCATCGACTCAAGACGATTGTTGACGCTGATGAAATTTTGGTCTTGGATCATGGATGCATTATTGAGAGAGGCCGTCATGAGGAATTGATGAAACTCGGAGGGAAATATTGGCAGATGGCTAAGTTGCAGCAGTTGAATGGGGATGTTGGGGGGTAGCTCAATCGATACTGAGTCCATTATGGGCTATCTTGTTCGTAAATTGTGGTGGGGACTGGAGCATATATCACTGATATTTGTACAGAAACCTGATATAATACAATCTATTGATTATCTTCACACTTGTTAGATGAATAATTGTTTCTCGGAGAAACTAGATGGGCTATATTGGCCGAGTACAGTCTTCAACCATAGCACATAATTGAACAATATCAAGTGGACACGGATTTGGGTAGCTCGTACGATCGGGTACCTCCAAGCTCTAGCACATAACCGCACTACTGTATTCATGAATGCGAAGTTCAAAGCCACCACACTAATATACGTTGCCGAGATGCAGTCATTGATGATGTAGCAGTAAGCAACTAGCCGGATAGTCCCATTACCCAGCAATTCTAGGAACGTAGAACCTATAAATACACTAATAACAGTTCAGCCTCACCGTAGATGAGCTCTTGATGCTTACATATCTGTGCATTCTTGGCTTCCAATAAATGAATATCTACTAATCTACCTTCCCTCCCTTCGGTTCTCGGCGTCATCCGATAATTGAACGACCGAAGGATAGCAGCCCACCACATGTGATTAAGGAGTTCCTCATAGTCTCTGTGGACATGGGTATGTGGAGAAAGCAGTCTAGATCTAATCGAAAGCACGTCAGATAGAGACTGGAGATACCTCGGAAGGGCGGACCGCAAGGTCGACAAACCCCCGGCCCGGCACGGACCGTCCACGGATCAACCCCAGCTTTCCCGTCCTGGTATTGATGATCCATCATACTAGAAAAAGATAGCATATCCTGCATCCCGGATTCTCCTTCTCGATTGAGCTTGCAGACGACGACCTACTATCGCGGGCTCGTTGTCCTCACTTTAATTGGCGGAATAAACACGATCATGGCCAAGATCCCAGCTGTCTTACGCTCATATGCTCCGAGCACCGGGAGCTCCTCCTCGAAGGTATCAGTTTCTATTCACATTGCCGGCGCCGAGGATAGTCGCCCAATGTTGTTCACTACGCTAGATAAGATCGAAGGAGTGGTGACAATCACAGTGGCGGAGAAGACCGCCTGCGAGGACATAAAGATCACATTGGAAGGGATATCGAGGGTAGTGACCTGGGGAGGTATTAATGGACCTCCACTTATCGGTGGTCGTCACACGTTCATGAAGCTCCATAATCTGATTGAGAAGGGTCCATATCAACCAACATCGATTCTGGAGCCGGGTTGGTGCTACAAGTTTCCGTTTACGTTCATTGTGCCGGAAAGTCTGCCGCTCACGGGATGCGATCACAAAGCGGATGATGGAGGTCTCAATAATGCTCACACCAGACTACCACCTTCAATGTGCAAGGAGACCGACACAGAGTGCTTTTCTATCAAATACATCGTCCGTGTGGTTATCCCGGGACCATTCTGCGGAAAGGAAACCCTGAAAAAGAGCTTAGCCAACGTTGTTCACCCCGTCAAGATACTTCCCTCTGGTATATTGGGCAGCTCCAGCGGCATTTCCATCAATGGGCTCACATCTCGACGAGTACTCAGAATTAGACGTGGCTGGAGAGGGAAATGTTCTGGCCACTTGACTATCTTAGCTTCACCGACTGAGCCCATACGACTTCCCTTCCGTCGAATTGATGCCGTCGACCAGGTCAACACCTCGATAAAACTAGACCTTAGATTCACTACAGTTGGGACCCAACCTCCCCCTCACCTGCGAAAGATGTATCCCAAGCTGAATTCGGTAACATCCTTCCACGCAGGGCTGCAGGAGCAGTATCCGTCTTTCACAGAGGAAAAAAGCACCGATTTAGCCCGAGGAAACCACGTTCAATCTCTGACGCTTCCAACAATCGATATTGCGTCAACGCAATGGGCCAAGATACAATCACCAAGTACTAGTATTTCATCTTCCCAGCCGATTTATCAGTCTATCTCCACCAATGAGGAAGCGTCGTATACCGCATCGATCGTTGTTCCAATTTCCATTCCAAAGGATGAAGACCTTGTCCCAAGTTTTCACTCCTGTTTCATCTCTCGCATCTATATCTTGGAGCTTCTTATATCTTATTGCACAGAAAAGGCTGCTGGAGGGCGCGCTGCAAAAATTGAAGTTCCTGTTGAGATCAGTTTGTGAGATGCGTGAGCGAACATCTATGGAGCTATCGGGATTATAAAGACGACCTGTATAATATCTAATTATATACCCTTCTGCACTATAGAGGATTGTTAGTGATATACAGTATTTACAATGATGAATGACATAGAGCGACAACGATAGATGGACTTCTTCTTCTATAAGTACAATACGAAAAATAGGAGTAGACACCACAATGTGGCGTACTAGGGTGAGTTGTCGACTGCATGCGAAGCATAAAGAGACCAAATAGCAATTGAATTCGCATGTCACGATTGCATGGTCTATCTACTGGTGGTAAACCTTCAGCTAACGTGTGGCCAGGTGAAGGTACTTCCATTCATGCTGCGAAGCCGCTTCCATTGATGACAGCGACTCTCATCTCTATCGCTTAGCCTACAACAGTAGCCAATGAACGCAATCAATAGCGACGTAAAGAAAAGTACCAGAAGTCGAGTGGCTCCTAAGCCAGCGACGGAGGCTGTTCTCCCGTCGCGCGGCCGGACCGAGTACCCACCTTAGCTCGTAAATTCTATGAAGCAGGATTGGCTCATGATAATTCTGCCACGGCTCTCTTGCATAGCAGATCACGGAGGCTAACCAGTCAGCGTGCCAGATGTCTGCAGCAATTCCCGAAAAAGGATTAGTGGAAACTGTCTGCTTTCATACGTGGCCGCAGCTGCGGCTGAGATGCGATCAATCAGAGTCCTAATTTATGAGTGCAGAATGCAAGAGAACTTTTTCTTAACCCCCTCTGTCGCTTCGTGGATGACATCTTGGCAACTATGGCGAGTCGCATGGTGATGTATAAGCTGGTGATGCTTGGAGACGGTGGTGTTGGAAAGACCGCTTTGATGATGCAAATGTCGCTGAGATTCTTTGTCGAGACTGTAAGTCCTCCATGGGACATATGGAGAAGGACCCCGTCATCTCTCCAGATCAATAAACAAACCCCCATTGACACCAGGTGTGTCAGTACGACCCGACGACGGAAGATGAATTTCGCCAGCAAGTCGTCGTTGATGGCCAGTCCTGCATGATGGACGTTCTCGATACAGGTGGTGGAATGAAACAAACAGCGATGATAGATCAATGGATCCGCGATGGCGAGGGCTTCGTTCTGGTCTACAGCATCTCCTCTCGCTCTTCATTTATACGCATCAAGGAGTTGCATCACCATATACAGCGTCTTAAGGAGCCGTTCACATCATCAGCTTGCCAGGCCTTATCCGCCACCAGCCTTCAACCGCCTATGCCTATCATACTGGTAGGCAATAAGTGTGATATAGATACGGGGCGTACGGTATCTGTGGAAGAAGGATACGCCTTGGCTCGCGAGCTCGGTTGCAGATTCGTCGAAGCCTCGGCCAAGAACAACATCAATGTTGAGGCGGCTTTCCTGGACGTTGTGCGGATCCTGCAACGTGGACGACAACAAGCGTTGCGACAAGCTACTAGCTCTAGCGACCGGTTATCTCAGCGTCGGGCCGCCATTTCCCGTAGTGTGTCGGATGTTAGTATGTCTATCACGAGGCTTTTGTCGTTGGGCCGTAAACAACCGACAAGCCACCGACCTGGTATAGTTGAAACAATTTTCGAATCCCAAGTCACTGGCGTCAATGATAGGGAGCAACTAAGAACTCGTTTTGACAGGCACGGAAGACCTGAGGAATAACATAGACCCTCCAAACAAGCCGCCTCTCAAATCGATGTCAGGCTCTCACCATGACGTGGTACCAGAGGAATTGCCTAAATCTTCACGCTGGCAAGAACTCGGGTCATTTTGGCCTACATGGCGGGCTTTATGTTGGTATAAGCTTATGCGAATCTTAGAACCTCTGCCCAAGGGTGCGCAGAGAGTCACGTATACCTGCGTCAGTTTACGTTTTATCATCCGTATCTGAAGCAATGTCTCATAGACTCTTAGGGTTGCGGTGATCTATGTTATTTGGATGTTGTGGAAATGGCTCCAGGAGGGGCAGCAGAGTTGCAGGAACACTTAAATGCCGGCGCCAGAGCTGTTCGCCTGCGAAGCAATGCTCAGACTGTTTCATCAAGCCCTCCATCTTCTCCGCAGCCAGCGCGAATCTCTCCCTCTTCTCAGTCTCACGACCAACGAAGACGGCCAATCCAAAGCTTGCCGCAGCTTCGTTCGAATGAACCCAATGGGGGGTCAGATACTACCTCAGTTCAGCGTCTAACGAAGTCAAATCGCACATCGGAACCAAAATACCTGTTGCTCTGCGTGAACACAAGGCGAGATCTTGCACTAATGGAGCACATTGAAGTCTCATCCATGACAAACGATCAATACCTCTTCCAAGACATCCAAAGCGAGTATTCTAGAATGAGGCGAAACCAGCAATGGAACTTAGGGATGGTATTTCCAAACGACATTCGAATACCCAACTGGATCTTGAGAGTTCTATGCATCCCTGCTCCAAGACACATACAGTTTCCTGCTTGGCTAGGTAAACGCCTTGAAAACTGTAGAATATTTATTCCCAAGAAGGCGGAATTCGTTCAGGTAAATGAATGCAGCCAAATACCATAGTTCAACTACTGATTTAGTATAGTTTCAACTAATCCCAGCTGGCACTGATATCTGCGCTGACATTGTGGCGAAGCCAGCGATTCCTGGAGATGAAGAAGTGCTAGTTAAGAAGTCCTATGAGTACCGGCCGGTTCCTTTGAAGGTAAAGATCCTTCGTATTCCACTGCATGATCTTCTTAAACCAGGCCCCCATCTCGGTAGTTTCTGGTTAAATAGATTTCCCAAGAAACGAGGAGATATGCTTACTTGGGATGAAAGTCGAGAGTGTCTTGGCTGGGGAATACACATCATCGAAGGATGGAACAAACGTCTCGTTGTCTTTGTTGTCTTGCTCCTTATGCTTATTTTTGGCGTATTCGTTGCTCTATACGGCGTCTTAACTCACGATGGGTCAACCGGTGCTGGAATAGGATCCTTTTTGGTGGGTCTTCTTACATTATATTGCTGGCTAAGATATGAAGATTGGAAGAGTGAATGATTGCCATATTGAGGAATATTTTGAGAACTTGTCTACCAGTACGGGGCTAGGCGAGCCACAGAGCTCGGTGTAGAGCGCCTAGACACGACGTTACTTTCAAGTACAACTTCCAGCGGACTTGTAGCTCCCAGCTGAGAATACCATAGATCCTAGGGGCAGATATCTCGACTTACAACCATGGTCGTTGCTTTTACTCTGTATAGAAACACGCCCCCGAGGAGGAAAGGAGCAACAACAAATAGCCTCACAACATATGACTTAACAAGCGTATTATGTGATGTTTGTTCTCTGGCTGGGAATGCAGCCTTTCCTACCGGATGCCATTTTGACACATCACCCCCCGCGGAGTTTCGTCCGCAAATACGTGCGACTTCATAAGTTTTACACCAACTTGGGACTATAAGGCCGGCGTGAGACAGCCGACCTCGTGTATACCAACAGTGAAGACATCCTAACCTCCCTCAATCCCCATCAATATACTTATTCATAATAGGCTGGGGGATGCCAATTCACTTTGGGTCGTCAGGGAAGGCGCCAGGCAATGACTTCCAAACCCTGACCATCGAGACTAAATATTGGCCGTGGCATGTCAGTTAAACACCAACACATAGCCTTGTGTGAGTGATTGTTTAAATGGCATCTCGCTATGCACCTCGTTAAGGCCAGACGTGGCCAATGAGCCAAAAATGTGAGGATCGCATTCTCTACTTGCAACAACCACAGACATCCGGTCTCCGGTGATAGGCTTCCATTCAAAGATATAAAAAGTGTATGGTCTCAGCTACACTCTGCAAACCTCTCAAAAAGCCCGAACGTTCATGATAGACCAACTACGATACCTTTAACTTTAATCTGAGCCAAGAGCACTATCCGAAATGGACACTCTCGTGCCTTTTATCCCATCGGAGGTGGAACAGCAGCTTCCCTAGCGAAGGAGTATCTGGAAAACGCGGGAAGCCTTGCAGCCGCCGATCTTCGACAGCACCCGACTATCAATCCACCTAGTTCCAAATGGGGCGTTAAGGAGAGCAACAACAAGCCAGGTAAAGCTAATGTAAATCGCTCTTGATTTTTACTACTGATACTATCATCGCCCTGAAGCGTTTGAATCTCTCTGTAGGTCAGTTCGGGCCGCAACGGTAGATGACCTTAAAGCATTTGACAACGACAAGTTTGCGGACAATCCATTTGAACACTTTTCTGAATATCTTGGAGAGTTGGCCACAACCTACACCTCTGAGGAATCAATCAGGAGGGCACACCAAAGGAGAATCAGTGTCAGTTCAGTCAATACCGAACTTTCTGGGGGACGACCGGCACTTGGCCACATTGATCACCCTGGGGCCCAATTAGCCGTATTTAAAGTGGTAAGCAGGTTCAAACATAATCAAATGATGATTCCTAACTCTCGTAACAGCTTCGCTGCTGAGAATCGGTTTCACTGGACTATGGCAGGATTCACGGCTCTATTGGGGGCAACCTCCGCGGCAGTTTTTCTGGGAAGCGCTTGTGGTTAGTCTAGAGCTTGGTGGTCATACTTTTGTTTTCGCTTGGGATTCCTGATTTATCTCGGGATAACGACAGTGCAAACCATGGGACTGTCAGTTTGTATAGCATGATGGTCTCACAAAGCCATAGTATCAGTGGAAGAGAGCAACAACAACTTAGACGCCATTGGTAGTATCTGGACCCCTTTGCAAATATGCCTGTATAGAACCTCTACTAGACCCTTGTCCTTTCAACTCGGAGCAGTAGGAAGAGAGCAATTTAAAGAAACGTCTAAATTTGTACTCCTCGTCTGGCCGATCCATGGTGCAATCTTCCTCTGCAGTATCAGCGTACCAGAATCCCCAAGGGATTAGCTTCTCCACGTCCTTCTCTTTAGTGCTGGCAGGTATTGCATTGTCTGAATATTGAGCTCGAGATTCATGTATTCATAAGTAGCGCACTTGTGATTCTCGCTGTAGACAGCCTGGCTTCTTGGACGACAGATACAACCTCTCGTCAACTATACATTTCTACCGACCCAGCGCGTTTCTCAGGAAAGAGAAAGTGCGATTAACAATAATGAAAAAGCGAAAAACATACAACAGCATATACCGGGTGGTGCTCACCCCCTCCAGCGCCGGTTTCGCTTAGAGTCAGCGAGACCCGTATAGGAGCTTGGAGTTATTCCAATCAAAAACCATTCTCACCGTAATTCATTACTGAACTGACAAGTGAACTAGCGAGTCGATGCCTCTATTGATGTTATTATTATCATTCTTACCACTGTTGTAGAACCCGATCTGATTCTATACCTGACCTATCCCGAGATAGCGACCCGCCCAGTCGGACATGTCGATCATTATTCTAACTCTAGGTGGGGAGCAAATGGCAGCCTGAGAATGAGATCCACAGCTCGTATTCACGCTCTGTCTACCTTCCCTATCCTGTGTTCTTTATCGGATGATAAACGTGACACTTTTTCACCTTCGCAACCTTCATACTGCCATGGCATCGTCTAGTACCCCACGCTTTGTCTATCAACCCGGAGAAATCATCCTGGAGGTGGCATCGCATCTCTGCGTCTCCGACCTCAATGGCCTCATCCAGACAGCCCAGCGTTTTCATGAGCTCCTGTCGCAGGAGTTGTATGGCCGGGCGGCCACGCTGATTCGGAACGATGGCGAGACGCCCTTGATCTGGGCGGCGAAACAGGGCCGAGTCGCCTGCGCTCAGAAGCTCGTGAGGCGAGACCCCGATCCCGCGAGACTCATCGATGGCCGAGCTGCCATTCATGCTGCCACGGCCGCAGGGCAAGAGCAGATTGTCGCGGTCTTGCTGGAAGCAGGCGTGCCCGTCTCCCTGCCCGATAAGGAAGGGCACACACCCCTCCAATGGGCAGTGGCCCATGACCAGGAACTGGTCCTTCGCCGACTTCTCGCGTCCGGCGCTGGGAATGTGACTACCCCATCGGATGAGAACTGGGAGTGGGGGTGCGCCTTGGTGGATGCAGTGATGAGAGGCCATAAATCAGTGGCTAGGATTCTTCTCGAGGCTGGGGCCAGCATCGCCCGGGACCATCCCGCCTTCCCCAAGATCCACGAGGCGATCAACTTCAAGCTACGCTTGGCCTCGCATCAGGGACAGTGCGAAATGATCAGCCTCCTGTTAGAGTTCGATGCTGACGCGCATCTCCTTCGCACGGGGAACCTGCTCCCGTTGCATATCGCGGCATCACACGGACACCTGGATGCAGTCCAGCTCCTGCTCCAGCACGGCGCCGATATCGCCGCCGTCGATGAACAGGGAGATATGGCCATCCACCACGCAGCCGCCGCGGGCAGTGTGGAGGTGGTAAAATTCCTGCTGGATCGGGGAATCCCGGTGGACGTGCGCGGGGAGGCGGAAAAAACCGTCTTATTGACTGCGGTGATCTATCAACGAGCCGCCGTCACGCAGTTGCTGCTGGAAGCCGGAGCCGATGTGAATCTGGTCGAAGAGGATGGGCACAACGCCCTCCGCCTAGCCGCGTACTGTGGGACGATCGAGATCGTGGAATCACTGCTCGCCCATGGTGCTGCCGTTGGCGCGCTAGCACCGGATGATCGAACCGTCCTACATATGGCCGTAGTGGGTGACAATCCAGATGTCATCCCCTCGCTATGTCGCCCAGGCGCCGCGATCAATGCCCTGGATGCGTCGGGATACACGGCCCTTCATTTGGCCGCCGCCCTTCCCGGACGTACTGCACTCGCCCGCCTGCTTCTGGAGATGGGGGCAGAGATATCCGTCTCCTCAGGGGATGGACGGACGCCGCTGCATTTCGCTGCCTGGACTGGCCAGGAAGACCTCCTACAACTGCTGGTGGATGCTGGCGCCGAAGTAGGCGCCGTCCATAGCGACGGAGGTCATACGGCCCTGCACTACGCCGCCGTTCAGGGAAGTGTCGATGCATTTCGGGTTCTTCTACAGGCTGCTGAAGCCGAGAAGCTTGATTGGCTCCGCCCATGCTGGTGCGGAGGAACCGTCTTGTCTAAGGCCGCGGGCAAGGGTCACCGAGGCATTATCGAGTTGATAGTGGAAAACGGCGTGGATGTGACGGCGTGCTATGATGGGTCGTCCGCCCTGCACGCGGCCGCGGCGGCTGGAGAGACTGATCTCGTCGAGTTCCTGTTGTCCTTGGGGGCGGATCGGTTGCAACTGGACTGGTTCGGTCGATCCTCCATCGACTGGGCCGTTCGACATCCGCCGACGCTGGACAAGCTAATTAGACATGGTCCCCTGTCGGCTCCTTCACTCGATGAAGAGAAACGGATATCGGCCCTGAGGGAGGGCATCACCATGCTTGCCACCCGAGCCCTAAGGGAGGGGAAGTCGGCCTCGTACCGGCTGGGAAAGTGCCTGCTCTACATGAACGATGTCTCCGCGGCCCGCACGGCATTTCTGTACGATGCGAATGTCCCAGACGGTGCCCCGGCCGTGTGCGATCTTTGTAAAGAGAGTCCGACAGTCACAGAAGGACGATTTGTATGTCAAACCTGTCCCGATATAGATCTCTGTGGCCCGTGTGTGGACCAGTACTACCAGGAGAAGCTCCAAATCCGGTTGTGTGATGGACATCAATTTTTAGAGGTTCAGGCCTCTAGCGACGAGCTTCTGGCTATGCAGGCCAATGAATCCAGAGAGTCGTGGCTCCGCGGCCTCCTTGCAATGTACGATAGTTCTACCTAGATATTAACAAATATCAGTCAGCTTGGTATAGTGTATTCCGTAAAAAAAAAAAAAAAAAGCTGGTTATACAGCCAAGAGAGCTTGGTATCACAACGCTATTAAGGGTTTGCGTCGATAAAGACAACTACATAGCTTTCCCTACTCGTTTCCGCGCCAGAAACTTCCATGCAATATACTTTCAGCATATTACTCTATGGTCTTTCTGTGCGCTATCAACTATTTCACGTATTTGCGAGTAAAGCTTCTTGTCTTCTTTCCTTCAGGACTTCCCCCGTGAACCTTTTCCTCCCTGATACTTAATTTAAGGGAAGATGGAACCATATCACCTACCCACACATCCAAAGCCGTAAGGTTTAATGCTTATATCCTGAAGAAGTTGTAAACTTCCCTTACAATAGACCCTGAATTAGACTTAACCATATAACTACTGTCGGGGTATTCTAATCGCTTGGGAAAAATGTGCCATATTATACAATCCGGCAAGTAATGAGCAGTCTACATTTATAACATATCTATTGCCGCAGGAAGCACTGAACAAATCTCACAACGACTGGTGCTAGAAATAGTCTGAGATCATGTTCAGGTAGTCTCGCATTCTACAGCTCCAAAATTGCACTGCAACAGCATAGTAGATATCATGATACATGGGATTGGTGTTCATGGTTTTCTCGTTTCTCATTTCTATTTTTTTATTTTTATCTTTCTGGATACTTAATGGTAGCAGTCTGGATAATACTGGAATGATATTAGTAGTTCTATGAATATAGTGTCCCCAAAATAGCTACCCATCAGTGTTGATCCGTGATTTGGTTCAAACCCGGGGATTGGTGTAATACTGTCGCAACCCTACTTACTACCCCGCGCGCTTCATTGGATCTCCACCATCCAGAGTCTCATGACATTCAGAATCCAAATTTCATGTGTTAGTGTTGTAAACCTGATGTAGTCGCTTCTCAGCCGTTTCAATTTCAATTTGTCGGAAGTATAAGGTGCGGGTGGAGAAGTTACAGTCTATTGGAGTGCGGCTACCCGAGGGAGAATCGGATCAATGTGAAAGAATCGAGACCCTCTATAAGTGGGGAACCAGAGTCCTATATTCATATGATATACGTTCTTGGGTGATCAATCTTGGACTTCTGGTACCATCAAAGGGTAAAATCGCGGAGTAAGAACAAGGCGCGTCTCAGATTCAAAGGAAAAGTTAGCCAGCCCCTTACAATTGCATGGTGTCCGTCAGCAGTAGAAGAAGGATACGCCACTGACCACAGCAGTTGTATGATCCACGTCAGCCTACTGCACTGTTGTTGATATCATATACGGCTAGTAGCGGCTTTCTTGAACATAAATAGAGACGTTGAACCCGGTATTAAGAGTCCTTATCATCTAGGAGAACATAAGCCTTGCCCACTCGAGCATTTCCATAGCATTCAGATCTCTACCAAGCATAATCTAGCCTTCCAACCTGAATCATGTCTTCCGGTTCCACTAGCAACATGCTGCGTGTCAGCATCGAGTCCCAGAAGTTCCCCGGATCCTACCTCCGCATCGACGGACGGGGAGTCACCGAGTACTCCGGCTCTGGCGGCGGTGCCGTCAATGTGCAGAACCATGTTGCCTCGTACGAGACCCTCATCATCGTGAACCACCCCGATGACAACACTTTCTCTATTCTCTCCTCTGCCTTCCCGAACGTCTACCTCCGCATGGACGGCTCCGACATCAAATCTGGAGACACCTACGCCCAGGGTGCCGGAAAGGTTAACTGCCAGTGCGCATCCCCTGTTGTATTCTGGATTTATCGATACTGACCCAAGACTATCGGGTGGGGCGACCACTCTTGGGAGAAGTTCCGCTTCGAGAACCAGAGCGATGGTACCAAGGCCATTGTTTCTGTGCATTTCCCGAACGCCTATCTTCGCATGGAGAATGTCACCGGCCAGGGCGGACCGAGCGGTGCCGGAACTGTCAACTGCCAGAGCTACGTCGGTTCCTATGAGAAGTTCAAGATCCATGTCCTGTAGTGTGGGAGCATAGTACGATCGACTGTGTTAGTAGTATTCTTGTTCCATTCTTTTTGCGTGGTTTAAAGTTGTGAAAAAAGACTGTGGAAAAAAAGGATGCAGGTGAGGGGCGCATGGTTATTTAAGCAATTCGACAGTTGTGTTTATTGTTAGCACTAACCTTCCACATTCTCTCAATGGAATTATTTTGCGTATTTATGCAGTCAGTACTGTCTATCCAAGTCAGAAACCAGCTTTGGAATTCTACGAATTATTGTGCCAATAATGTAAAGTCAGTCAGTCTATTAAGTTCTTTCTGTGAGCAGCACACAAAAGACTCACGCTCAATCAAACAGAGAAAAAAGAACTTGAGAGAAACCTGACTCTCAAAAAGGCATCTTATGTTTTCTGATCATGTGTTCCTTCAAGTTATCCTTCCTATTGGAAAGATGGCGACAACCAGCGTAAGTGCATTTATAGGCCTTCGGGAACAGATGAATAGTTCTAACATGTCTTCTCAATTCGGCGGGACGGTTAAACTGCCTGCTGTTATTGCACCCTTCCCATTCACATCTAAGGTCGCGATGGGACTTTTTGCTGCTATTTTCTCATTAGCGTGGAATGTTAGAGTACGGGTGCAGGATTTCTGTTGAACCTTCTGCCCATGGGATTAATGGCATGAATTTCAGCTCCAAAGATGTCTCGCGTAGCGGAGCGCATCGAAATGAACGGGTCATTCAGAAGGCTGTCGGGATGGGAATTATCCTGGTGACCCTCGAAAACAGCAGAGGCAATATTTCGTTGACAAAGCCAGCTGAAATTCTCCAGGACTATATCCTGAGTTTGAAATTCGCGGTAAACGTCTGAGCCCAGGGCCGACTGGCTGGATCTCATGTCAACGTCGAAGAAAGAATTGAAGTCAAACTCCACTTCACGTCCCATTTCGGTACAACTGGTCATAGACAAGTCATCTAATGTAGCGTGGGATTGCAAGGAAGGGCTGTGGAGTACGGTATGTGGCTCCGGCCATCCTTGATATGGCCAGAGCCCTTTCTCAGTGTCTTCCGGCAATAGGTCAGTATGACTGTCCAAAAATGATAGACTGATAGAACCTGGGTTAGGGCTAGGAGTTGATAAGGTGTTTGGGGACAGAGAAAATGAGGACATTTGACCAGTGGACATTTTCAAAGCCTGGTAGAAATATGTGGAGTTAGATAATTGGATAAGTATTTGAATGGTTGCATGAACCTTGTTTTGAAAGGAGAAAGAGATAAGATTGTGCTGTTCGACAGACGGCCACTATCTCTCTGAGTAAGTACAACTGGCAATAATGAGGAACTGTGCTATGACAGCCAGTAGTGGGAAGCTATCAGACTATAAACACTCGAGTCTGAACAAAGGTGATAAAACAAGATGCCGAACTCATGCCATGCATGCACAGCCCATCCTTCAACAGAAAGCCTGTGCCTACTGGTGTGACATACAACTCTCTTCCTTCGGTGCCTGCATGTTGCACCCGGCTCCTAGCAACTGCCAAAGTGTGTATTAGGAAGGCTCGAGGATAGTGTAACGTTTCACTTCAGCTGTCCGGATTGGCTCTATACAGCCACGGTGGCCTTGTTTCAAGGTTCCCTTCACGTAAGCCTCTTTCGGTTCTCGCGCGCCAATAGAAATGGCGTTGACTTGCATGTATCCTGCGGGAACGCGGACCCACTTCTTCCCCTGTTATGCAAGCAACAACCTATCAATTGAGAAACGATGTGAACAGAGTTAGACCACGAACAATCATTGTATGAGGGTTGTATATCCGGGCAGCACACATCAGGCTCCCACAGCAAACCCTTCATTATGATATAAGGCGCGGGCCATTTGTGACCCGCGTAAATACTTACATTTACCAGTTAAGAAAGCATATATTGTAAATACGAATATCATTTTTAAACACCTTCGTTCCTCCCCTAATGAGGGCTAGATCTTCAGATGCCTACAATACTAACTATTTTCAAACCTCCCATTCTGAACCACGGTTCAGAATGTCAACCAATAATAACTAACTATTTCGTGAAGCATAATTAAAAGGTCCAACAACCCATCACTACCCGTTGCGGGAAGAGAGCAGCCAGTAAGAGGTCAACCCCAGGTTAATCCCTAGCTATCTGGGCCCTCACCGCAAGTTATTAATGGGCTAAGACTACTTGACCAACCCATACCATATGAATTTTTGAATCTTCACCATGTCATGTTATTGGGCAACATTGGGCTGGTGGTCACATGACTCTGCAGACGACGTCGTAAAAGCGGTATGTACGCCGTATGTATGCACATCCATCGGATAGCTGCATGGACCTACGAGCGCAGAACCTTGGAGCTCAGCAACGTAACCCCTCTAGGCATTCAGCAAATATGTGCTATTCACGCTAACGGCACCCTAGTAGCCAATAGTAGGTATCATGTAGAGTTGCCTGCCGACTCGACATGATCATTGGTTGTGAAATGTTGACACCACGAAAGAAACAGTTTATGATAATCGTAGAGACTTCTGGAGATCGATTCCATTAGAGCTCAAATCACTATAATCTATGCCGATGGCCTTATGCGCTCGTGTTTCCCAAGAACCCAGCCAGGTAAGAGGTTAAAGAAGCCGGATGATGCTAGAGCACGTGCTGCACGTCACTCCATCGATAGGAATTGCTGTGTACAGGATTCCAACCTCAACTCGACCACAAAGTAACACGAGTATGGACTCCTGGAATCCGAATTTCTATTTGCCAATGAAAGGCTTCTACCCTCATTATTCATGTCGGCAGTTACACACCAGCCCGTCTATATGGCCGTGCTCGTACGACAGCAGACAACCCCATCGTCATGCAGAGAACAGAAACATTTCGCTCCGAACACACTTCTACATTTGTCATTCTTACGCAGAGGGACTAGAGTCATAACCATATTATAATCACTGGCAATTGTACCACGGAGCCGGTGGGTTACATCCTCCTATTGGAAGGAGAGTTGAATATCCGGAATCACGCTTGTGGAGATTCTGGTAGTACATTTGGTACGGTAGTTCGTCCTACTCTACATTTACAATGTGCAAGGATGCCTCTCACGGTTGTAAGGTTGGTTGCATTGCAAATCTTCATCTACTTTGGGTTTAGGTGTGTCGAAACAATCCCGGAGCAACCTTTCAGAAATAATGTATCTCGAAAACGCAAAGATCCAAACATTCAACATCATGAAGGTCTAGTTAGTACTAATGAAATCCAGATGTATTATTCTAAAAGTACTAGTGAATATATGAGATAGTCGCGAAATCACTAAGTTCAAAAACAAGGTCGTCGCAAAGTAGCAAGAGACAGAGACATCCCGAATATATAACAAATCATAAATAAGAGCTTTCCACAAGGTGAAGCGATGTCGCTAATAATCGCAATCATGAACCCTGAGCATATGCTCCTTCAGGTTATCACCCCTATTGAAGGACCTGAAGCAGCCACCGACATTGCACCTATAAGACCGAGGAGCAATATGGATGGTCCTGACATGCCGCACAAGGTCGGCCTCACGATTGAAAATCTTTGTGGACGTACAGCCCTCCCATTTACATCTCTGCACAGGTCGGTAATTCTTTCCACTGCAGATGAGTTAGGAATGTGGTCATGACCTTCAGGCACAGCACTGAGATTACCATACCTTTCATCAATATGCTTCGCGCGGGTCTCCTGCTGTACCCCCCTAGGCTGGTGTTCAACTGGCATGACGACAGGGGTTATTGTTGTATTGCTGGATGAATGACCATATGGATATCCAGCGGTAGCGACTTCATCGGATTGGAAGCTTGTTGGCATCCGCAAATTGGTCTCCATGCCCAAATCATAGTATATATTGGATTGAGGAGCGACGAAGTCCTCGTGCAATGGTTGCCATGGTGGGTAGTGGAACGGGTTACCAGGCATGATCGCCGAGTTGGGAGGCAATGGCCACATGTTGAGATTACTCGCAAGAAGCCCGAGGTTGTTCTGCCCCAATGGATTGGTAGGATTATGCCCAAGGCCATCAGAGAATGCATGATGTAATGAGCCAGCATTTGGTGAAAGAGAAGTATCCGACATGTTTGAGGGTATAGTGAAATGATAGGCAAGATCACCCTGCTGATAGTAGGTCCGGTACAAGTAGAGCAGGATACTATCGTAGGCTGATGGTCGAGCAAGGAACAGTGATACAAGGTATTTCACTCTCCTAGGGTTGAAAGGTGTCTGAGGAAGAGATGGCAGAGTTTTGTGTTAGAAGATGGAGAACTGAGCATAATTTCCATACTTATATAGAGGAATTCTTCTTAAATTATTCAAAAAAGACTCGTAAGATCAAATTATCAGGTTACCAGGTAGACAATGGAACTTCACTAGAACATGGAAATACTAAATACTTGTATCGTAGCGTGAACAAGCTGCTGCGTATAAAAAAACGTGCACAGGCGGCAAAGACCGGCATAGGAAACACGAATAAGCGGGGGAAACACCAATCACAGACCACAGGAGGCGATGACGGATCCACTTGAACTCTTGCACTGCCCAAAGGCAAAGGCTCAGTTTCCTGGCCTTAATTCTATAGATCAATGGGGATTGGACGGCGATCGTTTGAGATCTACGTCCAAGGACAACCAAAACCAATCAGAATGTAATGGAAGCTCCGAGGGCCGAGCCTAGTCTTCCTCGTTCGGTTTTGAAAAGTAAGTTGTATCGCAGTCATAAAAGTTGACAGCAAAAGCGGGCGGAAACTGCAGAACGCAAATACAATACAACACTAACAAGTTGCTCAGCCTTATGTTGGTTTAACAAAGTAAGCGGGCCCTTTGTATGTTTAAATGAACAATATCAGGACATCATATTTCAGACCAATACTAATACGTTTCAAACTCTCTCTTTGTCTCTCTTTGCCGTTACAGCACTGCACATCTTTATATTTCGCTATCTATGCCGCTTGATAGCCCATATTGGGAAATATCATATCTGCCACAGATCGCAACTGGTCCAACTCCATCAAAAACGGATCATTGGGACTGCGCCCTGGTCCAATGGTATTCCCAAAGAACATCTTCCGTGTGAGGCGAAGTGTCTGTCTACCAGCTGGTCCTGAGGGCCTTGGATAAATTTGCTACCGATATCGTTAGCACAGCAAGGAAATGCAACACGGCATGCCTTATTCTCACCTGGCGCTCTTGGAGTCGGGGTATCCCGTCCCTCCCTAAGGCATACAGTTCTACATCGCCCCTTATATGCATAGTAGCCAGCGATGGTCTCCAGTTGACCAGAATAACCGCTTGGACAGAGCCCCCTCCACCTAAAAACCAATCGAGCATGTCATCTCGAAGACTCTCCCCACTTTGCGAGAACCCCGACTCGAAAACCACCCTCGGTAGCCCGGTGCCGTTCAGTTGTACTCCAACATTCGGAGCCTTTTCCATTCCTGTCAGTGGGTAGCCGGTAAGCCTAAATTCTTCGAACGTTCAGAGCGGTCCTGGAATCAGGAGTAAGAATCCTACTTGTGTTTGCTGAGGTCAAGAGCATATTCCGCTCAGCTACATTGAGAACACCGGTGTTCAACCATATTTCTCGTGAACGGGCAAACCACTCCTGGTCAGCGTTGTGAAGCGGAGTTGCCATTGCACGCAATTTCAGGAACTGGGTTACTGGATTGTATGATTTACTTTGACAAAGTTGAAGATCTTAGACTGAAATCGCCTATGGTGCTAAGGAGCTCTTTAGCTTACAAGCATACGAGTCTTCTTGCTTCAAGTGCGCTGTACGCGGACTCGGCCCAGGAAGGAGCGATGTCCGTATACACCAAGTCGGTGTGAATACCATCTCCATGTTGTCTTGTTTCCGAGATATGTTGGAGGAGATGATGCTGGAAGGTAGGTGCGTCCTTGAACATTGTGCTGAAGTAACGACCTGCTATGCCATCTGGGGAGGGCTCATGTCTGGAAGCCATTTTATCTTCATATCCGGTTGCACGGTGCTGTGGGTTCAAATGTATTGGCTCATGAAACATCGAGCATTGCGCCTAAAGTAAGATTTTTCGCTTCCGATCACTTCAATCAAATTTCACTTCGACTTCAGTTTATGTGCTTTATCTAGAAGGTGGCTGCTTACCTGTGTGGGCTTTATGACGTTTAGATGATACTGTTTATTAATGGTGCTTGTAGCATAGCGTATACGCAATCATGACACGGCAATATAGAATAGTGCAGATGTGAGTAATTATGACAATCCTGCGCACAAAGTACCTCAGTCTATCAAAGCCACGATATACAAATGTAGCTACCCAGAAATCAGCATTAATTCACATACTCCGGTGGTTGCACCCATGGTATCGACTCCGGCTTGAAACCATCCATCGTCACTCCATTCCCGAAGCTCATATATTTCTGCGCCGGATCCTCGAACACCAAGTCGAAGTCTTCCCAGCGTACGATCTCCGTAGCAGCAAAGTAGTGATTGGTAGTTCCAGGCCAGGGAACAATAATCTTGCCATATTTATTTTTGTCTTATGATGTTAGTTAGCAGTGATGAATATATGCAGGGAAGTCAAACATACACCATGAATTGCAGGAATCAGACCACACCATGCCTGACATCTGAGACTGAACCCATCTGTTGAAGTCGCGTTGGGCTTCGGGTCGCACACTCACAGACCGGAGACGATCGGTTTGAAGACGATGAAGGACTCTTACGATATAATCTGCTGTCCGTTCGATACCGGGGAATGCGGAACCGTTTATCGGGCAGTTGGGTGGATGGAATGCTGGATAATCGTCAATTTGGAATCCTCCCGGAAGTTTCCACTCCATGAAAACAAACCAAAGAAGTTAGGAAAGTGTGCCACCGCCGCTGCCATATAACTCTCACACGGGCCCTCCGAGCCCCAGCAATTGGCGAGGGTGATACCGTTGCGTCCGACGACAGGGACGCGTGGGTTATATAGACTGAACCCCGTTGCACAGACGATCATGTCACATTCATACTCATCCCCTTGCGCAGTGCGAAATCCATTCTCTGTGAGAGCAGCCATGTGGTCTTCTATTAGCTTGACATGTGGTTGTTGTACTGCATTGATGTACTGCTCGCCAGGGGCCCATCGACGACATCCGGGGGTATAGTCTGGGGTCAGTTTTTGTTGCAGTTCCGGATCCTCTACTTTGGTCTTAATGTATGATTCCGCACGAGAACGAAGGCTTTTGCTGGGAGGGGTATCTTTCCAGAGGAAAGCAAAGGACGGCAATGCTGCCTTTTCTACTTCCATTCGGAAGTCATGGTAAGCTTGAGGGTTTCTCCGAAACAGGAGCTTCTCCTGTTCGCCATCTACATTTAATCAGCATCTCGATCTCAAACTATTTTGGGCAGAGGACCTACATTCACGATTCTCAACGAACGGCTCAGGCCCAAGCCACGTCGGGTGTGGTGCCAAATTGAGAATCTCTCCAGCTTCTACCACCACAGTAAGCAGATGTACCTAATCTCCAAGCCTGGGGAATCAACATACCCTCCCGAAGACCAGCCACGCATTGAATCCCACTGGCCCCATTCCCAAGTACAGCAATCCGCTTCCCACGAATATCCACGTCCTCCGGCCACGCGGCCGTATGAAACACTCGACCCTTGAATTTATCTCGCCCCTCAAACGCCGGAATCCGATAGTCATTCAACCTGCCAACAGCGTAAATCAAAACATCAGACCGGACCACCGTCTCCTCACCAGACCTCTCATCCAGAAACGTCGTAGTCCACAGCGAACTCTCCTCGTTCCATGCCGCCGAGATACACCTATGATTGCAACGGATAAACTTTCCAAGATCATGTTTGTCAACCACAGATTCAAGATAGGCGTAGATCTCGTGGGCGGGAGCGTAGGCCTTCGACCAGCATGGATTGGGCGCCCAGCTATACTGGTATACGTGTGCGGGTACGTCGCATGCGCATCTGGTTTGTGGTTAGCCATTGTTATTTCTTTCTGGCAGATTGTTCATGTCCGTAGTGAGGGAGATTGTATACCCCGGGTATCGATTCTCATACCAGGTTCCGCCTGGTTTGGGGTTCTTTTCGTATATTTCGAGCTTGATGTTGGACATTCGTGTCGTGATTTCATGGGCGAATTGGATTCCTGATATACTGCTTCATGAGCATGAGGTTGGCACCACAGTGTGATGGATGAACGTACCCTGCCCCGATAACCACTACCTTCAGAGGCTGGGGTACGAAGGCAGAGGGGGTCACGTCTTGACAATTATCGGTCATGTTTAGGTACGGATATAGTATATGAGAAATCAATCATTCAAAACGACCAATTAATCACACCCTATAAGCGAGATAGGTCCAGCAAATTTATAGTAAACCCCCAGTTACCCACAATACTACTTGTAAGCTTTCCAATCCAGAAACCAAATCACTCCAAGTCCACTTCTCCTTCGAAACCTGCATAGGTTGAACAACCATGTACTCCCGAACATCAGAGGCTATCCAAGATACCAGCAAGTGGAAGGCAGAGTAACATCGCGTCATGCGATATATCTATCTAGATATGGCCAGGCGCTGTCCTGGTTCATTGAACGAGCTGAGTGAATGTCAGATGGGACAGGACGTCTATGCATGGTCAAAGCAGGTTCTATCAAGATAGTATGATCTAGCCAGGTGTTTCAGGTCTGGACTGAGTGCTTTAACACTCCCGGGAATTGTTTGGGTTATTAACTTATTGTGATAACTTTATCTCGATCAGGGAATCGTTCAGTTAAGGTTCGGTATGACTTCACGGTTCTCCTTCTGGTAATAGCTCGTCCCTGTCACTGTGGCATTGTCTTACTGGTCTGGCGTTGGACTCTGAGGTTGGTTTGGTGGCTTGGCCCTGCCCCTGACCGAGCTTGAAAATATCTGTTACGTAGCCCTATATAAGCAACGCATGTGAACTGCTAATAGTTTCCTTTGTGCACCAACATTGGTATATTTATCCAATCGCTCTGTTTATGAGTCACTGGAAATCCAGGTATCTTACCTACCTTCCCTCACAACCGATTCCAGCCTCGGATCCAAGACCTCACAAGGCACAACTCCAGCCCTAATGTACAGCCCAGCACAACGCCCCAGAAACTAACTCAAATCCAATTCCACGACCAACCAATCCCAACCTCCCAATTCCAACGACAAGAGCTCATTGACATTCACCGTGCGGAGAAGCCAGCGCCTGATGACGCCACAACAGCCCTTTCCCCGACCACCATGGAAGCGGATTGGGTGGGATGCAAGCCAAGTGGAGCACCGGCGACTAGAAGTTAACTAATTGCTTCACTATACCCCGGAATTCCCGCAGAGAATACGATATCTATGGAGAGCGTACGCGGGCGTGATCAGTATCCCTGTCGATGAATATGCAGAGTCGTCTCACGTGTGTGGTGCGGAATTGGGGTATTTATAGCTGGGATTGTTGTCAGGGTTTGCCCCTCATTTGACTCCTTCGTGTACTGTTGCTGACGGGTTAATTTCTTCTATTATTTTGTTGGAGGATATTGAGTACGAATTGTGTTGGATATCCTGTCGCCTATCTCTTGTGTTTGACACAGTGTATGTTGAGCCAAACGATCACCACACAATGACAATCCCAGCCCCAACTATCCCAACACGCCAACGAGCCGCCGTCCGTCATGGCACAGGCGAAACTGCCACGACGACCATCGAGACCATCGACGTCCCGCAACCCGGGCCGGGCCAGATTCTGGTAAAGATCAACTGGACTGGGCTCTGCGGCTCGGACAAGTCTCTCCTGCACGACGACTGGCAGGCTTTCGGCGTGGCCATGCTGCCCCAGAGCCAAGGAATCGCGGGACACGAAGGGGCGGGCGTTGTCGTCGCCGTTGGCGAGGGCATGCAGCGGCGGTGGAAGATCGGTGATCGGGCGGGCGTCAAGTGGATTGCGAGTACCTGTGGAGAATGTGAGTTCTGTCTCAATGGGGTTGACGAGGTGCATTGTGAGAAGCAGATTAATAGTGGGTTTTCGGCGCCGGGGACGTTCCAGGAGTATTGTCTTGTGGATGGGAGATATACATCGAAGATTCCAGATGGGGTGTCGGATGAGGAGGCCGGTCCGATCATGTGTGGCGGTGTTACTGCGTATACGGCTTGCAAGAGGTATGTACTGCCATTTTGTTGCCTTTGTGTTTGATGTGTGCACGTTGGAGTAACGCTTTTACTTTAGGTCTGCCGTCAAGTCCGGTCAATGGCTTGTACTCCCCGGCGCTGGAGGCGGACTGGGCCATTTGGCTATCCAGTATGCGCGCGCAATGGGCATGAGAGTCCTTGCTATTGATGGCGGCGACGAGAAGCGGGAGCTTTGTGAGAAGCTCGGGGCCGAAGCATACATTGATTTCCAGAAATTCAAAGCTCCTGCAGACATCAAGGATGAGGTCATGCGAATCACGAAACACGGCGCACACGGTGTGGTCGTGACGGCTGCCAGTAAGACCGTCTACGAATGGGCGCCTATGTACCTCCGGCCCGGAGGCACAATGGTGGTGGTTGGTCTACCGAAGGATCCCTCCATTCTCGCAGGCGCACCTCCGCTTGTCATCGCTTTGAGACGATTAAATATCGTCGGGAATATCACTGGGAGTTTGAAAGATGTAGAGGAGGCGCTGGATTTTACGGCGCGAGGCATTGTACATGTAAGTTTCTCCCACGCGAGTTCGACTCGGCATGCTAAGTCGGAAATAGCCAATTCTGTCCAAGGGGAAGTTGGAAGACTTGGATTCATGGATCGAGAAGCTGAATGCGGGTCAGTTGGCTGGTCGTGCAGTATTACAGGTGGCAGCGCAGGCGACTGAATGAGAGGGCGTTTGGCGTTGAATATAGCATATCACAATAGCATTCGCTTCTACAGGACCAGTCGTATCATGGTGAGAAGATTACCATATTTTGTAGCGGCTGAAGAAAATGGTGGTAGCAACGAGGAGAGCTAATATTCTTCCTATACGCAATACATCGCCTTTCAAACGCCGAAACGCCGTCGTCGGCGATCGCAGCCGTCATCCATTGCCCGAAACGACCCACACATTTCCACAGCCTCCATCACAAACTGATAGACTCCGATTCATGTCACCCCACATGAGCGGATGTATAAAAAGGCCACTCGAGACCTGATCGTAGAGACTCACTAGTTACGCATCACAGAAATCTACCTTTTTCTTTTTCAGTTGTAATGAGTCCCACACAAGAACCCACAGCACCGGTAGTCCAAGGCCGACTCATCGGCCACTTTCAAGACCGGTATGCAAACATTTTACAATATCGGAATGGGTTTTGATCAGGTACTAACTGCTTCAGGCCGGTAGAGGAACACGGATCCGGCTGGTCCTCCCTCTGGGACTCAAATGAGAGCGACCTCTGGGATCGGGGAAAGCCCTCCCCTGCACTGATTGATCTCATCGAGCAAGAAAAGAATAACACTATCTTCCAGCCTCTGAAGCCAGATGGCCAGCGCAAGAAGGCGCTTGTTCCCGTATGAGCTTCATCTTCTCGATGTTCTCCGTGCAGGTTAATGACCAATCTACAATATCAGGGCTGTGGACGCGGCTATGACGTCATCATGCTCGCCCTGCATGGGTTCGACGCCTATGGACTCGAGATATCAGCAACTGGTGTAGCCACCGCGGAGAAATATGCGGCGTCCGAGATGCAACGGCCCCAGGAATACAACTTCGGGGTGGGATGGACGGGGCCAGTGACGCCGGGCAGTGCTTCTTTTGTTGAAGGGGACTTCTTCAAACCCGGCTGGGAGCGACAGATCTCAGCCAACGGAGATATCAAGTTTGATTTGGTCTACGATTATACGGTATTTGCATCTTGGTGATTCCTTGGTAATAACGGGTCAGGATGAAACTAACTGGGGCAGTTCCTCTGTGCTTTGCACCCGCAAATGCGTCCCCAGTGGGCAGCGCGCATGAGCCAGGTAGTGGCTTCCGACGGAGTCTTGGTTTGTCTGGAGTTTCCCATGTACAAGGATCCGACTCAGCCTGGTCCGCCTTGGGGGCTCAATGGAGTCCATTGGGATCTGCTGGCGCGGGGAGGTGACGGTTTCCAGAATATTGGGAAAGTGGCTGAGGTTGATCAGGTCGATCAGCTACCGGGTCGGTTTAGGAGGCTGCAGTATCGAAGGCCTGCTCGATCATACGAGGCAGGAAGAGGAGCGGATATGTTGAGTATTTACGCGCTGAAGTAGGTAGCACTGCCGCTGTATATTATGGAAAATTGAAAGATTGCTGGGTGCAAAACAGATATCAGGTGGCTATGGCCAGTATCACATCGGGAAGACGCCGCCGTTAGCCTTACCCCTTTTTCTGCCTCGTGAGAGACGCATCTCATTAATATGAGAATCCTTATCGCGAACACCCGCGGAGGCTTTCAGTCGGACGTTGAACATATGTTCAGTAGCAGCCAGGGTCATTGTTAACATACCAAGGGGATTGCACAACCCGCTACCTGCCTCCTTGCGCAGTAAGTACAGACCACAGGGCACCCGCAGACTACAGTCGTAGAGGCAACATTCCACACATGTTGTGTTGACTTGAGCTTTTCGGGTAGTTAAACTACACATGAACTTTTATTCACAATAACGTATACACATATACAAATCTCGGCTGCGAGAGTATCCAGCACATAACTCTAAGTACCATCCCAGGCTACACCTTCGACTCTACTTCACAGAACCAAGCTACCGACGATTACTTCCTTCCCCCCGCTCTATATCAGCCGAGGACAACGGGCGGTTAGGATGTATCGCAAGATGCGCATTTGGCCGGTTTTCGAAGTGTCTAACCTCCTCAAATATATAAATGTCGACTCTTTTATTAACATTCCACTGATCCTGGACCGGCCAGGAGCGCGTGCGCTGTAAGGGCCGTGCTTCTACCCTGGAGACACGCTGTTTGGTCCGGACTTTACCGAAAAGCGATCTAAGTTTGGGCCAGTGGTGCTGTATGAAGACGGGAAGGATGAGGAGACACGAGCAAAGAAGAGCATGGTCACATTCGAGCGCACTGCTGAGATCATGGTCAGTCGGATGTCTGGTATCCAAATTCCAGGGAAGAGACATACGCCCAGAATCCCACTGATCCCACGAACATTATATTCCATAACACGTTGAGATCTTTCATTTGGGAGACATGGTAGACACGCATAATGCTTGCAGCGCATGCACTTTGTATCAGTTAGCTGCATCCCATGATGGAGATCGACAAGGTTAGGGAGAGGTGGAAGGGCACACCTAGCTCCAAGAATGATGATGGCTAGAGCTTTAAACTTCTGCCGTAGAGGTACCTTCAATCTCAACACCGATGGTATTGGTAGCACAAGGGTGTATATATCTGTTGTCATACCGAGTAGAGATGAGAAGCAAACGGGGAGCGCTCGCGGGATTTTTGGCTTGATTGCCGGATCCCCAAATACCTCAAATGGTGTGAATGTGTAGTGAGTGACAACCACTAAGGCAAGGCTTGCACTTGCTTCGAAAACGACGCCGATGATAATCAAGGCTTTCAAGGTGGATTGGGAGCAAAAGAGGCGGTAGTAGAAGGAGAGGATGGCGAGCTTGGAAAAGGCTAGGCAGAGGACAAGAGCAAGGAATCCATGGAAGGTAGACTAGTCTCATTATTAAATCTAGATAACCCTGTCACTTTATTGCTTGTTCTTACTTTTGTGATCGCCGTAGCCTCGCTACGTGGAATATCCCATACGCTGCGTCCAAGTCCCAAGTTATAACCTGCAAGGCCAGTTAACAGCTGTTGCGAAAGAAAAGTTTGGAGTCTCATGCCTTGGAGAACGGTGACTGCGAAGCACACAGAAAAAAACTGTTTGCTGTCCTTTTAGCACCTTGAACATCCGGCATGTGCAGAATTGCATACATAAGCAATCATACAGAGGTCTGCTCACATTCAGTCATGTTGTTTCAGTGTATGGGTAAAACCACTTACAGTCATCGATCCTAAGAGAATCTCGTATGATAAATCGTCGAGTATACAGTCGCATCACCAAAGCCATGGAGTTAAGGGTCAAGTAAACCGCTTGGAACGGGGTGCAAACTTGCAAATGGTTCGGGGGATTGATAAAGTTGGGCTCTACCCCGGGAGGAGGGGATACAATACCCTGCTGGGTCGACATGAAGCCACTCAGATAGCTTCATGACTTGAAGCAGGGAACAAGAAAGCCTTCTAGTCCAGTCGATGAATGGGGGCTTCTCCCTAATATAGGACAAGTAGCAGGCAGCACTACAGCTCAGAACAAAGAAACGCCAATCATCCAAGTTCAGCCTTCAGATTTGAGTCGCTACGGCAATTCACCAATCCGTGTCCAGTCCGGCACTTCATTTTGTCACTCTTTCCCCAGGCTTCTTTGTTTACTTTGTTAGTGGAGAGTGCTGGTTACATTCGATGAGAACAGCGGGAAGTGTATTAGGGCTTGGATGGGGTGGCTGTTACTCTAAATGGGATAGCCACGGACAATGTACCAACTCAGTGTTGGTTCTTAAAATCTATAACACAAGCAGAGGCCACTTACAATAGAAGTAAGCGATCAATTAGGAGAAGGCAGGGGTCCGTGTAAGATTGAAACACTTTGGATTGCGCGGAAACAATGAATGCTGCTCTCCGGGTGCTCTTCCGCCAGCGGCCTAACCGTAGCGCCATTCAGCTGCTCTGCTCAGATGCGCACTATAAATGCTGACCTCGGTACAGAGTAGGTCCTGTGTATATTCCATGTCATATCGAATGGTAGATCGGCGGTCTAGGCCGTTTCCATACTTGAGCCCGGGGAAACAGGTTTTACTACAAGATAGAGAGCGTTACTCATGACTACAGACTAAGACAGTGCCACCGACTTATAGTACTACTGATCTACAAGTAGACTACTGTGAGGTGTCTCTGCTGGTGTGGGACAACCGATCTATCGCGCATACTTTGTGCGACCAGTCTATCTAGGTAAATGCACTGCCATAATGTGTGTCGCTACTATGAGATACCAAAGTCAGCCCGCCCTACTCATGATATTTCTCAATCAAAAGTCATTCAAGACAGTGAGAATCTCACCAAAGTATGCGAGTATGCGATTATGATAGGGTGAAGAAGTAAGTTTACCGTTATTCCGATATCCCTTCTTATTTGATGGCAATGCGATACTGATCTGCGTACGCTCAGGGCACAACCCCCGAGGCAACAAAGAAAGGGCTGCACATCATGTTTTTAGTTCCGGAGAATTATCGCATTATGAAGTCAAAGCCAACCGATGGTAGATACACTTTTATCCAAAGAAGGTTGTGAGTCGGCCCCGGCGACTTAGGCAGCTTGGTCTTCATGAGCCAGCTATCCGCAGTGTAAGTATACCACATGGATATACTACTAGTACTGCCTGAGACCTTACTTTGCCAAAAGCCATAATACCACCGAATGTATATCCCACGCGTGCATTATCTACTAAAGCAGACCTTGTATTCAGCTGAAGACGCAGAGCCAGAGACAATCAGGGATATATTTAGTCAAGTGATAGTATCCAATTGTCAAAGCACTATTCCCATCTGTAAATATAAAATCTGAGGTTCAAAGCTACAAAATGCAGTATCCGAATCGAAAACAACATCCACCCTGCCATCACTTCAATTAATGTATCTCATCTTGAAATCCGCCGTCTTTCCAAGCCCAAGTAGACCATCCAGGGAATAAAATGCCACCGCGAAACCGCCCTCGATCAAACTCACATAGATGCGACCTCCGCTGATTCATCTAGACTTTCAAGGCACCACTTCACCTCCACGGAACTCTCATCCGTCTCAGTCACCAACACAAGTATACCATCGTCGCATTACTCTGACTCTTTGTCCCCCTACCACCATGGTATTTCCCTGTCATGAGTCAATATCCGCCTCCTGGAGTCCTACATGGCCTTCGAAGACTTTACCAACATACTTTCCGTCCCCATCTGCCGCGCAAGCACTACCCCGCCGGTCCCTGGACCGACTCTGCGAGGTCATAGCGGTGGGTGAATACTACAACATAGGCCCGGAGGTCAAGTACCTCTGGTACCAACACTCATGAAACCTCTGCTGCATGCCGGATTCGCACGAGCCCGACCATGCCCAGTACGCGAGCTTAGCTTCTAGCGCAGATGTTCAATTGGCAGTTGAGTCCGGAGATGCGGCGTGATAAACGGAAACATATCTACCATACGCCTCTCGATGATGTTCTTCCTTCATGTATGCCGGAGACGGTTACCTTGCAGATTTACCAGACGAGCTCGACTCATCTGGTAAACTGGGGCTTGAAGAATCCGGGAAAAGTCCTGCGTCTGCGTCGAGGAATGTCGTTACTGATAGTGGCCACTTTCACGCGGTTTAGACCTGTTGGGTTAGATGGACGTTTGAAGAATCGCTTCATGAAGTAGCATATGATCGATGTTTGGGTATGCTCACAAGTAGCATGTCGAGACATCACTTTCACACTCCAACTGACTCTCAAGGTGGGTTCAATTCCTGGAGTATTAACACGCATATCGTCCCATCCATTCATATCCATTAAAGCCAACCAGCCATTCAAGGCTCCATTACGATCAACACCGCACATATTAATTGGAGGAGGCATAAAAAGCCACACTTATAACGGTAATATTAAATAACGCGAACGACATACCATCTCCGGCCTAGTGACCGTGCCCAATTCCAACGGTGCTACCTTGCGCCGGAGCACGGATCGCTCTAGATCGCCCTGGTGCAACCCAGGAAATACTGTGTCCCTTTAACCGAACTTTGTCCGTAGACCAAAGCACGCTGAAACTCAAAGAAAAGTATGGAGAGGAAAAGAATGAAAGGGGGCGGCTGGTTGGTCGGGGTTGTCGCCCTGAATAACGGTTTAGGCCTGCGTATGTGGCATCCATCATTTTCTGTCTTGCTTTTGCAAATGCGATGCAGTGGTTCTGACTTAGAATGCTCCACGAGTGCTATAGTATTATTAGGTGATAGGACACGGAGTACGGTGGGTGTGTATTATTGATCTTCATGATTAGGCCAAAAAAAAACTATAGTACTATACATATTCAAATACATATAAGGGGATAGATGAGATTAACTAGCATAGTATCATCCACCACCATTCTTGGAGGATCCATCCAGCTTCTTTCTCGCCACTGGGGCCCTCCTTTCGCATGGCCCCAATCTCTGTCATCCATTTCAGCAGATGCTCGATTTCCCATGCTCCCATTGTGGGTTTGATCATGCTGGCAATGCTCGCGGCGCTGAGCCCCGGTCTGCTAGCGACACAGCCAGCTACTGCGGCGACGGCCAAATCCCACAGTAACTTGATGAAGCCTCCGTGTATATCACACCATAGAGGGATTTTTTCTGGTACCCAGGCCGCCCCGTTGTTCGTAGCTCGGGGCGGGCAAGGCGCCGGGACATCCTTGAGTTCCTTCTCAATCGGGTTCCCGTACACGTAGGTTTCTTCAACGGGGTACAGCTCAACTGCGAAGCGGAGCTTATCCCTGTCGATTTGTCTGGTCAGGTATCCGCCCTCTGTCAGCCCGTATTTATCGCGTGGGGCATCTCGTGGTCTCAGGGTCACTCTGCGAGCGGCCAATAGGTTGATCACGGCTAGTATGTCGCCGTCTTCGGCATTATATTTGATCTCAAATTTGCCTTCAGATTGTAGTGCTGGGTCGAGCACTTGCGTTTTGAACCTGGCTGCCCGTCGGAGCTGGGTGCTTTCAATCAGTCGCTTACGTCCCAATGCGTGCAGGAAGTGATCTGTGATGTCGTAGTTGCGGCCCGGCGTGATCCTGCCTCTGTTACCCATTGATATGATCCTCTCTGTTACCAACGACCCGATGGCGTTTTCTATAAAAGTTCCCATGTATGACAGTGCCTGTCGGGCCTCGGCAGGTCTGTATGCCTCTTCCGGAGTAACGACGTTGGCCCGAATCCATGATTTGACCACTTCCAAGCGAGAAAGATCCTGCTTGGGAGGGGTAGGCGTCTTGTGTTCATCGATCAAGGGGAGGGCAAATGGGACGCTCGCAAAAAGGTTACGCTTGCGATTGATGGTCAATGGCTGAGTGGTTTGATAAATATCATCCAGAGTGCTCGGCGGTTCCTCCCGAATCTCGAATACACTGTCAAATTGCTCTCGTGTGGCGGGGAGGTCCGGAAGGAGCTTTTCGGATTTGGGGACATCGAGTTGAGCGTTTGCCCAATCGACAATCCATTCCCAATCATACCCCTCGAGATCATCGTAGTTGATCGGAGGAACTTGGCCATTGCTGTATGCTTCAAGATAACGCTCTTGGAAGTCGCTCTGCATTTTCGCCAACTGGAGCCGGTTCTTGCTTAACACGTACTTCCCTTTCGCTTGGATGAAAAGCGGATCATAATCCGGAAAGCTGTTAGAAAAGAGTGTCCAGTCGACAACTTTACCTTCATAACCCCCCGCTAAGGCACGGACCACAACAATCGCAATCATGATCCTTTGAGTCAGCAAGTGCGGCAATTGATATCCAGTGCGATTCCGACGAGCAGGTGCTCGAGATCCAGTGGGTTGTATTGTCGTATCGAACTCATCGCCAGCTGCCATTGATGCATTGAGTTTCTCCAAGCGACGGTTCTGCGTTACTCCAGGAGCCAGTGTCCGAGATATCGGGAGTCGGTTAGGTTCGAGAAGCGTCATTGTGCCAAAAGTACCAGGTTGTGCAGAAAAGTCGGATCGGCGCCCCTTTTGCCTGGTAACCCTGGGCTCTGGCAGGGGACGCGCTGGAAGCTCCGGTTCATCAACGTCAAACCGTATGTTACCCTCTATTCCAGCGCTATCAAAACTATTCTGCACTGTCTGATTGATGTACCAAAGATCTGCACTCTTCTTGTCAAGTAATCCTTCGTTTTGAAGTTCCCATCGCATAATCACATTCGTATCATAAAAGAACCGGTTCGATCGGGGGTCTACACTTTCGGAGTAGTCAACAGGGCGTCGCCGTGTCTGGCTAAACAAATCATCAAGCGAATGAGGCAGCTCAGGTGTTTTGTCGCTGGTGGCGTCTAGAGTACGTGGTAACTCGCGCGCTTTCTTCTGGTCATGCCTTGCAGCCCGCAGAGCAGCAAGGCCTCCGTCTGTTGAAAAGGTTCCTGTATT